AGAGAGAGAGAGAGAGAGAGAGAGAGAGAGAGAGAGAGAGAGAGAGGGAGAGAGAGAGAGAGAGAGAGATGATAGTTGGTTGGTTGGTTGGATGGATGGGTGATTGAATGAATGGATGGATGGATGGATGGATGAATGGATAGACACAGAAGAAATAGATAGGTAAACAATAGAAATTAGATAGATAAAGACAGCATAGACCTGCAATTTCTTAATTATCTGGTAGGAACAAATACTCACGATCAACACATTCCCACAGATCATCAGACTCAAATTTTTTGTAAAAGTTCCCACAAAATCGACCAGTGCTGGGCGGAAGTTAGGAGGACCAGTCAGGATGAGGCATTGAGGCCTGAAGATAGAACAAGGAGATCTTAGTACTTGACTATTTGCATGGAACCAGTCCACTCCTTCTGTGTGACTGCTGTTGGATTCCAGAAAGGACAAAAGAAGAACAATCACAACAAGCAGCTATCAATGGTGCACAAACGTCCAGGTTTTCATGGCTGAAGGGCAGGGCAGAAGCCCATCAACCTCCTTTTGCTCTTGCTTTGTCCTCCTTCATGACGTTGCATCTGAATTTGCATCATGGATCTTCCTGATGGATTGAACCACGAGCAAATCTGTAGCCAAACAATGGATGGGGAAAAAAATGGAGTTTGGAATTTCTACCAAGCACCAAGGTTCTTGGAGGGGAAAGCTGATTTTGGTAAACTTTTGCAGATCAGAGGAGGCCGGGGTGGAGTTCTCAGGGTTCGGTAGGGTTCAGGCGATCCTCTAGCCTATCGTTCGGCAAACCCCCAAATTCCATCCCTCCCACCCCACCCCTCCCACGAGTCTCCATTCATCATTCCAGGTAAGTGCAGGGGCTGCACGGAGGGCAAAAAATGGGCCTACCGGATGTTCCAGAAGTCTGTAAAAGGGCCTGTTTCCGGCCTCCAGAGGGCCTCCGGAGCCCAGGGGAAGCAGTTTTCACCCTCCCGGAGGCTCAAAAAAAGCCTCCGGAGCCTGGGGAGAGAGAAAATGCCCCTCCCCCAACCATGGTGCAGGCGGCCGACTAGGCCACACCCACCATGGCCATGCGCATCCAACAACAGAGCAGCAAGCCTGTAGCTAAAGGATCTGAAGCCCACCCCTGAGAGGAGGTATACTTACATGGCACCTGAACCTCACCGGCAAAGTCTCCCATTGAAACCCAGCGGCTTACAAAACCTTACCTGTAATTTTTAATATGGTCATCCACCTCATTGAGACTCAGAGAATAATTCAGGGCCATGTTATAGGAACCAGCTTGAACAGATGAGCCCCAGTTAACTCCTGGAAAGAAAAGTTACCTCAGATCAGTTCACTGTTCTATTGAGCAGTATTTTAATTTATTTATTTTTTTTAAATATGATCTGCATACCAGGCTTCTTGTAAAGAACGTATCCGAGCAAGAACACCACAATCCCAATAGCGATGAGGGCAGCCCACCAGGTTAGCAGGAACATGATAACGACAGAAACGATGGCCCCAAACAGAGCTGCCCACTTGCTATAATATCTAAAGGAGGGTCTCCAACCTGAAAGGGAGAAAAATACTTGATATGAGTCAGTAGTGGTATCCACTTACCTTCGCTACTGGTTCGCATCATCCGTGATGATATTCGGGCGGATAAGCAGAACCTCCTGCCACCGGCACTACCAGTTTGCCCGAACCGGGTAGACCCGGTAAAATCCCACCACTGATATGAGTCCATTCATAAGGCACTTCCAAACAACTCTTCAAATACTCTAAATAGCAATAGCACTTAGACTTATATACCAGTCCACAGTGCTTTCCAGCCCTCTCTAAGCAGTTTACAGAGTCAGCTTCTTGCCCCTAACAATCTGGGTCCTTATTTTACCAACCTTGAAAGGATGGAAGGCCAAGTCAACCTTGAGCCAGTCAAGATCGAACTGTTGGCTGTGGACAGAGTTAACCTGTAATGCTGCCTTCTAACCACTATGCCACCGTGGCTCTTTATTATACCCTTTCTTTGCCTTTTTTGCAGAGTGATGATTGGTCAGCATACGTAATGGTATGAGGGAATGACTTTAGATGGTGGGAAAAGAACAATTAGATAAGGGAGGGAAGAGCCCCCAGCAGCATAGCAAGCAGAGAAAGGAATTCAGAAAGGATCCCCCCCTAAATTAATGTTTCCTGGAAGGAAACTTCTGAAGCTCTTGAACCCAACTTGGTGGGTGATCTTTGATGCTAAGCCATGGGATGAAAATCCTCACCTGGCGAGTTGGTGATGGAGGCATGGAAACAGCTGAAATTGATGAGCGCGTAAGAGCAGAGAAAGAAATTGGAGATGATGGGAGCGATGGCATTCAGTTCCGCTGCGGAGAAGGCGGAAAGAGAGATGGTGTGTTTATTTGGGCCTATTGTTCCAAACACAGAAATTTGGCAATAAAAAAAAACAACGGAGGGATTTTAGCACAGAAGTTGCAGCTTAGGGATAGAGATGCGGTAGAATTTTATCTGTCTGCAATTTTAGGTTGACGGATTGACATTTCCTGGGCTAACACCAACACTGGAACCTAGTTATTCTTTGGCATACAAAGTCATGGATCGGATCTTCTACCTGTCAATTATTAAAAATGGTGTATAATTGGTAATTCTTTGTACTTTCTTTCCAAATGCAGGTAGACCTCGACTTACAACAGTTCATAGAGTGACAGTTCAAAGTTACAACGGCACCGAAAAAAAGTGACGTATGACTGTTTTTCACCGTTACAACCTTTGTAGCGTCTCCAGGATCATACAATCACAACTCAGACGCTTGGCAACTGGTTCATATTTATGACGATTGCCATGTTCCCAGTGTCACGTGATCCCCTCTGGCAACCTTCGGACAAGCAAAGTCAATGGGGAAGCCAGATTCGCTTAGCAACCGGGTGACTAACTTATCAACTGCAGTGATTCGTTTAACAACGGTGGCAAGAAAGGTCGTAAAATGGGGCAAACCTCACTTAACAAACATCTCACTTAAACACAGAAATGTTGGGCTCAATTGTGGTCATAGGTCAAGGACTACCTGTAGGCGGTTGGCATTGTCCAGAAGTGATATTCTATGAAAATTTGTCTCTGGGCCTTTGAATTACAGACAGGTCTCACTTAGTGACTGCCTTGTTTGGTTTACTATTTTTTTCCTCTCTCAATAAGGTAAAGGTACAAATATGCTAGTCGTTCCCAACTCTAGGGGGCGGTGCCCATCTCTGTTTCAAAGCCGAAGAGCCAGCGCTGTCCGAAGACGTCTCCGTGGTCATGTGGCCGGCATGACTCAATGCCAAAGGCGCACAGAATGCTGTTACCTTCCCACCAAAGGTGGTCCCTATTTTTCTACTTGCATTTTTTACCTGCTTTCAAACTGCTAGGTTGGCAGAAGCTGGGGCAAGTCATGGGAGCTCACTCCATTACACGGCACTAGGGATTCGAACCGCTGAACTGCCGACCTTTCGATTGACAAGCTCCGCGTCTTAGCCGTTGAACCATTTAGCCATGAGCGTCTTAGCCACTGAGGCTCTCTCAATAAATCTTGCTAAAAAGTACTCTGAGAACTGTGCTTGAGAATGAAACATTTTATTTCAGACAACTGTCAAAGGAACAGATACCTCCTCTTTGGTTAGCAAAATCCCCTGAGAGCAAGACCAGATTCTTTGCATGAAGAACCTCTTTGCCAATCTTACCAATCAGAATGAAGCCAACCGCAATGAGGTACGTCAGCAGGTAACCCCTGATGGGTTCGTTATTTTTTCCGTAGCCCTTTCCAAAAAAGCCAATGGCCGGGTAGAGTTCATCCTTACAAAGACACTGTTGGGAAAGCAGAGTGACAGTTCATGCCAGCTTCTCAAGGGCTCATAAATTCCCACAAAAGATTAAGACTTTCCTTGCAGGAAAAGTTCATCGTCCGAAGCTGAGGGAAGGAAAGGTTGGCGTTTTCTCAATAAAAGATAAAGGTTCCCCTTGCACATATGTGCTAGTCGTTCCCGACTCTAGGGGGCGGTGCTCATCTCCGGTTCAAAGCCGAAGAGCCAGCGCTGTCCGAAGACGTCTCCGTGGTCATGTGGCGGACATGACTCAACACCAAAGGCGCTGTTACCTTCCCACCAAAGGTGGTCCCTATTTTTCTACTTGCATTTTTTACGTGCTTTCGAACTGCTAGGTTGGCAGAAGCTGGGACAAGGAACGGGAGCTCACCCCATTACGAGGTACTAGGGATTCGAACCGCTGAGCTGCCGACTTTTCGATTGACAAGCTCCGTGTCTTAGCCACTGAGTCATAGATATGCTCATAGATTCCCACAAAAAATTAAGACTTTCCATGCACAAAAAGTTCATCATCCAAGGCTCAAGGAAGGAAAGGTTGGCGTTTTCTCAATAGCAACACCCAAATCTGACACTGAGCTTCCTTGTTTTCTTGCAGATATTTCATTGCCCGAATGAATGAATGAATGAATGAAACATCTGCAAGAAAGAAAGAAAGCTCAGGGAGCATCAAGGACCCCTCATTTCAACCCTGACCTACAAATATTCTCCTTTATTGGATAGCACACTAAATGTATGCCATGTGCCTTCAACTGTATATCAGAATCTGGGCTAAATGGTAAACTCATAGCTTATCTCTCTAGCTTTCGATCAAGTCTCTTTTTAGATGAAATATATGTCAATAGCATTGTCTTAATGCCTATTGGCTGGTCTCTATTTTTCTATATTGCTATATTCTATTAGCAAACAGGAAATAACTTTTCCAGTCAGTAAAGCAAAAATTAAACCAACAACATCAGCAGAGGTTGGGTCCAAAAAGAAATGTTTTAATTTACTTTTTGGAGGCCTTCAAACCCACCCTTCATTCCTGGCCATCACCTGACGGCCTGGATTGCAACATTAAGCTTCCTATAGGAGACACACATCCTAGAAATATTTATTTACAAAACCCCGAAGCAGAGCAATCAATTCCTAGAATAGCCGATATAATCCAATTTGTCTCTGCATGTTCATCTAAAGGAAATTATTCTTTCCCTGCTGTTTTTTTCCTTGATGGTCCTATGTCAATTCTGTCGTATTCTTATGTCAAAATTCAGATTGTAAATTTTCAGACAGCTGTTTGTTTGTTTATTTGTTGGTTTGTTGCTCAGGTTCTTCTGAGAAGCCACCTCAGAAAACAATAGCCAGATGACTGTGGCTGATCTCAGAAGCTAAGTAAGGTCAACTGGGGTTATCATTTGGATGGGTCAATCTCAGAAGTCTAATGCTGCAGGGGGGGGGAATCTGGCAAACCACTTATGTACTGTTCCCAATGTCCCTGAGAACAATCAACCCATGGAACAAAAGTTGCCTTCGGAAGTTGTGGAAGCTTCATCACTTGAGACTTCCAAGAAGAGACTGGACTGCCATTTGTCAGAAATGGTGTAGGGTCTCCTGCTTGAGCAGGGGGTTGGACTAGATGACCTATAGGGTCCCTTCCAACTCTGTTAATCTGTTAATCATCGTAGCAGTTCTTCTACACACCAAGAGGTGAGCCTGACTTGGAAGCACTTTCACCTTTACTCTGAGAAACTCTGACTGCAGTGACCAGAAAATTGTGTCCATCTTCTTCAAGTTCATGTTGCCCAAAAGGTGGGACTACACCTCCCATCATTATAGTCACCCAAAACATGGGTGGATAATTGAGGATGATAGGAACGTGGTGGCCACATTCGACCCTTCCAGCTTTAGTATTCTCTGAACAAAACAGAAACCTGACACCGGACACAGATGGGAGAGTCTTATTGTCTTCTTCGACAGATCAATAATGCATCTCACCTGGAAGACTTTGGGAGCTGAGACGAGGCACGCCAAAGCAGAAGAGAGGGTGGCCCCAAAAATCCCAGCTGTGATGAGAGGGGCAAAGCCAGAAACCATGCTCATGGTCTGCAGGACAAGAAAACAGGTAGACAATTTGAACTGAAATGTGGATCGTGCATGTAGATGAAGACGTTGTGTCTATTGTGCTCCGCCAGCTACCTGTGGAGCTGGCAGCGAAGTCGGACAGTGAGGAGGCTGGGGAGGACAATGAGCCAGTCCTGGAGTCAGGGGAAGGCCCAGACAAGGGCTCTGCATCGGAGGCAGAGATGGGGCCAGGGCCATCGGGGAGTGAGGTGCAGACTCCGGAGCCTCCAGAGGCTGACAGTAGAGAGGCAGAGGAACAGGAGGAGCCTGTTCCTAATGCATGCATGCGAAGAGCTGCCAGAAGGCAAGAGCAGCTAAAGCAAAAAGGACGACAAAGGAGTAAGGCCAGGAGATGATTGGCCCCTCCCAGAAGGCTTAAAAGAGCAGCAACGGCTCTTGGGATCTTTGTAGGAAAGCAATGTTGCTACATTTGTTTATTGTCAGCGTCTCTTGCTTCTGAACTTTTGCCAAGAAAAGACAAAGGTTTGTGATAAGGCCGAAGGACTATTTATGAAGAATTTGTTTTAACAACTGCAGTGGTTCGCTTAACAACTGTGACAAAAAAGGTCGAAAAATGGGGCAAAACTCACTTAACAACTGTCTTGCTTTAGCAACATTGGACTCTATTCAGTACAAGACTACCTGTACTGAAATGTTCAAAAGTATTCAGCCAACGCATTTGGAGCTATCTGAAGATTTCACTACCAAATGAGTAGCCTCGGATAAAGTTTGGAAAAGTTGCATGAAAAAAAAGAGGCCTACATTTGATTCCCATCAGGGTTTAAATGCAATATATGCATTTAAATGCAACTTCTCTTCCTCCTGAACAGTGGTAAGTGAACACCTCTAGTAGTGGGGAAACAGTAGTAATGTTAGGCGCAAAGGATCAGGACCAGTGGTGGGATTCAGCCAGTTCGCACCACTTCGGGAGAACCGGTTGTTAACTTTCTGAGCAGTTTGGCAAACTGGGTGTTGGAAGAAATCATTAGGGGAGAGAACCGGTTGTCAAATTACTTGAATCCCACGACTGATCAGGACGATAGGTTATGTTGCAGCACAGAGGTTTTATTCAAGCCGAAACACAAAAATCTACTCAGTTAAAGTTCAGTACTAAATTGGTGCCAGATAAGGGGTCAACGGGATTCAAGAGAGGTTGGATTTTAGACTGTTTGTTGCAAAGTAAGGATTCTAAGCTAATGACACACTTACCTCCTCCTCCTCCCCACCTCCCCCACAGCTCTGCCTGCTCATCTCCTACAAGTAGTAGATTTCACTCCTCAGAATGGAGTTGAACTAGGTCAGAGGTCAGCAACCTGTGGCTCTGGAGCCGCATGTGGCTCTTTCATTCCTCTGCTGTGGCTCCCTGTCATCGGTCGGCTCCACAATTGATAGGGCTTTCGGTTAGGGCAGGTAGAGGAAAAAGGATGCTGTGCTAGGAGGAGGCTCTATGGTGGGGGAAACTGGATTTCCGGTCAGCAGAGGAAAAAGGATGCTGCACTAGGAGGAGGAGACTCTATGGTGGGGGAACTGGACTTCCGGTCAGCAGAGGAAAAAGCGCTGCACTAGGAGGAGACTCTATGGTGGGGGAACTGGACTTCTAGTCAGCAGAGGAAAAAGGACGCTGCACTAGGAGGAGACTCTATGGTAGGGGAACTGGACTTCCGGTCGGCTCCAGAATTGAAGGGGGGGGCCTTCCGGTTAAGACCTTTGTGGCTCTTTGAGTGTTTAAGGTTGCCGACACCTGAACTAGGTGAACTCCTTCCAACTGTCACACTCTACAATTTACAATCCTATACCTGATAATAATTGATGAGCCCATATCGACAGCTGTGGCTCTGAGCACACTCTGTGAAGTTCCAGCCGTAGCCACAAGCAATGCCTTCACAACCCATGGAACCAGCGAGGACAGTATCATTAATGCTCCCGGAGGCATCACGGACAACGCAAGAACCTAGGAAGAACCATCAAGGTTAATTTCTTACTTCTTTTCCATTCCGTTTTCTTTTTTCCAATGAAGACCCTAACCCTAAATCTTTTATGAAGATCTCTGCAGCTTTGAGCATTGCAGCTTTCACATCAGCTAGTACTGAAAACCCAAAGAGGCAGAAAACAATGGGAAAAAATGTGCGTGGGATTTCCCATCGTCTTCTCTCTGGTTGCCCTCTGTGAAAATGCCGTGAAGCATTTTTAGCTTTTTCAAAGACATTTAGAACCAAGTCCACGGGAGATCAGGACATACGGGAGGGGAAAAGACAGAAATTAGAATGTTTACATTCTAAACATGTTTACCCAAAAGTAGACAACACCGTATGCAAGACATAGTTGTGCATGGTGCAACAACTGGATTGAAATGCAAAAGTCCGCACTTAGCTTTCATCATTTTGAGAGCCTAGAATTCAACCTGAAAACATCGGTGTGTCTAAATACTTCTACATTCTGCTCATGTGTCCTCTTAAGACTTCTTTATTTCATCAAGCTGGCCTGGCCTAAATCCTCTCCCCTTTTTAAATGTAAATTTTAATTTGTTTTAAATTATGGGGTATTTTAAATTTAGCCAAATTATTTAATTCGTTTTTATTTGATTTTAAATTTTTGTATTTATGTGTTTTTATCTTGCGGCTGTTCACCACCCTGAGTCCTTCGGGAGGAGGGCGGTATAGAAATTTAATAAAATAAAATAAATAAATAAATAGGAGTGTAACAGTGGTGGGTTGCCCCCGGTTTGGACCGGTTCTATAGAACCGGTAGTAAAACAGGTGGGAGGCTCTGCCCACCAACCTCGACATCATCAGGATGCATGTGCAGAAGAGCGCACATGCGGTCCCGCTGCGAACCGGTAGTAAAGGTAAGTAGAACTCACCCCTGGAGGGTAACCAAAGGGAGACCTCTCATAGCCTTATTCCTACCTTCTGTCCCTGGCCCCATCTTGAGTTAGAAAAATTACAAAAATTTGTGTGATAAATTCTTTGTGTGCTAAACTGAATTCACACACACACAAATTTTATCCTAATATGTGTAGTTGTATCTATCCGTAAACATACCAATTGTAGCCGAAAGAACCAGATATGACACGGTTGTCCAAAAAATAGCCATGAGGGTTCCTTTAGGAATTGCCACAGCAGGATCCTGGCCAAGGGAAACAAATGATAATGTGACAATTATCAGATTGATGGTTGGTCTAGTATTAATCTTGATGTTAATCCAGGGGTGAAATGCTCCTGGTTCAGACCGGATCGCCCTATCCGAGAGCGATGGTGGCGAGTGGTTCGGAGAACCGGTAGCAAAAATCCCTGCGCCTCCCCCGCCCACCCCACCCCCCCGTGCCCACGTGATCATCAGAGGCTTTTTTAAAAAAACTTTTAAAAGCATTTTTTCTACAACCCCTTCAGCTTTTAAAAGTAAAAAAAAAAAAGCCTCTGACGATCAGGCAACTCAGCTGGGATCGTCAGAGCCTTTTAAAAGCATTTTTTTAACAACCTCTTTGAGGTTGTAGAAAAAATGCTTTTAAAAGAAAAAAAAGCCTCTGACGATCACAGCTGAGAAGCGCGATCGTCAGAGGCTTTTTTTTTTTACTTTTAAAAGCATTGCTTTTAAAAAAAAATATTGCGCCCCACAGCTGATCACCCCCCCTCGTGCTCTGTTCTACTTACCGCACACCTCCTTTTGACGTGCACTGTGTGCGCACACCTCACATTTGGTACGTGGTGCGCACTGCGCATGCGCAACCAACAAACTGGTCGTAAACCGGTTCAGATTTCACCACTGTGTTAATCCCTGTTTATCTGGGAGTTGATTGCTAGTGAGGAGATGTTTTGATCTTTTTGTTTCCTTTTTTTTTTTTTTTTGGCTTTTTGGTTGTCCCTTTTGAATGATATGTAGATGTTGTTTATCGCTATGTGCGTGTTGATGGCCAATTTGTCTGAATGCCAGGCACCTTCAGGTAACCATCAAGCAGTAAACAGTACCCCAATCAAGGAACTAGCAAATCAGACAAACAACAATCAAGCAGTAAACAACAGTCTAAATCAAGGAACTGCCAAGAAGAAAACAACATGCCAATACTGAAAGGGCAAGCTACTGTATATAAACAGAGATGAAACACCACCCCTTCTAGCACTGCTAAGGTTATCTAGCTGGATAATGAGATGTCTGTAAGAATACAACCAAGCTCAAAGAGCATCAAGGATTCCTGTTCTGTCCCCGTCTCACACACACACACAAACAGACAGCCAGGGGTTAAATAAACTGGCAGACAACCAATTCTTCCGATAAGACGCTTGGCAGCAACCCAGTAGCTGCTTGCCAAGAACTTTTACTCAATAAACAAAATACACACAGTCAAGAATTATCCAGTTCGTAAAATAAATCCAAGGCCGATAATGTTGTTTCCAAAGATGCAATGTGACTCGATAGTAGTTAGTTTTGTCCGTCACAGAGTCTGAATGGCCACCTCACCCCCTTTTATACCCTGTGGGGTGTGGTCCAGTGACTCAGCCTAATCTCTGGCATGCCTTTTCTTCTGTTGCGTGCGCTTATCTCTGCAACGTTGCCGGGGATCCAGCCAAGACTCATTACCCTCATCACTGTCCACCTGTGGCTGCGTGGACGTAGTTGGCCCTGGCCCTATCTCTTGCCCTTCGGCGGACACCAGAGGCATTGCCAGAGAGGAGGGTCCTGGAGAGGGAGGCCTTGCCAACTCCTCTCCTTCACTCTCGGAGTCCTCTCCTGCCGATGACACAGACTCAGGTAACGGAGCCACAACAGATTCCATAGGTTTCAAATCCTTGACAGGCTCAAAGCAAATAAGTCTTAGTTCTCCTAAAATGAGACAGCCCTAATTAATTAATGGCTCCATTCATTTCTAGGAGACCTCACCAGTTATGGTGGCATGAGACACTTGACATTTTCTGCCTTGAGAGTTTGCATGCAAACATTGAGACGCATAGATGACACCCATTAATCCAAGGTGTCTCACCTGGCCAGGTACCCCTTCTCCTCCCTGTGGCCCCAGCCAACCAGGCCTACCTTCAAATCACCTGAAATGTTGGCTCCTGCCAAGATGCCAGTGGCTGATGGGAAGAAGATGGAAAACAAACCGAAGAAGCTGCCATCAGGTCCCCGCCAGCTGGGAACAAAGTTCTGAGCAAAAATGTTGGCTGAAGGAGAAAAAAAATTGGAATATTCGGGTTTATAAAGTTATGCTTGAACTTAGGGAAGTGCACGGAAGGAAGTGGGATAGTCATATCCATGCAATCAAAGTCTTGTTTCTTGGACACATAAAATGAAGGGACACAGCTTCCATCATCTATTTGGGACTGCCGTCTTGATTATTTTGAACCTCCCTATGTTGTGCCTGCTTGCACTCCTTTTTTTTTTTTTTTAATTTGATTTATATGCCGCCCTTCTCCGGAGACTCAGGGCGGCTTACAATGCGTTAAGCAATAGCCTTCATCCTTTTGTATATTTATACAAAGTCAGCTTATTGCCCCCACAAACTGGGTCCTCAATTTACCTACCTTAGAAAGGATGGAAGGCTGAGTCAACCTTGAGCCTTGGCGAGATTTCAACTTACAGTAATTGCAGACAGCTGGTGTTAATCACAATGCTATCAGTCTTTTAAAGCGATGTTTCTCAGCCCTGGCAATTTTAAGACATGTGGACTTCAACTCCCAGAGTTCCAATGCCAATATGGCTGACTATTGAATTCTGGGAGTTGAAGTCCACATGTCTTAAAGTTGCTACGGTTGAGAAGTAAATGTGGACTTCAACTCCCAGAATCCCTCAGGCAACATGTCTGGCCGTTGAATTCTGGGAGTTCAAATCTACATGTCTTACAAGTTGCTACGGTTGAGAAATAAACGTGGACTTCAATTCCCAGAATCCCTCAGGCAACACAGCTGACTGTTGAATTATGGGCATTGAAGTCCACATGTCTCAAAATTGCCAAGATTGAGAAACACTGTTCTAAAGTATTATTTATTCAGCCATCAAAAATAGCAGTTCTGAAATAAAAAGTTGTCCTAGAAGTCTGGTCCAAAACCTGGGAAAGGAGTTGCTAATTAGAACATGCCTCTCCATCCCCATCCGCTTCTTCTCATTCCACCCCTTGCACCAAATCAAAGGGTCCTGGAGCTGTTCAGCTGCAAACTGCCCCTTCTTCACGTCTCTCCCGCTCACCTCGGTAGCTGAAAAATCCTTTCGCCTGCTTCTCCTCAGTGGCTGGCATAACCGTCCCCACCAGGTAGTTAATGAAGGAAATCATGATCACCACGAAAAAGAGAACTTGAGCCTTGCAAAACCAAGCAAACAATACATGAAGGGCAGTTTGAAGAGTTTAGATCAGGGGTCAGCAACCTTAAACCCTCAAAGAGCCACAAAAGTCCTAACCGGAAGTCCCCATTCAATTCTGGAGCCGACCAGAAGTCCGGTTCCCCCACCGCACTCCTCCTAGTGTAGTGTCCTTTTTTCCTCTACCTGTCTTAACCAAAAGCCCTATCAATTGTGGAGTCGACCGGAAAACCCTCCCTTTGCCATAGAGTCTTCTCCTGGCACACCATGCTTCCCACCTCCCTAACTGGAAGCTCCTCTCAAAATTGTGGCGCCGACCAGCAACAGGGAGCCGCAGTAGAGAGATGAAAGAGCCACATGCGGCTCCAGAGCCGTGGGTTGCTGACCTCTGGTTTAGATCAATCTTCCCAGATCTGGTCTCCTTCGTACAGCCAAGTCCATCATGGCCAGTTTAGATTTCAGCTCCCCTCCCCCAATACAGTACTCCCTCTGGATATTGGACTAGAAACCCCATCATGCCCAGCCTAAGTGATCATGTAGGTTTGTTTGATGAAAGGACTCCTTCTCCCCATCCTCTTGGGGCTTCTTCAAAAATGTTGGCCATCCCTTTCCAACGTGATAGCTAATTTTTTCCCACCTTGATACCCTATTCATTTCTAAACTTCCATCCTCCTCAGCCAGCATGACAAAAGGACTTTCTTATCTTGGGTTTACTTAACTCAGGTGTCAGACTTCGATGCTATCTCAAAATAAATGAATTTCCAAACTGCCAATCTTTAAGGAAATCTTTTCTTTAATTGAGCATAGCCACCGGATCATGACTCGATGCGGACAAGACTGACCTTTTGCCCCCCAATCCCTCCCTTTCCGATCCCCAAATATCTGCTTCTCATTGGCTATCTTCCAAGTCATTCTTCAGATTTCTTGTCACGTCATTTCCCAGGAATGTCTCCCCCCTTCATTTCCACGACAACCGGACATCAAAGGGATTTAGCAGGCAGAAGTTCAGAGCTTATCTCTCTCTCTCTCTCTCTCTCTCTCTCTCTCTCTCTCTCTCTCTCTCTCTGCCAGTGAAACGTTGACAAAAGGGAAAGGAGCTGGTGGGGCGGAGAATTGGATTGCTCCAGTTTGGGGTGTGGGAATTTTGTTCTAAAGCTAGAATGGGTGACAAAGTCAAAGTCTCCCCCAACTACTCTTCAGTAACCAACTTTCTCCAATCTAGATATGATTGGGGTGTAATTCCCCAAATCCTTTGGCACTTTTGGCCAACACGCCTGAAGGATACCTAGCTATGAAAACAGAATCTGCCTTCCACTGATTTTTGAAAAGCTATTTGCAAGATCTCAGTTCAGATTTCCACTCAGAGTAAGTTCCTTCTCTCCAGTTTGTAGCATCTGGGAAAGGGAGAGAAGGTAGGGGGTTCTAAAAGGGGTTGAATATCCACAGCAGCGAGGATTATATTTGCACAATACTGGAAAAATGAAGATATACCGCAAGATGAAGGGACAGTCAAGAAGATAACTAGTTTGTGCAAAAATGGATAGATTGACATTGAAAATTAAACAGAAAGAAGATGTAGAATATGATCAAACATGGAATTGAGTTTATCAATGGTTGGAAAAAAGGAGATGGGGATTAAGAATGTAAATTTGTATTGTATTTTATTGTTATTGGGTTAAAATCTGAATATGGTTAGAGAAAATGACACAACAACATATTGATTTGAAACCTGAACTATTCCTATTGGGTATCTTACCAGAGAAATATAGTAAAGAAAATATATACTTGATTATACATATTATAACTGCAGCAAAGATTGTATTTGCACAAAATTGTAAAGCAGAGAAAATCCCTACAGAGGGAGAAGCCCTCTGCGCTGAGGTGGCGCAGTGGTTAGAGTGCAGTACTGCAGCTACTTCAGCTGACTGCTAGTTCAGCAGATCAGTGGATCAAATCTCACTGGCTCAAGGTTGACTCAGCCTTCCATCCTTCCGAGGTGGGTAAAATGAGGACCCGGATTGTTGGGGGGCTATATGCTATTTAGTATACTGTCTGGTGTAAGCCGCCTAGAGTCCTCGGAGAGTGGGCGGCATAGAAATATGACTAATAAAATAAATAAAATAATAAATAAAGTAATTAAGAAAATATTGGAATGTGCAGAAATGAATAGAGTAACATTGGCAATTTAAAAAAAAAGAAGAATCGGAGTATTTTAAGGTATGGGGGCAATTTTATCAATTAGAGAAGAGTTATACATGAAAATTAATATAATTAAAAATTTTTGGGAAAAAATAAAGAATTGAATGAAGATGTAAAAGTAAGATAGAAATGTAGTAAGAAAAATGGGGAGAAAGGAGGCATAAAATGAATTAATATAAACGTAAGAAATTTGGAAAGAAGGTTGTAATAAATGAAATTAATATATAAAGATATGATAGAAATATAGTAAGAAAATGATGGAGGAGGAAGTAGAGGATACAAAATATGTACTCAGATGACACACTGAATGATTAATGGTGCATTGTTTGTTTGCTTGTTTGGTTGTTTGGTTAAAAAATAAAAAAAATCTTTTTACTAAAAAAAAGAATGTAAATTTGTATTGTTAAGCAAATTAAATACCCAGACAACCCGATGTTTATTAAGCACTAAGAAATGTATTCAGTGGTGGGTTTCAATTTTTTTTACTCCTGGTTCTGTGGGCGTGGCTTGGTGGGCATGGTGTGGCTTGGTGGGTGTGGCTTGGTGAGCATAGCAAGGGAAGGATACTGTAAAATCTCCATTCCCCCCCCCACTCCTGGGGGAAGGATATTGCAAAATCTCCATTTCCTCCCAATCAGCTGGGACTTGGGAGTTAGAGAATAGATGGAGTCAGAATTTTTACTACCGGTTCTCCGAACTACTCAAAATTTCCGCTACCAGTTCTCCAGAACTGGTCAGAACCTGCTGAAACCCACCTCTGAATGTATTGAATAGAAAATCCATTTTAAAAAAAGAAATAAATAAAAAGTGTTGAATATTCAGAGGTCCACTTCCCAGTTTCAGTGGAGTTGGCCTTGCTCATTCCTGACCAACAACTCAGTCATGATGGCCAAGATGGCCCACCATCTAAGGTTTATGAGATGTGTAGACCGTGGAAAGACATAATTCCCACCATGGAAGATACTTCCTCCCAAATCAGCCCAATCTTCCCCAATAACGCACTTACCTTGGCTTCCCACTCCATCCCAGCCAAGGATACTCCAAGCAACACTGTCACGGTGACAACCCCAATGATGCGGATGTCGTTGGTAGGGTCCACCATGCTTGAGTTATATTCCTTTGGAGAGAAAACCCCAACCCTCAGTCAACTGCAAATTTCCTGGATTGGGCCAAAGGACTGTCCACCACCCTACAGATGGAACTCAAGATTAAAAAATAAGAAAGAAAGAAAAAGGGCCTGATAGATTCCTAGCAAGTCCAGGTGAACAGAGTTGAAAAGCTCTGAAGGGCTCATTAGAGGAACAGATGTTTCAGTTTCCATAACTCTTAGAAGCCAGAAGCTTTCTTTGAACCCTGAGAAATAATAATCTAGGAAGAAGCTCAGGTTGGCCACTTCCTGACTTTAAGAATAGAATAGAATAGAATAGAATAGAATAGAATAGAATAGAATAGAATAACAGAGTTGGAAGGGACCTTGGAGGTCTTCTAGTCCAACCCTCTGCTTAGGCAGGAAACCCTACACCACTTCAGACAAATGTTTATCCAACATCTTCTTTCAAACTTCCAGTGTTGGAGCATTCACAACTTCTGGAGGCAAGTTGTTCCATGGATTAATTGTTCTAACTGTCAGAAAATTCCTCCTTAGTTCTAAGTTGCTTCTCTCCTTGATTAGTTTCCACCCATTGCTTCTTGTCCTGCCTTCAGGTGCTTTGGAGAATAGCTTGACTCCCTCTTCTTTGGGGCAGCCTCTGAGATATTGGAACACTGCTATCATGTCTCCCCTAGTCCTTATCTTAATCAAATTATAACAATGCAGTCTTTCTAGTCTTCATGTGGAATTGGTTTCCTAATTTGGGCAGCCTTGAAGGGCTGACACTGTTTTCTTCTGAAACATCTCTTGGACTTCCCAACCTGGTCTAACCCATAGCTTTGAGAGATCTGGTGATCTCCATTCAAATACTAACCAAGATCAGCCTTGGCTAGGTCTCAATGAAAACATGCCCCAATCAAACAAAGCAAACATCTCCCATGCTTCCCTTCCCACCAATCGCTCCCACTGTGATCGCATCGTACCTGCAAGAGGTCTCGCACTGTTTCTGCAAAGCCCACGGTATGCATGGCCACGGCCACAGCATTGGCAAAAGCGAAGATAAGGCCAATGGAGCCTCCCAACTCTGGCCCAAGGCTTCTTGAAATGAGGAAGTATGTCCCACCTAAAAAGATGGGAGCAATGCAATCAGTACAGCCGCTTTTCAAATTTATTTATTTCAAGTGTGGCATCTACAGAGGTCATGCAATCACTGATTGTTGTTGTTGTTGTTGTTGTTGTTGTTGTTAGTTGCAGCCCCATGAACAACGTTCCTCCAGGCCTTCCTGTCCTCTACCATCCCCCGGAGACCATGCCTACTGCTTTGGTGACTCCATCCAGCCACCTCGTTCTCTACCATCCCCTTCTTCTTTTGCCCTCCATCGTTCCCAGCATTAGGCTCTTCTCCAGTGAGTCCTTCCTTCTCATTACGTGGCCAAAGTATTTGAGATTCCTCTTCAGGATCTGGCCTTCTAAAGAGCAGTCAGGGTTGATCTCCTCTAGGACTGACCGGTTTGATCGCCTTGCAGTCCAAGGGACTCGCAGGAATCTTCTCAAGCATCAGAGTTTAAAGCAATGACTGGTACCCAAATTACTAAATTAATGAATTGTAAGTTGTAACTATGATTTATGATGGAGTTAGCAGAGATGGCAAAAGTGGCTGTTTTAAATAACAGAAGAGCAGAGTTGGAAGGAATCTTGGAGGTCTTTTAGTTCAATCCCCCTGGACAAGCAGAAGACCCCATACCAGGGGTGTCAAACTGGCGGCCCGCAGGCCGGATGCATCACATGCAAGCCACGCCCACCCCAGCTCCATGAATGGGAAAACGTCCCGAAACGTCACGTGACGGCAACGTGATGCAGCGAGTTTGACACCCGTGCCCTATACCATTCCAGATAAATACTGTAGATGTCCACTCTGCTCTTGAAAACCTCCAATGATGGACCACCTACAACTTCTGGATGCTCCATCACTGGAAGTTTTTAAGAAGAGCCTATCTAATTTTGTTTCTACTTGGAAACCACTACTGGATTTTTTTAATTTTTTAATTTTTGCTCAAATGATTCACAGATGAAACTGTGCTTTTAGTTTAATAATTAGAATGATTTATTATTATTATTATTATAGAAATGGCTTGAAATGTAAGGCATAAGGTTGAGATTGTAATTTTTTTATTTTATATTTTACTGCCCTGAAGTCAGAAGTTATTACTCTTTTCCCTTTTTCTTAGCCCTTCTCTCTTTCTCTCAGTTCCAAACAGGGTGGATTTGATTTAAATCGAGTTGATTTAAATCACGATTTAAATCATGATTTAAATCACTAGTAAAAAGACTTGATTTAAATCAACTCAATTTAAATCATAATTTTTAAAGAGCAACTGTCATCTCTGCTACTCCTTTGACCCACTGTTGACTCACCGATAGTCCCAGTGTTGCAGAATATGCAGCCTCACGCTACATAACTAAGCTCCATTTCATGCTGAATAAGCTAAATTATTTATGTATCTTAAATAGAAAACTATCTTATGATAGATTTTTACCCCAAAAGTTTTTTATTAAAATAAATTCGATAAAAATCAAAAAATCTGATTTAAATAAAAAATCTGATTTAAATTTAAAAAAATCCGATTTAAATCAAAAAAATCCATTTTTTTTTAATTTTTTTAAAAAAATCATTGATTTTTATCCACCCTGGTTCCAAAACTTTTGTTTCTTTTTATCTTATAATGAAACTTTATTTTTAAAAAAATCTATATTTAAAGAGAGAGAGGGAAAGGTTGTCTAAATATTTGGGAGAATGCTCTCTGCACACCCCAATGATTTCACTTGTTCTTGGGCTATTGAATAAATTTTCTACCTGATTTGACTTTGCCGTTGGTGGAGATGGCAGAAATGGATAATCCAGTGATGGTGGTCACAGTCACAGACATTAGAATGATCACCCAAGTCAGCGCTGCAAAATGAAAGAAGACATTTCGATTATCTTGTGCTAGAAGGCTTTCCCTCAAGTGGGCTTCTCCAACTTCCGTTCCTCTTAGGCAAGGGTCTCCAAACTTAGCAACTTTTAAGACTCGTGGACTTCTTCATCTCCCAGAATTCCCCAACCGGCCATGCCCAGCAGCCAATGAATTTGACAGGACTTACCTATGCCTGCTTGTGCAGTGATCCAAGGAAGCCGGAGGTACAGGATCACACCCCAGATGTTAAGCATGCAACGAATCTAGAAGGCAGAAGCAGCAACTAGTAACTGGGAAGGACCAGGGGTGGGCTTCAGATCTTTTAGCAATGGGTTCGCTGCCCCGTTGCTGTGTGGGCGTTTCCATGGTGGGCGTGGTGTAATCGGCACCACAGCACAGGGGATGGTTTTTGCCCTCCCCAGGCTCCGGAGGCTTTCCTCGAGCCTCCGGGAGGCGAAAACTGCTTTCTCCAGAGTCCGGAGGCTCTCTGGAGGTTAGAAACAGGGCCTTTTCTGGACTTCCAGAACCTCGGTAGGCCCGTCCACATGGCCACTGCACTTACCTGGAATGATGAACGAGCCGTGTGGAGACTCCGGGGGGGGGGGGGGGGGGGGGGGGGGGGGGGGAGGAGCGGGATGGGGTGGGCATGGGCGTGGCCAGCCAGAGGTGGCATTTGGGAGTTCGCTGAACCCCGGGGATTCTTGGCTAGAGGATCGACCGAACCCTGCCGAACCCCTAGGAGCTTACCCCTGGGAAGGACGACAGATAGAAGGTCCTCAAGGAAAACCAGAGATCGGATGCTAGGAACACTTCAGTTAGCTCCGTGAGATCACAAAATATAGAATACTGAATAACAGAGTTGGAAGACATCTTGGGGGTCTTCTAATTTAACCCCTTGCCCAAGCAGGAGACCTTATACCCGTGATGGAGAACTATGGCATGCATGCCCGAGGTGGCACACATCTTTCCGGACATGCGAGCCTTCACCCAACTCACCTGTAGCTGCACATGTGCGTGCACCAACAGCTGGTGTTCAGGCTCCAGTACGCATGCGCGCAATTCCAGAGACCTAGCTGGTCTTCGGAGCTCTCCTGTGCATTTGCACACACGTGTGAGAGTACCTATGCGCAGCGCACACATGCGCAGATGCCGTTCAGATTGCATGCACAGAACACGGGGGAGCCGCGCAAAAGCCACACGCATGCACAAATGGTGTGGTTGTGCACGCAGCGCACAAGGGAGGAGTCACACGTAAGTGAAGCGCATACTTGTTTGGCATTCAGTGAGTAAGAGGTTCACCACCACTGCCCTGTACCATTCTGGACACTGGCATTCTGGCTGTCTAATCTTTTCTTGAAAGCGTCCATTGATGGAGCGGCCAAAAGTTCTGGAGACAAGCCGTTTCACCGATTAATTGTTCTAGCAGGAATTTTCTCCTCAATTCTAGGTTGGATCTCTCTCTTCCATCACCTTCCATCTGTTAGTTCTTGTCCTGCCTAACTGTATCGGCTTGATCGTTGCTCCACCAGCAAACAGTTTTTAATGGTTGTTTTGAACAGTGGTGAAATCCATTTTTTTTTACTCCCGGTTGTGCGGGCGTGGTTTGGTGGGAGTGGTGTGGCTTGGTGGGTGTGGCTTGGTGGGCGTGGCAGGGGAAGGATACTGCAAAATCTCCATTCCCACCCCACTGCAGGGGAAGGATACTGCAAAATCCCCATTCCCTCCCCACTCTGGGGCCAGCCAGAGGTGGCATTTGCCAGTTCTCTGAAATACTCAAAATTTCCGCTACCAGTTCTCCAGAACCTGTCAGAACCTGCTGGATTTCCCCCAGTGGTGAAATGTAAAATTTGTTACTACCAGTTCTGTGGACGTGGCTTGGTGGTGGTGGGGGGAGTAATGTGATTGGGTGGGCGTGGCCAACTTTTTTTTTAACTTTTAAAACCATTTTTTCTACAACCTCTTCAGCCGAAGCGGTTGTTAAAAAAATGCTTTTAAAAGCCTCTGACGATCCCAGCTGAGTTGCCTGATCATCAGAGGCTTTTTGCATTTTTTCAGCCGAAGAGGTTGTAGAAAAAATGCTTTTAAAAATAAATTTAAAAAAGCCTCTGATGATTGCACGGCTCAGCTGGGCATAGGGGGGGCAGGGATTTTTGCTACCGGTTCTCCGAACCACCCGCCGCCATCGCTACCGGATCAGGTGATCCGGTCCGAACCGGGATCATTTCACCCCTGGTTTTGAATAATTTGAAGAATCAATTGCTTTGGGGGATGAGAGAGAGAGACAGACAAAGAGAGAGGGAGAAGGAAAGAAATCCAGGTAGACCTTGACTTAGCAAGCGGTCACTTAGCAACCAGTGGAAGTTCTGAGGGATCTACATAAGGAGTCCTTACAACTTGAATTTGAAGTTCCAATGGCTGGGCTTCTCCCAGGGTCATGTGACCTCATTTCAGGTGCTTGGCAACCAGGCTGCATTTATGAATATTGCAGCCTTCTGCAATCAAGTGACCACAATTTGCTTCTTTTTTGGCAGCCTATAGCGAATCATAGGTTCATTTAACAACCGCTGTAAAAAACGTCATGAAAGCAGGTCGATTGATCTGCTTTACGACCATGAAGAGTTGCAAGCATGATGGACAGGCTCCATTACAGTTATAACTTGAGGACTACTTTAGCTAAAGATTTAGAAGACGGAATGAGGGGTCCTTGGTGCTTTCTGAGCTTGGTGGGGTTTTATTTTTATTTTTTATTTTTTTTTGCAGATGTGTCATTACCTAATCTAGATGACATCATCAGTGCTAGAAACCAGGGCTGAAATCCAGCAGGTTCTAACAGGTTCTGGAGAACCGGTAGCGGAAATTTTGAGCAGTTCGCAGAACTGGCAAATACCATCTCTGGCTGGGAATGGGAATGGGGATTTTGCAATATCCTTCTCCCAGGAGTGGGGAGGGAATGGGGATTTTGCAGTATCCTTCCCCCAGGAGTGAGGAGGGAATGGGGATTTTGCAGTACCCTTCCCCTGCCACGCCCACCAAGCCACACCACGCCGAGCCACACCACGCCCACCAAGCCACGCCCACAGAACCGGTAGTAAAAAAAAAATGGATTTCACCACTGCTAGAAGCCCCATATCCTTCTAACACTGATGATGTTATCTAGGTTGTGATAAAATGTCTGCAAGAAAACCACTCAAGGTCAGAGAGCACCAAGGACTCCTCATTTCAACCCTGAGCTACAAATATTCTCCTTTATTAGAAAACAGAATGTCAGGGAAAGAAACGCTGGAATTTACACAGCGCTGGAATTCTGCCTCTCCGTGGATCTATTTTGTGGTGTTTTTTCCCCTTTCTTTTCTGAAAATTATGACCGTACAAATATTCTTAACATTTATTCAAATTAACACAATATTTCTCCACTATGTAGTCTTGCGTCTTTAGTTGTTTGGGTCCTTAAGGTCCATTCAGTGGCAGGAAGTTGTGGCTTTAAGAAACTGTAATGTTGTAGCATTATGTGAGATGCAGTGGCTCAGTGGCTAAGACACTGAGCTTGTCAATCGAAAAGTCGGCAGTTCAGCGGTTCAAATCCCTAGTGCCGCGTGACGGGGTGAGCTCCCGTTCCTTGTCCCCGAACCTAGCAGTTCGAAAGCACATAAAAAATGCAAGTAGAAGAATAGGGACCACCTTTGGTGGGAAGGGAACAGTGTTCCATGTGCCTTTGGCGTTGAATCATGCCAGCCACATGACCACGGAGACGTCTTCGGACAGCGCTGGCTCTTTGGCTTTGAAACAGAGAAGAGCACCGCCCCCTAGAGTCGGGAACGACTAGGACATATGTGCGAGGGGAACCTTTACCTTTACCTTTAACGTTGTGGCTTTGGAGATTTAAGCTTAATTTGTACCTCTGCTTTAGGACTGTTAAAATTATATCATAAAAATCAGGCAAGAGATCAAGAGCATGTTGTCCTTTAGGTGAGACCAAGCTGGTCCAGGATGGTGAACACAGTAGCCCAAAGCATTGAGTGGGGTTGGAAAGGATCGTGTAAAGATTTAGATGATCTGTGAAAGCTACTCACCATTACCCCCTTGGCCCACCCGAATCGGACGGGCTCTCCTTGATTCTTCTCTTTCTCCTTACCAGCCTCTTCTCCCACCACTTCTTCGGAGAAGCTGTTGCTTCTGTGGGCTTCGTATCTCGGAGGATGCCGGTGGCTATTTTCTTGCTGGAAAAACACACGGACAGAGAGGATGGTTTCTAAGAAGGAAGGATATTAGGTCGATAAAAGTTTGGAGAATGTGGGGGGTGCCCATATACTTGAGAAGCATCAGGAACGATAGGATGGTTATCTCAATGTGCTTCGCTTGGAGGACTTCACTCTGAAACAGAAACAGCACAAGAGCAGGCTCCGGAGAAGGCTGAAGAATCGTAGTTTTGATTTTAGGAAGGAAATGCCCCAGCAAAGTTTCCATGTGGAAGAGACAACAGCAGTAGCTGTGATATCAGGGAAGGGAAGGGAAGGGAAGGGAAGGGAAGGGAAGGGAGAAGAAGGGGAAGGAGAGGATGAAGAAGGGGAGGAAAGGGAAGGGAAGAGTGAAGAAGGGGAAGGAAGGATGAAGAGGAGGATGAAGAAGAGAAAGGAAAAGGAGAGAGAAAAATGAAGAAAGAGAAGGATGAAGGGAAAGGAAGGGGATGAAAGGAAGGGAAGGATGAAGAAAGGGAAGGAAGGGGAGGATGAAGGGAGAGGAGAATGAAGAAGGGAAAGGAAGGAAAGGGAAGTGAAGGAAGAAGGGGAAGGAGAGGAGGAAGAAGGGGAGGAAAAGGAAGGGAAGAGTAAAGAAGGGGAAGAAAGGATGGAGGGGAGGGGAGGATGAAGAAGAGAAAGGAAAAGAAGAGGGGAAGATGAGGAAAGAAAAGGATGAAGGGAAAGGAAGGGGATGAAAGGAAGGGGAGGATGAAGGGAGAGGAGAATGAAGAAGGGGAAGGAAGGGAAGGGAAGGAAGAAGAAGGGGAAGGAAGGATGGAGGGGAGGGGAGGATGAAGAAGAGAAAGGAAAAGGAGAGAGGAAGATGAAGAAAGAAAAGGATGAAGGGAAAGGAAGGGGATGAAAGGAAGGGGAGGATGAAGAAGGGGAAGGAAGGGGAGGATGAAAGGAAGGGGAGGATGAAGAAGGGGAAGGAAGGGAAAGGAAGGAAGAAGAAGGGGAGGAGAGGATGAAGAAGGGGAGGAAAAGGAAGGGAAGAGTGAAGAAGGGGAAGGAAGGATGAAGGGGAGGGGAGGATGAAGAAGGAAAAGGAAAGGGGAAGATGAAGAAGGGGAGGGGAAGATGAAGAAAGAAAAGATGAAGGGAAAGGAAGGGGATGAAAGGAAGGGGAATGGAGGATGAAGAAGGGAGGGGAGGATGAAGGGGAAGGAGAGGATGAGGAAAAGAAGGATAAAGAATGAAGGCGAGAGGAAGATGAAGAAGGGGAGGGGAAGATGAAGAAAGAAAAGGATGAAGGGAAGTGAAAGGAAGGGGAGGGGAGGATGAAGAAGGAGAAGGGGAGGATGAAGGGAGAGGAGGATGAAGAAGGGAAGGGAAGGGAAAAGAGGAAGGGGGTGGCTCTGAATTAGTTGGACTATACCTTAAGAAAAGAGTGCAGATCCGCAAGCGTTGGTCTCGGTTTCTGGATTTCACCACAGAGCTTGGTGTTGGCATAGTTTTCATAGCTGGGCACAACATCAACGGTGTTATATCCAAAGGTCTGCATGTAGAAGGTGCTGTTATGGGTACAGTGGCTGGTTTGGGTGATGTCATAGGGAGCAGCTCCCGTTTGACTGTAGGAGTTGGTGCCGCTACCCTCCGGGCTGAACAGGGTGCTAATGGTGAAGCGGCCATTCAGACACTCCCGATCTTCTCCCCGTTGGATCCTTGGCAGCTCCACCATCTCGGGCCCTCCCCTCTTCATCTCGATTCCCCCTGAAATCACAGGTCCCAGGGAAGAGGAGTGGGCAGATTGGGGTCTGTAACGCAGCGGGGTCAGACATGCAGGCTTTTTATCGCCTACGAAACCAGAAAAAGCTGGCCCAAAATAATGATCGGAGAGACTCCCGCGCTCGTGGCTGAAAACAGTAGCCTGCAGGAATCTCACACTCACCAATTCCAGTTCTAGATCAGGACAGAGATAACAGATTTGGTATTAAGTCCTAAGGAAAAAAAGCTGATGAAAAACCCACCTAAACAGAAGGCTGGAACAAGGCTTCCGCCGTGGTTCATTTTGTTTGGGTACATTAAGCTGCTCTTATCTTCTAATTAGCTGGGAAGGAATGGGGGCACGGCTTTATGGATTATTTTATGAGAATGAGTCTAATGTGCTCTGACTTCTCCTGAACCCGTGATGGTGAACCTATGGCACACGTGCCACAGGAGGCATGTGGAGCCATGTCGCCTGGCACGCCAGCTCAGCTCTGGTGCCAGCTGATTTTCGGGCTTTCTGGGCCCACCAGAAGTAGGGAAACAGGCTGTTTCCTGCCTCCGGAGGGCCTGGGTGGGTGGAGAAGGCCCGTTTTTCTTTCTCATCTGGCTCCAGATCCTCTCTATGCATCTGGGGAGGGCGAAAACAGCCTTCCCTACCCCCTCGGAGGCCCAAAACGGCTCATTTCCCAATTGTCGGTTGGATAGGAAGTGATGCTTTTTGCTGTCCCCAGCTCCAGAGCCTCTCTAGGAGTGTGGGGGAGGGGGGGTCATACGCACATGCACGGGGCGGGTCGCATAGAATTATGGGTGTGGGCATGCACGCACGCAAACCTCCATCCCCTTCCTGGCACGCAATGGCAAAAAGGTTAGCTATCACTGTCCTAAATTATATTTGATTTAGGAAACTTACGATACAAGTAGTCCTCGACTTACGACTGAAATTGAGCCCAAAAGTTCCATTGCTAAGCAAGACAGTGGGTAAGTTGAATTTTGCCCCATGGTACAACCTGCCTTGCCACTGTGAATCATTGCGGTTGTTAAGTTACCGTATTTCCCTGTATTTTTTTTATATTTCTTTGAACCCCGAAATAATGGCCTTATTTTTGGGGAGGTCTTATTATTTTGGGGCACGTGGAGCAAGACGGGGCTCCTCTTGCTGTCTTACCTGATTTCCAGTTCTGTCTCCCTAACCCTAACCAGAGGAAATGGCGGGGACCGGCTGCCCATGAGTTTAAATATTTTCGGGGGCGCTTATTTTTAGCACATGCGCTCAAAAGCCCGATTGGGCTTATTATCAGGGGAGGTCTTATTTTCAGGAAACAGCATAGTAACAAGGTTGCTAAATTGAATCTGTCTTCCCCATGGACTTGGCTTGTCAGAGGGTCGTAAAAGATGATCACATGCCAGTGATAAAATCTAAAATTTGTTAGTACCGGTTCTGTGGGCGTGGCTTGGTGTGTGGGGGGTAATGTGACTGGGTGGGCGTGGCCAATTTTTTTTTAACTTTTAAAACCATTTTTTCTACAAACTCTTCAGCGAAGAGGTTGTAAAAAAATGCTTTCAAAAGGCTCTGACAATCTCAGCTGAGTTGCCTGATCGGCAGAGGCTTTTTTAAAAAGCCTCTGATGATTGTGCGGCTCAACTGGGCATGGCGGGGGGGGGCAGGGATTTTTGCTACCGGTTCTCCGAACCACCCGCCTCCATCGCTACCGGATTGGGCGATCCGGTCCGAACCGGGAGCATTTCAGCCCTGCCACTGGCCAAGATTAAAATCAAATTTTGATCATGTGACCGCAGGGGGATGCTGCAACGGTCCTAAATCACTTTTTTCAGTGCTGTTGTAAATTCAAACAGTCACGAAATGAGCGGTTGTAAGTCAAGGATTACACGTAGTAAAGAAAGTCTTTGAAAGTTAAAGGTGCATGCGTACACAAAGTCAAAAGCATCAGTGCCGGTCGGAATGATCTGTTTTTCCAGATTTACATCTTCCCTTTTCAATAATCAATAGCCATTGCATTTTAAGAAAAATTACTTGCACTGTTCTCTCTTCTGATTCATATATGATAACTGAGTTCCGGCCAACAGGCCAGTGGTGGGATTCAAAATGTTTTACTACCGGTTCTGTGGGTGTAGCTTGGTGGGCGTGGCAGGGGAAGGTTACTGCAAAATCCCCATTTCCTCCCCACTCCTGGTGGAAGGATACTGCAAAATTCCCATTCCCTCCTCACTCCTGGGGGAAGGATACTGCAAAATCCCCATTCCTTCCCCACTCCAGGGGAAGGATATTGCAAAATCTCCATTCCCTCCCCACTCCTGGGGGAAGGATACTGCAAAATCCTCATTCCCTCCCGACTCCTGGGGCCAGTCAGAGGAGGTATTTACCGGTTCTCCGAACTACTCAAAATTTCCGCTACCGGTTCTCCAAAACTAGTCAGAACCTGCTGAGTACCACCTCTGCAACAGGCCATGGAATGGCATAGTTCCTGAAGACTGAAAACATGGGGAGATGAAGATGTTCAGTCTGAAGGAAAGGAGACCATGAGAATACATGAGAAACCAGTCTGGTCTAGTGCAAACTTGGTGTCAAACTGGATTTCTTCGAGGGCCGGATCAGCATTGTAGTTCTCCTCCACGGGCTAGCAGGGGGGGGGAGGGGGGCGCTCCCTCGCACCCCATTTTGGTCTGTAAAACATTGCAGGAGGCCATCCAGGCCAAGAAAGGGTTGCACGGGGGGTGGTTCCCCATTTTGGCTGCCAGAAGCCCCGTGCTTCTGTGGTTTCCAGGCTCTGACCCACCAGCCACATTTAAACATCCCACGCACCGGATCTGGCCCACCGGCCTTGAGTTTGACACTCACTAGACTAGGATAAAACATGGGAGACTGTGAGTTCTAGTGTGGCCTTATCTGTGAAAGGCAGTTGGGTGACTTTGGGCCGATCACCAAGAAACAGTGAGTTCTAGTCCGGTTTTAGCCATGAAGATCAGTTGGGTGACTTTGGGTCGATCATCCGGGAACAGTGAATTCTAGTCCTACCTTACCCATGAAAGCAAGCCAGGTGACGTTGGGCTTGTCCCTCTTTCTCTCTCTGTCTCTCTCTCAGCCCAACCTACCTCACAGGGTTGTTGTTGAGGGGAAAGTAGGAGGAGGAAGCTGTGCTGGATATATTCCCCACCTTCAGTTATATTTTTTTATTATTTTTTTTTTATTTGATTTATATGCCGCCCTTCTCCGGAGACTCAGGGCGGCTTACAATGTGTTAAGCAATAGCCTTCATCCTTTTGTATATTTATACAAAGTCATCTTATTGCCCCCACAAACTGGGTCCTCATTTCACCTACCTTAGAAAGGATGGAAGGCTGAGTCAACCTTGAGCCTTGGCGAGATTCGAACCCTGCAATAATTGCAGGCAGCTGGTCTTAATAAGCTTAATAACAGGGTGCCTTAAACCCCTGTACTACCAAGGGTCTGTTACCAAGGCTGAGTCAACCTTGAGCCTTGTAAGATTCGAACCTGCAGTAATTGCAGGCAGCTGTGTTAATAACAGGGTGCCTTAGACCACTGTACTACCAAGGCCCTATATGTAAAAATAAAGTGGGATACAAATCAACAAATAAATGATTTGAGTTTTCAAGCACACAGGTAAATGAGGGTGGTAGGTAAAAGCTCAGGAACTATTTCCCATAACTTTGGGAACTGAGATCGGAAATAAAGCATAGGGGAGTTTCTTTATTCAGTAGGAAAAAACCTCCTGCTGCTAGGATCTGTATCACAGTGGGACAGTCTGTCTTCGATTGTAAAGCGGGGGGGACATATTTAAGGTTCTTGCCACTCAAGGAAAAGGTGAGATGGAAAGAAAATTGGTTAGAAAGTCAAGTTTACTTTGGCCCTTCCAACCTTTGTCCCAGAAAAGCATTGAGCTGTAGCTGCCGACACCGTAATTTTCAACGTTTAGGGAGGCTCGTTTTCTCAAAATCAAGTGTTTTTGTATATAGTTTAAGATTGGTTCTATTTCAAGATCTCATATGATCTCATATTTTATTTTATCCCTTCTGGTCACTCCAGCAGCACTGGAAAACTTTTTTAAAAAAAGAATTTAATTTTGGCTGAATGGACCTCATAAGATCCAGAGTTGACTCACGCTGTCCCTTTTAGTTCCCTGGATGAATTTATTTATTTATTTATTATTTAAATTTGTATACCGCCCTTCTCCCGAAGGACTCAGGGCGGTGAACAGCCAAAATTTAAAACACATACAATATAAAAATTAAAAAGAATTAAAACAGAATTAAATCAATTTGGCTTCCCTAAATTTTAAAACCCTTTCCCCATAAAATAACCCATTAAAATTTTAAGCCAGCCCGGCTTGCTGGAATAAGAAGGTCTTTAACGCTCGGCGGAAAGTACGGAGGTCCGGGATCAGTCGTATTCCTGGGGGTAGTTCGTTCCAGAGGGCGGGTGCCCCCACACAGAAGGCTCTCCCCCTGGGGGTCATCAGTCGGCATTGCTTGACCGACGGCACCCTGAGGAGACCCTCTCTGTGGGAGCAAATTGGCCGGTGGGAGGTTATCGGTGGCAGGTGGTCTCGTAAGTACCCGGGCCCTAAGCCATGGAGCGCTTTAAAGATGAGAACCAATATCTTGAAGTGCACCGGGAGCCAGTGCAGCTCGCGCAGGAGAGGTGTTACATGGGAGCGCCATGTCGCCCCCATAATTACCCGCGCGGCCGCATTCTGGACCAGCTGGAGCCTCCGGGTGCTCCTCAAGGGGAGCCCCATGTAGAGAGCATTGCAGTAGTTGGGTTCTCCCTTATCCTAGGCAACCTCACAAAATTGTGGAGAGGGTAACACGGAGCGAAGAGCCTCACCGACACCGGAGGAATGGCTATAAATGTCATCGTACAAATATCGGCTCGCAGTTGGAAAACCCTGTTGGAATAAGTACTCCCTATTCAAACTGCTGAATTGGGCTGATGGCTGCAGGGTAGCGATTTGCCAAGTCACTTAGCAACTTTCAAGCTTAGACAGATAATGAGCTGGGGGAAAAAAAACCTTTGGAATCGAGGACTACCGCTCTTTTTCGCCAGCTAATGCAAAACCGAGCCAGTTTTCTGTTGGGCTGTTGAAGGGTGATTGGGCAAGCGCACAATAAATTAAGATTTATTTTTAGCCGCTGCATTGTAGTGGGTTTAGGTTTTTGTTTCGAATCTTTGGCTCCGATTACTCTTCTCCTCTTCAAATTGGGGTGGGAAAAAAACCACCAGATCTTCCTCCAAAAATTAAGTACTTCAAATTCTAACCATCGTGGAGGTTGTCCAGTGGAGGAAAGCTATTCTAAGATCTGCAAATTATAAGCAGTTTTTTCTCTCTCCAAGAGTATATTTTGGACAACTAAGAAAAGCCAAAGGATCATTACACAATGTCTATGGAGATTCTCAGTCATGGTTGTCCCAAAGGTGCATTTTCAAAAGGCAACTGGACTTCGTGAGTTTTTTTTCCTGAAGACGTTTCGCTTCTAATCCAAGAGAGGCTTCTTCGGTGAACTGAAGAAACTTCTTGAATGAGAAGTGAAACATCTTCAAGTAAAAACAAAAACTCGCATTTCGAAAAAGCACCTTTGGAACGATCATTAAGCAAATGGACTCCAGAGCTTTCACTCAAGACTCAAAACCGCCAGGATCAAATTATCCTACTTCGGACATACTACAGGCAAAGACCCAGCTTTTTGGCGAAAGCCACGAGTGCTGTTCAGCAGATTCTGTAAGGTTCTGGAGAACCGGGAGCGGAAATTTTGAGTAGTTCGGAGAAACGGCAAATACCACCTCTGGCTGGCCCCAGAGTGGGCTGGGAATGGAGATTTTGCAATATCCTTCCCCCAGGAGTGGGGAGGGAATGGGGATTTTGCAGTATCCTTCCCTCAGGAGTGGGGCGGGAATGGGGATTTTGCAGTATCCTTCCCCTGCCACGCCCATCAAGTCACACCACGCTCACCGAACCGGTAGTAAAAAAATTTGAATTCCACCACTGGAGAAAGCTCTAATGTTGGGAAAGGTGGAAGGAAAGAGAAGACAACCAGCAGCAAGGTAGATGAACTCAGTTAGAGGTGTTGAAGGCATCATTGGGAGACCCAAAGGACCAGATTAGAACAGATCACCACAAAGAAAATCTACCTATGTGGTTGCTAAGAGTTGACAATTACATGATGGTATGTAATCAACCACCTGTCAGCACTTCAAGCTGCATTTACTCTAGTGCTGACATAAGAAGGAGGAGCGGAGGCATCTGTAAAGGGACGTTTGACTTTTCACCTACTTATTTTCTCTGGAGATAATATCCCCTAGGAGATGGGGTGGGAAGGGGGAAATTCCTTTGAGCTGGAGCAGTAGATTAGGGGTAGAGTGACTTGGAAGATGGCCAATGAGTGCAGGGGAGTGGGGAATGGAAAGGGAGGGTTTTGGGTCTGGAAGTCAGTGTTGGCTACGATGGAGTTGGAGTTAGAATGTCGTGCTTAATAAATGGGAGTTTTTCATCAAAGACTTTGTTTGAAATGCAATTTACTTGAGACGACCTTGAAACCTGACACCACCCTCCTCTCCTTCCCTGGGGTGTTTAGTTCCTATATCTCCTCCCCCATTCCTGGTTCTCCCTCCCATGTGCCCAACTGAAAACCTCTTCAGGGGAGCTACTTTGCCCAGCCCGATCCTGTACCACCATCCTGTTCTCAGCTCCATTCTTACAGGCAGCGGAAGAGTTGCGAGCGGGGTGGGTGGGGGGAGGATGAAAGAGAGGAGGAAAGGGCTCAAAATGAAATCCTGAGAATTTTGATACATGTGTGTAGCGGTGAAATCCTCTGAAGTCCGCTACCGGTTCTGGGAGTCCGCACGCGAAGCCTGCCGAGTCTGCAAAGGTAAGTAGAACAGCGAGGGGGGCGGGGGGAATCCGCTGTGTCACGTGATTTAGATTAGCTAGAAAGCAAGAAATCCGAGGATTCTAGCTAATATAAATGACGTGTCACAGCTGATCGTCGGAAATACCGGTTTACCCAAACCGGTAGCATTTTTACTACCGGTTCGAGAGAACCGGTCTGAACCGGTAACATTTCAGCCCTGCGTGTGTGTGTTGGTTTGGCTTTGCAACCAAAGGCTGAATGTAAGCCATGGTTTGCCCAGCCTATATTATTCACCAATTACTACCACAAAATAATAATAATAATAATAATAATAATAATAATAATGATGATGATGATGATGATGATGATGATGATGATGATGTCCCGATTGTAATTGGAGCCCTCGGAGCAATACCCAAAGGGCTACCCCGCTATTTAGAAATTCTAAATTTACCGGACTTGAACATTTTGACTCTACAAAAAACCACCTTACTCGGAACAGCTTACATCCTCCGACGATACCTTAACAGTTCCTAGGTCCTTGGTTAGGACTCGAGCTGCTGAGCTATTAACCAGCCTCAAAGGCTGTGAATCTCACTAAAGATTAACCAATAAATAATAATAATAATAATAATAATAATAATAATAATAATAATAATAATAATGGAACTCATAAATGCAACCAAGAACAAAAATATCTAGGTAACAGTCAGCCATGTCCTCAAAATAAACACTACATTTGACTAAAATAATACAAAAATTAACCGATCAAGCAAGAAGCAGAAGAGCCAAATAATTCCTGTAATCTGGCACTCAAATAAAATAGCTACCTACAGAATAATGATCAGGCTCCAAAAACCAAGAAAGACACACGGTTACTTCTAAACAATTCTCTTTATTGTTCCTCATCTTATAGACAGAAGCCTGGCCAAAACAAAGCAAATACTTACGGCACATCATACTCGGAGAACCTCTAGGGAGGCGTTACCTGAACTCTCTTCCTCCCAACCAAACTATCTAAACTTCGCTATCTCTTGGTCCTCTGGAATGCAACTCCTCTCTCCTGGGAATCCAGACTACATTCCACCACATCAGTAGAACTAGAAATAATTTCAGATCATGAGGCCGACCAATCAGAACAGAACACATCCAACCACCATTCAGCACACCCTTCCAAGAAGCCTCCGATCACCCTAGAGCAGTGATGGCGGACCTTTTCGGCACCGAGTGCCCAAACTGGAATGTGCATGCGCCAGAGCACCGGAAACCCAAAAACCAGCTGGCCGGTGCACATGTATATTTCCAGCACTCTAACGTGCACAAAGACCAACCAGCTGGCGCACATGTGCACGCTGGAAACCAGAAGAGCAGCTGGCGATGGTGCGCATGCCCACAGAGAGGGCTCTGCGTGCAACCTCTGGCATGCATGCCATAGGTTCACCATCATGGCCCTAGAGAATTCAGACCCACAGATTATAAACAGAACAAGGCCATGCCAACTTCTGGACCATGGAAGCGCTGAAACCTTGCCGGAAACACGTAGCAGAACCTCTGCAGCACTCATGAAATGCAGTTCTCCCTGAGGTTGGGGTACCTCAAAAAAAAGTATGCATAGAGAATCCTCATGTTAAGAGTTTTGCCACCCTGGGGTAGTAGAACCAGTAGAGGAATGGAGAGAAATGAGTTTGGGGAACTTACAAGCAGGAATTTGAGTAATGTAGGCTGGAATTGTCACTGATCAATTGTTTGTGTAAATAAAGTATTGCTTCACCTTTCAACCGGCTGACGTTAGGCAAACCTTTCGAAGGCAACCTCTGCTTTAGGGATGCAACTTTAGTTAAAATACTTCCGTTAAAATATTTATTCCAACATAGAACCTTTTTTTTTAGACCACACATACATGGTAGAGCATGAATATCCTTCTGGTTTTATAACTTTATTTTCCACGCATTTATTTGCAATTACAGCAACATGAAATATCCCGTTTCCATTTTGCCTGCTAGTTTCCAAGCCCTCGTCATACACTTCAAAACAACATGACCCACCACAAAAAAAAAAAAAGGTGTTGAGTTTTTCAGGAAAAAAACACAAAAAACCCACGTAGCTTTTCGTCAAAACTCCACCACCGAATGGCCCACATTCCATAAACCAATCGTGCATTTTAAAGATCAACAATCTTTTTAACGTAATTTTATCTTGATTGGGATTTACACTTATATTGTTTTAGAGATATTTACGTGTGAGGATTTTAATATTATAATGCTGTAAAGCTGCCCAGAGTTCGTTTCATTAAGACCAGGGCGGCAAATAAATTTAATAAATAAACAAATGCATTGATTTTAAAAAAAACAGACCCTCTCCATTTTCTTTCTCACCGTTTCCCCACCCCAATTATCTAAGACGTGCAAAGCCATCCTTTCTGTGGAATTCATTCTAAGTTAAGAGATCCTCTCGTTTGGGAGATATTCTTCTGAATGAAGGAGGAAGAAGTGATGGAGCTTTCTTGATGTTTTCAGCAAAATCTGGACCGATCTTAAACGCCGTCGACGTCTTCAGATTCAGAAAGAGGAGGGAAGTCAAGGCCATTCTGCTTCCAGGACTCAGAAGTTGTCTTTGGAGCGAATCGTCCGCATGTCGGTGACGGTTTGTGCAAGTGGTATGATGCGACCCTGGTGTAGTGAAATAGCCGGATAGTAAGACGCACTTTTTGTCGGCCTGATTCACAACACCAGCTGCAGCAACAATACCAGGACGTCAGCTTGGAGCTTCTTGGCTTCTCATCCGGTTTTGAAGAACTGAGCTTGTTCCAGGATAAATCACATTAAAAAAGGAACCCACCCATCCACCCACAATCAAGCATTTCCCTAGGGTGGTTTTATTTATCAGTTGCACAATCTCCCTTCCTAAAGCTAGATCTCTCTCTAGGTCTTGGGGTTGGACTAGAGGACCTCCAAGGTCCCTTCCATCCCTATAAATCTTGGGAAAACAGCAGAAAGAGGACAGATAAACGTAACTATCGGGTACTAAAGCCAAGAACCATCAACAGGAAGGTCTCATTTGCACAAATAGCTCACTTTTAACCAATCACTAGTGAATAATCGAAATAAATACTCCTAAACTCTCAATACTTAAATTTCCAGAGAGGAGGAGACGATCGTGAGCATTTCCTTTCCTTCTTTCTCTTGATGCAACATAAATGCTTCAACACATCTCCCCCTTGCTAATGATCCCCAAATGAATTGGACAGACCAGCTGGAAATTCTCTTAAATTGGGTTCCACACAGTTGGGGGACAATAGGATAAAATAAGCGTGGGGGGGGGAATCCATGGAAGGGCCCCCCAAAAGTCAGTTCATGGCTATGCAATTGCCCTTTTTTTGCAGGCATATATTTATTTGCTAATTATTTCTTCCTGCCCATGGAAACTCACTCAAAATTAAGAGTTCACCTAGAAATAATCTTTTGTTCTAAGAACCACATCCCTATATTGTTGTATAGGGCATACATCTGGGGATCATTAATATGACAATTAAAGGAAAGCGATACTCAGCATTACTTCCATTTTTAAACTACTGATTCTTTTAATAGTGGTATTATGGTTCTTTGTTGCAGTCTAAACTGCAGTCTAAAGAGCCTTTGTTGCAGTATAAAGAGCCTGGTGTCGCAGTGGACTAAACTACTGTTAAAGTAGTATTTAGCTGCCAGCTGCCTGCAATTACTGCGAGTTCCATTCTCACCAGGCTCAAGGTTGACTCAGCCTTCCATCCTTCCGAGGTAGGTAAAATGAGGACCCGGTTTGTGGGGGCAATAAGCTGACTTTGTATAAAATAGAACACCGCTTAGGGGGGGCCGAAAAGCCCTACTAAGCAGGTATATACAAAAGTATGAAGGCTATTGCTTAAAAGCATTGTAAGCCGCCCTGAGTCTCCGGAGAAGGGCGGCATATAAATCAAACTAATAAATAATAATAAATAAACTGAGGAAAGCTACAGTCTAAGTCACAAATCTCTTAAACAAGCAAGGAGGCACTATAAGCTAACTTTATTCTCTAATTATCCCAAATGTGTAGTAGTATTTGATTCCCATTATTTACCGTTAACCAATCAAATAGCATTTTTAACTTAGTAACGGTTATACCAGTTAAATATTTAATTCCAGTTCTGCTTGCTTTGCTCCCAACCTGATTGGAAAAGTGTTTCATTGGACGGAATCTGACATTTATGGTTATTATTATGAATTACGTTGCCACCCACTCCCGGCAACCCTGGCCAATGTCGCAACTCTCCCCACCCTCAGGATCATACTGAAATTCAACAACCGACCATGGATAAATCTAGTATAATTTTCCTTCATTTTTTTTTTTTAAAGGGACGTAAACATAGTGGAAATTATACTCTGCAAAAAAAACAGATTGAAAATTCTATCTTCTTCACAATGTCAGTCTTATCCAGAGGGCTTTTGAGCCATTCAGGGGAAAGAAAAATGACCAAAATTTTAAGAGCCTGGTTCCCTCAAATATGCTAAGGCAGTTGCTGAATCTCCACCACACATTAATCCATAAATTACCCATTTCCATGTAGTCCGGAGCAGGGGTCTCCAACCTTGGCAACTTGAAGCCTAGAGGACTTTGCTGGCTGGGGGATTCTAGGAGTTGAAGTCCTCCAGGCTTCAAATTGCCAAGGTTGGGGACCCCTGGTCCAGAGAGTTGGGCCAACCCAACCATTATGCACATTACATTGGGTTGAATTTGACACACAAGTTATCAACTGTCAATGACCTGGAATGGGGGCAAAACAGTCACAGTGGGAGGGGGCTATTAATCTTCAATGGAATAAGATAAAGACATAATACATGCTTCTTCTGGTCATAACTTAAAAGATCTTTCCCATTTCCCTCCAAAAGAAGAAGAAAAGAGTTTGAAAAGTGAAACAAAGAAACGAGAGAACGTAAGAAAAACGTGCAAAGTAAAACAAGGTATCAATAAAACGAAATACGTAAATCCAAAGAAATTTATTGCGGTTGACGAAAAAAAAAAAGGCGTACAAAAAAAAAGAAAAGAAAAGAAAAGGAACAAAAATTAAAACTGGAGGCCCGTAACCATCACCCTTTCAATGTGCACACAAAAAGAAGCACCACTACCACCAGCTGGCTTCCCCGCTCAGCTAGTTCATGAGAACCTCCATCTGTACTAGACGAGCGTTGGTGTCCCCTGACGTTCTGTAGGGGATCATCCCGGCGAAGGTGATGAGTGCCCGAGCTTGAGATCGGAGTTGCTAAGGGGCATCAAAAGAAGAAGAAAAAATTAGCCAGGTCTGGAGAGAGAGAGAGATAATTTGGGATAGGCTCATTAGAAAGGAACAAAAACCTCATCCTGTAGGAGAAAGAACCAGGGGGGGAGTTAAAAGAGGGATCAGCCTAGAATCCCTACGTAGCCACAAGTGAGCTAAGTCCGACTTCCCTTGAATTCCATTGACCCTTCTCTAATTCCAAGCAGGTCCAGAGAGAGAAAGATAGCTTGGGATAGGCTCATTAGAAGAGCCTTGGTGGCGCAGCAGACTAAAGGAGCCTGGATAGCTCTGCAGACTATGCACTGTAATTTAACACCAGCTGTCTGCAATTAAAGTAAGTTCAAATCTTGCCAGGCTCAAGGTTGACTCAGCCTTCCATCCTTTCTAAGGTAGGTAAATTGAGGACCCAGTTTGTGGGGGCAATAAGCTGACTTTGTATAAAATATACAAAAGTATGAAGGCTATTGCTTAACGCACTGTAAGCCGCCCTGAGTCTCCGGAGAAGGGCGGCATATAAATCAAATTTTTAAAAAAAAATTAAAAAAAAAATAAAGCACTGTTAAGTAACACCAGCTGCCTGCAATTACTGCAAGTTACCCGCCCTCTGGAACGACCTACCCCCAGAGATATGTATGATCCCGGACCTCCAGACTTTTCATCGGGCCCTTAAAACTCGCTTATTTCATCTAGCCGGGCTGGCTTGATCCCATCTTTCGGTTTTAATTTGTAATTGATTTTATTGGGGTGTTTTTAAATTGTGGGCCGAAATTATTTAATATCTTTTTAAATTGTTTTAAATTTTGTACGCTATGTTTTACCTTGGCTGTTCACCGCCCTGAGTCCTGCCGGAGAAGGGCGGTATAAAAATCAAATCAATCAATAAATAAGTTCAAATCTCACCAGGCTCAAGGTTGACTCAGCCTTCCATCCTTCTGAGGTAGGTAAATTGAGGACCCAGTTGTGGGGGCAATAAACTGACTTGTATAAATATACAAAAGGATGAAGGCTATTGCTGAGCACATTGTAAGCCGCCCTGAGTCTCCGGAGAAGGGCGGCATATAAATCAAATTAAAAAAAAAAAAAAAAGAGGACCCGGATTGTGGGGGCGATAAGCTGACTTTGTATAAAAAAGAACACCGCTTGGGGGGGGGGGGGGGAAAGCCCTACTAAGCAGGTGTATACAAAAGTATGACGGCTATTGCTTAACGCATTGTAAGCCGCCCTGAGTCTCCGGAAAAGGGCGGCATATAAATCGAACCAATAAATAAATAAATTAAAAAGGAACAAAAATCTCATCTTGTAGGGCAGGGGTATCAAACCCGCATTGTCATGGCGGCGTCACGTGACATATCACGACTCCCCCCCCCCTTTGCTAAAACTGGCATGGGTGTGGCCAGCGCGTGACACATCTGGCCCCCAGGCCGCGAGTTTGACAGTCCTGTTGTAGGAGAAAGAATGGCAGAACCTGGGGGTGGAGTTAAAAGAGGAATCAGCCTAGAATCCCTACGTAGCCACAAGCGAACTAATTCCAACTTCCCTTGAATTCCATTGACCCTTCTCTAACTCCAAGCAGGTGAGAATATTTCAGTGCATAGGCATGAGTAGCAACGAATCTGTTTAAATGGACCTTCACATGTGGACCTGGTTTTTCATACCTGACCCATCTGTATTTAATGTCCATCAGAAGTAAGGCCAGGTAGATGCCAGGCTAACATGTCAATAGATTTGTTTGAACTTTGTTCGGTTCTGACTGAAGAAGCTTCTTGGATGAGAAGCGAAACGTCTTTAAGGAATAAAATAAAGGAAGCCCAGTTGCCTCTCAAAAAAGCACCTTTGGGTTAGTGCCCGTTTGTCTGCGTGTGTATGCAGGCATTAAAACGCACGTGGCAAGAAATATTCAAAGCACACCTCTCCTGTGGAGAAAAATTTTATCCACAGAAAGATGATAAGAGATCATCTAGCCCCGTGAAGGTGAACCTATGGCACGCGTGCCTGAAGTGGCGCGTGGAGCCATGTTGCCTGGCACGTGCACCATTGCCCGTTCCTCTTCCGAGTTTCTGGTGCATGTACGCACACAACAATCAGCTGGCCTTTTTGCATGCAGCAGTGCTGGTGCTGGAAACTAGAACATCTTCTAGCTGATCTTCTGTTTTCCTGTGTGAGTGTGCGCGCCGGGCAACTGATCACCGCGTGCGCATGCGCGCCAGAAACCCGGAATAGTAGCTGGCTGAAACCCGAAGTTCAGTAGCTGAAAGTGGAAGTTTGTCTTCGGGCGTGTGCATGCACCCTGGGCAGCTCCTCTTCCGGGTTGCGGCCCAGATGTGCGCCCAGACATGCTCTCTTTTCGGCACTTGGCGCCGAAAAGGTTCACCCTCACTGATCTAGTCACTGGACTCCAAATTTCTTCCTAGCTATTAATTTCTAGGATAGCCTTGGGCAAATATTTCTTGACCTCATTATCCTCAGCAAAAGAAGTTTCTGTAATCAAAGTAATTGCAAAGGTCAGCTTTGTAGAGCAGTGAAAAGTAGATTTTTATAACCACAACTGTGAAGATGGTCACTGCTGGGCTGAAAAGGTGACCTCGTCTACTAAGGAAGGAAAAAAAAAACTTACCGAATCTCGGTCCTCAATGACCCGGGTGGGCCTAGCAGGCGTGGCTGGGCTGGCACATTTCAACCTCTTATACTGGGTAAACAAGATATTCATCGTGGCAAGGAGGACCTCTGACAAATTGTGCCTGATCTAAGAAAAAGTAAGAGGGGAAGGAAAGACAAGCAGAATGAAAGAGGGGGGAAAATGAGAGACGAAGGCCATACTGATTGATCCTAGAGAGATTATTGAGGTGGACTTCAAATTGTTCTCTTTGGTGGCAACTTCTTCAGGAATTGGGGGGGAGGGGGGTTTCATGTGTGGGAGGTTCTGAGTTTTAGTTGATGGCAGGGGGTCAACCTGTGGGCTTCAGATGGCCCTGAGATCATGCCAATTCCGGCCTCCGACTTCCTTTCGCTCGAGTTCTCCCAAAGGCGCAGTGTTTCAATTTTCTGGGCCAATTTTAGTCTGTTACAGGGCTTTAAGAACGGGAATAGAAGCAGTATGCATTCACTCCCTTTCCCCCCCCCCGCCAAAAAAAAAAAAGTGGAAGAGAAAAAAAAAGATGAAAAATTCAAACAAATTACCCTCCAATGAGCTCTCCACCTTACTATTACCTCTGCAGCCTTCTGAAAGTTTGAGAGGTTGATTGGTGACCCCCACGCACGCACCCCAAATATTTTAGTTCACAGTTTTACCCCCTAAATAGCTTTCTTGTCCCAAACTTCCCTTTGTACCCAATATGACAATGGTGAACTGCATGACCTTGAACACGGCGGAAGTGGAAGCTCAAAACTCAAAATGTTGTGTTTTTTTGGTTCAAAATGCTCCTCAGAAACTGCTCTTCCGATTTGAACAGAAGTGTTGTAATGCGGATGTTAACTGATTGATCGATCGATATTTAAAATCTCTAAAATTGCCTATCCTGAACTTCTTTCCGCCTAGAGTATTTCTGGAATGGCAATGGATTTTGCTGGTACGATCAGAACAACTGATTTGAGTCTGGCGGTGTTTCAGCTTCAAAGTCTTTTTCTTTTTGCATGCTATTTAAGTAACAAAACTAGGCAGTAGTAAGGTAAAGGTAAAGGTAAACGTTCCCCTCGCACATACGTGCTAGTCGTTCCCAACTCTAGGGGACGGTGCTCATCTCTGTTTCAAAGCCAAAAAGCCAGCGCTGTCCGAAGTCGTCTCCGTGGTCATGTGGCCAGCATGACTCAACGCCAAAGGCGCACGGAACACTGTTACCTTCCCACCAAAGGTGGTCCCTATTTTTCTACTTGCATTTTTTACGCGCTTTCGAACTGCTAGGTTGGCAGAAGCTGGGACAAGTCACGGGAGCTCACCCTGTTACGCGGCACTAGGGATTGGAACCGCTGAACTGCCGACCTTTCGATCGACAAGCTCAGCGTCTTAGCCACTGAGCCACAGTGTCCCTGTAGTACGCAGTCATCGTTTCCACAGTCCAAGAACCCCGATGTTATGCCTGATTCAGACAGAGAAGAGGAAGGGAAGGAAAGCGCTAGTTGCTTACTTCATCGCTGAAATGCCTGAAGGCTGCGACTCGTTCTTCCACGTACTCCTGACTCAGTGGGACTAATTTTAGCTGTTCGATGATCTGCAGCGAAAGATCCATAGATAAAGTATACGATCAATACACATAGAAAGAATGATACACTGCTGGTATAACAGCTCCATTTACCTCCATTTATTTATTTTAACTTCTAGGCTGCCCATCTGGCCTAAAGTTATCTCTAGGCGGCTTACAACCAATAAGAGCAACAGGATAAAACATTTTATAGACAGATTAATGTTCTATTCAGTAATCCCCAAAGTGCTTTATTCAGGAGGCAACTGGACTTTCTTGTTGTTTTTTTCTATTAAAGACATTTTGCTTCTCATCCAAGAAGCTTCTTCAACTCTGACCGGATGGTGGGGAATGGAAGAATTTATACTCCTTGCAGACAGCTGGTCATTTGCATCCTTTTAGAGCAGAGGTCTTCAAACTTGGCAGCTTTAAGACCTGTGGACTTCAACTCCCATAATCCTCCAGCCAGCTGCCAAGTTTGAAGACCTCTGTTTTAGAAGGTCGTTGAGGCCACCTGAAGGTTTATCTGTGTCCTCAGGGTCACCTGAGTGGTGCTCCTGGTTCCTGTAGTCTGCAATTTTTTTCCTCTGGAAATCCACTCCTACTCCCACACCCTTCAAAGGTTGTTCATCCCAAATTGGATAGCTAAAAGTCTGTAGAGATTCTCAGTCATCCAGGTCCTGGTTGCCCCAATTAAGGTGCTTTTTCAGGAGACAATTGGACTTTCTTGCTTTTTCTTTGAAGACGTTTTGCTTCTCAACCAAGAAGCTTCTTCAGCTCTGACAGGACGGTGGGGAATGGAAGGATTTATATTCCTTGCAGAATATAATTTATAATCCTTGGGACAACCATGACCTGGATGACTGAGAAGCTCTACAGACTTCTATTCGGTAACTACAGATATGATGTTTAAAACAAGGGTCGTTACCCTAGGAGCTTTCTTAGATCCACCTGCTACTTCTCCAGTTTAGTGTCGCCAGCATTGGCCTCGCAGGATGATGTGACCTGAGCCTGTCGGTTTTGACTACAACTGGAATCAGCAGGAATCAGAAATGGGGAAACTTTGCTGTGAACACGTCTCACCAGACTGCGAAGTAACCGTTGCTCTCTGAGCTCTAGGCTGGCTCTTGGTTCAGAGCAGGAATGGGGCAATAGTCAATCCCCTTCCCTGTGGCTTCTGTACCCTCCACCCCCAATCATGCCAACGGGAATGTACAAAATCTTCGTGTAATATAGCATTGTTAGAGAGGGTGGGAAAGCCCCCACATTGCAAACCTAACTACTGTGTGTGATGAGTAGGAAAGAGGCTATCACAAGCATTACACAGACAGACAGACAGACAGACAGACAGACAATCAATATTATACAATGGATGGATGGATGGATAGACAGATATAGATGATAGATAGATAGATAGATAGATAGATAGATAGATAGATAGATAGATAATGGATAGATCAAGATTATACAATGGATGGATGGAAAGCTAGACAGACAAAGAGACAGACAGACAGACAGACAGACAGATAGATGGAGGGTGGATGGATAGATAGATAGATAGATAGATAGATAGATAGATAGATAGATGATAGGTAGGTAGGTAGGGGTAGAGGTAGAGGTAGAGGTAGAGGTAGAGGTAGAGGTAGAGGTAGAGGTAGAGATAGAGATAGAGATAGAGATAGAGATAGAGATAGAGATAGAGATAGAGATAGAGATAGAGATAGGCTAGTAGAGTCATTATAATGTTATGACTATTTCATGTCAGGCTTAAATATATGAAATATTGTAATTTAAAACTTTGCTGTGGTTTCCTTGGGTTTTTTTTTTGTTTTTTTTTGTTTTTTGCTCACTTGAATCCTCTGCAATTTTTTAAAAATTATTTTTCCTGAGCTCTCCATTCACCTGACTCCGGATACTGTATAACACTCCCGCTCTCCAATCTGTAGCTTAGTTTCAAAACTGAGAAATAACTAGGCAAAAATCAGTTCAACCCTGTCGATTGCAAAATCCGATTAAAGCTAAAATAGATAGATAGATAGATAGATAGATAGATAGATAGATAGATAGATAGATAGATAGCAATGCCATCCTACACAAATCAAGAATCTTAACATTTAAGGCTGAATTAAAACACAAATTATGCAGAGGAATAGTCGTAATTCTGCCAACAGCCCCCACCACCTGCCCAGTGTCTGTTAATGCCATTTTAATGTTATTCAGTCCGTTTCAGTTGAGACCAAGACAAGATCGGTTAGCAAACGGCCAATTTTCTCCAGTGTAAAATTCAGTTGTCTCTATTTGGAGGCAAAGCGTTAGACAGAATCAAAATCAACTAAAGTTGTACAGTTTCAGAGGAAAAACGGTGAGGATGCTTACATCAAAGGCCCTATCAATATGGCCAGCGTGATACTCGTCAAAAAACGTGATCAGGTCTAAGAGAAGGTAGAACGTTGAGTCAACCGGCTTCTTGGTACTTATTCCTTGGGCTTTGTATCTGCAACAAATTGAAAGCGGATGTTCCAATAAAAACTTTGTGAAGACTTCACAACTTGACGTTTATTTATTTGTATCCCGCCATTTACAGGGAGTCCTCGATTTACAACAACCACCGAGCCCAACATTTACATTGCTAAACGAGACCTTTGTCAAGCGGAGGCTTTGCCCCATTTTACAACCTTTCTTGCTACAGTTGTTAAGTGAACTGCTGCAATTATACGGCGGTTAAGAGATTCTGGATTCCCCACTGACTTTGCTTGTCGGACGGGCGCAAAAGGGGATGGCGTGACACCCCCCCCCCAGGGTGCTGCAAACCGTCGTAAATGAGAGTCAGGTGCCAAGCGTCCACATTTTTTTTATCCCGTGACCATGGGGATGGTGCGACGGTCGCTAAGTGTGGAAAACCATTCTAAGCCACTTTGTTCAGTCTGGTTATAACTTCAAACGGTCACTCAACAAACGGTTGTAAGTCAAGGAGCTCCTGTATGCAGATTACATCTCTTCCCCAAATACCAATTATTTTTATGTCCTCCTTTTGTCCCCAGTGGAAGGACTGACCCATCAGATGACCACTTGATAGCAGCAAGGACAGGGAAAACTCACAACCTCTAGTTGCTTTCCGCGATTCTCTGTACAGGTAGTCCTTGACTTACAACAGTTCATTTAGTGATTGTGTCAAAGCGTTTGCAGCGTGATTACCATTAGGAGACAACCCAGGACCAAAACTCAGCACACAGAGACTTGGACATTTAACAATGGTTTATATACAAGACATATACAGAAATATACATGGTAAGCAAATACCCGACAAGCAAGCAATCTTCTTCTTAACTCTACACGGAGAGCTCAGCAATGAATAACGGACACAAGGAAAGATAATACGCCCTCTCCTGGCTGAATTATATAACCACCGCTTAAAGGGATAAAAACCTTTGTGGACCCCTTTCAAGTCTACAACCGGCAATACCAATGCTGCAGGGGTGGGTTCTAAAATTTTTTACTACCGGTTCTGTGGGCGTGGCTTATTTTGTGAGTGTGGCTTGATGGTCATGTGACAATTCTTTAGGATTTAGCAGAGGCACTGGTCTACCAGGCTTTTAACTGCTTGCAGAGCTGTACCGGTCTACTCATTTATTTTTGCAGGCACCAGTCTACTCATTTGTTTTTGGAGGCACCGATCTACCACCACACTGCCTTTTAACATTGATCAGCTGTAGGGCGGCCCTTTGAAGCCCCGAGGCAAGAGTTTAAACAGTTTTTTCCTTCTAGCCGATCAGCTGGGACTCGGGAGACAGCAATAGATTGGGGGTGGGGGCAAATAAAAGGTAAGAATAACGTGGGAGGTGGGGGGGCAGAACCGGTTTGGTGACGTCATATCGTCACTGCTACCGGCTCGGCAGAACCGGGCCGAACCGAGAGGAACCCACCACTGCAATGCTGATTCATCTTCATTGCATCAGCCTTACATTGCATCAGCTTTACAGCTGGTCGGCTCTTAAATCTCAATACCTTAACAGATTGTTCAAAGTTATAACAGCCCTGAAAAAAGTAACTTAGGACCATTTTACACATTTACGCAGCATCCCCCGTGATCATGTGATCAAAATTCAGATGCTTGGCAACTTGGTTCATACTTACGATGGTTGCAGTGTCCTGGGTGGGTCGTGCGATCCCCTTTTGCGACCTTTTCACGAGCAAAGCCCATGAGGAATCCAGATCCACTTAACAACCGTGTCACTCACTTATCGACGGTAGTGATTCATTTAACAACGGTGACAAGAAAGGTCATAACATGGCGCAAAAGTCACTTAACAAATATCTCACTTAACAACAGAAATGCTGGACTCAATTAGTGGTCATAATTGTGACGAGGATTACCTGTATGGCCTACAAGCCAGATATGATAGCCTTATTAGTCCCATCCCTAAAAAGCAGCAGCATATACAGTAATGGCCAAAATTGAGGAAACCTTTTGGGGAAAGTGTATTTTCTAAAACTAGCTAATAACACCACTTTTTTTTGGAGTAGTAGTACCATAAAATTATATATCAATGGAAAGAGAATTTAATCAAGAATGAAATGCAATAATTTTTATGAAGGATTTGCTATTAGAATAGCAGTTACAGTATAAAGAAGAAAAGTGAAACATGTAGAAAAAACGAGATATACAAAAACTATCACCCTGTCAGTTAATACTTGGTTGGGTAACCTTTAGCATGAATGACGGCCTTACAACGTCTTCCCATGGAGTGAACCAAGTCTTTGAGTTCTGCAGCTGTTCTAATGTGAAACCAAGATTGAAGGATTGCTTCTATTAACTGGGTTTTATTGCTGGGTCACTTCTGACTAAGAAGTTTCTTTAGTCAGAAAATCCATAGATTTTCAATTGGGTGAAGGTCTGGGCTATTCCCAGGCCATTCCAGCAGTAGGATTATCTTGAAAAAAAAAAAAAGTGGTGTTATTAGCCATCAAACCTCAAAAATACACTTCCCTCCCCCCCAAAAGGTTTCCACAATTTTGGCCACCACTGTATACTATTTTAACTCTGTGCGTGACCTCTGATTGCATAATCCAAGACTTCTCCCAAGCTCCGGTGGAACAAGGTCAGAGGAAACCTGGCTGATCTGGCATGGGCAGGAATTCTCAAGCCCCCCTGCCCCAGGCCAGTCTCTTACCTCTCTGCAATGGCATGTGCCATGTTCTTCAGCCTTTCCTTGTTGGATTGGGGAGCGCTGACCTGAGACACGATGGGGCTGAGCAACTTGTTCATCAGCTCAAGGACTTTGTCGGGGTTCTGAGGGAGGCACAAAGAGAGAAAGGAGGCAATACAGGACCAAGTCAGGAGGCCTTTTTGGAAAGAAATCATGGGGGAGGAAGGGGGAGAAGGGAGGGCTCAGGGGCAGAGCCCAGGAACTCTCCTGGTCAACTGAGATTGGCGGCAGCGAGCAAAGCGAAAAGCTTAAGGAGAAGCCTCATGCTTTCTATCTGCAACAAATTAGAAGCAGATCTTCTGCCATTAAACCTTCTGAAAGGCTTCTCAACTTTCTACTTCTTCTTTTTTTTTAAAAAATTTGATTTATATGCTGCCCTTCTCCGGAGACTCAGGGCAGCTTACAATGCGTTAAGCAATAGCCTTCATACTTTTGTATATTTATACAAAGTCAGCTTATTGCCCCCACAAACTGGGTCCCCTTTTCTTTTCTTTTTTAACAATTTTTATTAGTTTACAAAGCAGCCCACAAAGAAAATACAGAAGTAAACAACAGGAGAAATAGGGAAGGAAAAAGGGAAGAGAAAAGCGAGGGAAAGAAGAGGGGGGAAAAGAAAGAAAAGATATTCGATTCCCTTCAGTGCGGTAGAATAAGGCATTAACCTCAACTTTTTACTTTTACATAATAGTTTAAACTAGACATTTCTTTAACAACAAATCCAACTAATCTGTAGCACCCAAAATCAAAGTTTCTGTCACATCCGTATATCTGCCATTCTTCGTGGAAGAAAGGGCCCGGAATTGTCACCTTTAGTTCTTTTCCTATGTGTCCTAAGTATCTAATTTCTTGCCTGATCCTCTTTTTATAAACTTTACCCCGATTTATAACCGTTGCCTGGCGCCAGGAATGCCTGGAGAATTCTCACACCTCGGGAAATGAAAGGGGTGGGGGGGAAACGAGTGGATTGTAAAATGACCCTGAGAAGCTCTTTGTATCTGTTTCTCAGAGAGGCTGGTGCAATTCGCATTCACACCCGACGGCTTGGTCAGAAACCACATCGGAAAGTGGGGAGGGGGTTCCTAATTTCTTTTATCCTGAACTGCATGCCCTGAGGGACCCCAGAGCCTGCTTTGAGTTTTGACTTGCTTTCATCCCTTTCAATAAAAGGTTCCATTTAAAATACAAAGTTCTCAAGAGTTCGTACTTTCTTGGAATATGGGGGTGAGGGGGGGGGCAGCTGGTCCCCACAGTTTCTTTTTGTTTCCCACCTCAAGCACGAAGATTAGAAGCGGTTTTCAAGTAGAAATAAAGGTATTTGTATTTTTTTTCTTTTTTTCGGTCAATTTAGCCATCTGTGCTAACTCCCATCACAACTTGGTGTGTGCTTAGAGGTAGTCCTCGACTTGTAACAGTTCGCTTAGTGACCATCCAAAGTTACAGCGGCACTGGAAAAAAAGTGACTTGGAATCGTTTTTCACACTTATGACCGCTGCAGCCTCTCCATGGTCATGTGATCAAAATTCAGACGCTTGGCAACTGACTCGTATTTATGAGGGATGCAGTGTCCCGGGCAGTGGTGAAATCTAATTTTTTTTTACTACCGGTTTTGTGGGCGTGGCATGGTAGGCGTGGCAGGGGAAGGATACTGCAAAATCTCCATTCCCATCCCACTCCAGGGGAAGGATATTGCAAAATCCCCATTCTCTCCCCACTCCTGGGGCCAGCGTGATGTGGTATTTGCCGGTTCTCTGAACTATTTTAATTTGGGGTATTTTAAATTTCTGGGATTTTAATTGGAGCCTAATCATTTAATGATTTTAAATTCTAATTGCTGTTTTGTTTTGTGTTTTTAAATAGGCTGTACACTGCCCTGAGTCCTTCGGGAGAAGGGCGGTATAGAAATAAAATTATTATTATTATTATTATTATTATTATTATTATTATTATTATTATTCAAAATTTCCGCAACCAGTTCTCCAGAACCTGTCCCAACCTGCTGGATTTCACCCCTGGTCCCGGGTCACGTGATCCCCTTTCGCGATCTTTTGACAAGGAAAGTCAAGGAGGAAGCCAGCTTCACTTAAGACCACTCTGTTACTAATTTAACAATTGCATTGATTCGCTTCACAACTCTGGCAAGAAAGGTCGTAAAACGGGGCAAAACAAACATTTCAAACAGAAATGTTGGATTCCATTGTCGTGGTAAGTCAAGGACTACCTGTGTTTGTATCCTGTCTTTTGGGTAAAATGAGGATCCAGATTGTTGGGGGCAATATGCTGACACTGTAAACCACTTAGAGAGCGCCGTAAAGCACTGTGAAGTGGTATATAACAGATTAACCGAGTTGGAAGGGACCTTGGAGGTCATCTAGTCCAGCCCCCTGCTCGAGCAGGAGACCCCACACCATTTCTGACAGATGGTAGTCCAGTCTCTTCTTGAAAGCCTCCAGTGATGAAGCTCCCACAACTTCCGAAGGCAACTTCTGTTCCATGGGTGGATTGTTCTCACTGTCAGAAAATGTCTCCTTATTTCCAGGTTGAATCCCTCCTTGATCAGTCTATTGCCTTTTTATTATTTTTACAAACAATATAAGGCGATGAACATATCCAAAGTATCTTTGAAACCCCACTTACCTTGGCAAGGTCGTAAAGTTTGGCGGCCTCTTCGAACAATCCTTTGCTTTCTGCCACTGAGGCCACTTTGTTAATAATTGGTTTGGTGTCTCTCGTGAACTTGTCAATAACTCCAGGCTGATGAAAGATGGCAAATAGTTGGGGGGGGGGAGGGAGAGGAGGGAAGGGGAGATAAAATATTTAGAAAAACCGAATAGTGTCAGGCCAAGGCCAAGAGCGATAGAGAACAATCCAGTCAGTTATTTATTATCTCGCGCCATATAGACAGAATCTTGCCAGGCTAAACTTTGACTGCTCTCATCCAAACGGATATAACGTGGGAGATTCTAGGGAGAGGCTTTCTCTTCCTCTGTCTCTGATCCATTTCTGGGCTTCTGGGCCCCCTTCTTGGAATGCGCTTCCTCTTTCTGGAAAAGTCGGGGTCCCTCAACCCCTAGTCTCGGAACCGGCACTGCTCCATGAGGACTTGAAGAATCAAGGCAGTGCACAAAACCACAGCCACCCCATGTCCCTGGAACCCAAAAGTTTGGGGGCCAATGCTATAGTCCAGAGGTCTTCAAACTTGGCAGCTTTAAGACTTGTGGACTTCAACTCCCAGAATTCTCCAGCCAGCTACCCTGTTTCCCCCAAAATAAGACATCCCCTGATAATAAGCCCAATCGGGCTTTTGAGTGCATGGCAATAAGGCCAAGCATTTATTTCAGGGTTCAAAAAAATATAAGACAGGGTCTTATTTTCGGGAAAACATGGTATCTCTCTCTCTCTCTCTCTCTCTCTCTCTCTCTCTCTCTCTCCCTCTTTCCCTCCTTCCCTCCCTCCTCTCTCTTTCTCTCCCCCCCCCATTTCTCCCAAAATAAGACATCCCCTGATAATAAGCCCATTTGGGCTTTTGAGTGCATGGCAATAAGGCCAAGCGCTTATTTCAGGGTTCAAAAAAATATAAGACCGGGTCTAAACTGTACACTGGGACGACAAAAGAACATCATCAAAATTGGCAGGAAGGAAAAAAAAAACGACCGCAGGATTTTTCTTCGTGACATAAAATGGCTACACTGCCACCAGCTGGATGTCCACCAAGTTCCCAAAAAAAGTAAAGGTCTCTGCCAGACTTCAGGGTTTGAGGAGAGCATCACTCCAGCAGCCTAGTGCCGTGACGGCGAACCTATGGCACGCATGCCAGAGGTGGCACATGCAGAGCCCTCTCTGTGGGCACACATGCCATCGCCAGCTGCTCTTCTGGTTTCTGGCACGCACATGAGCGCCGGCCAGCTGGTCGCAGACCCCAGAGCGCCGGAAAACAGTCTGAAAATGGCCTGAAAAATGGCCAAAAAACAGGCCATTTTCCAGGCCGTTTTCAGGCTATTTTTTGGGCCATTTTCAGGCTGTTTTCCAAAAGACGGCCCAAAAAACAGCTGGAAAACAGCCCAAAAAATAGCCCAAAAACAGGGATGTGCGCGCCGGCCAGCTAGTTTTCGGGGTTTCCGGCCCATATGCACATGCACGCACATTCTGGTTTGGGCACTCGGTGCTCAAAAGTTTCGTCATCACTGGCCTAGTGCTTCCTCTGTTACTTTCTCATTCCAACTCCTGACCTTTTCTTTTTGAACAACGGGCTTGGGTTCAATGGGCTTGGGTTCAAAAGAACCCAAATTCCCTGGGTTCTTGCCTAGCCACTTTTCCAGCCTCCTCATCTGCAGCCATATCCTATCCAAGCGAGCACCACTGTGGAGAATACTAGCAGGACCCTACGAGCACCCGGAACTTAAACAAGAAAGCTCATGGGTTTTCACTTCGGATTAATTACAGGTTAGTCCTCGACTTACAGCCATTTGTTCAGTGACTATTCAAAGACACGACCAGGGTGGCATTCACTTACCTTCCCTACCGGTTCGCAAATGTGAGCGCGCGCATGCGCACAACTTCAAAAACATGCCCAAAAAAATCATCATAAAGCCGGGGCGGATGGGCAGAGCCACCCGCAATTTCCGCTACCGGTTCGGGCGATCCGGACAGAACTGGCTCAATACCACCTCTGGTTACGACGCTACAGAAAAAAAGGGACTTATGATCGTTTTCACACTTGACAATCATCGCCGCACCCTCGTGATCATGTGATCAGAATTCAGACGCTTGACAACTGGCTCATATTTATGATGATTGTCCCTGGGGTCATGTGACCCCCCCTTTTGAGACCTTCTGACATGCAAAGTCAATGGAGGAAGCCAGATTCGCTTAACAACCGTGTTGCTAACTTAACAACTACAGTGATTCACTTAACAATGGTAGCAAGAAAGGTCCATAAAATAGGGCAAAGCTCACTTAACAACTGTCTCTCTTAGCAATGGAAATGTTGGGCTCTATTGTGATGTTGTAAGCCGAGGACTACCTGGGTAGGATTCAGCTGAAAGCCTACTGAATCCTAGCCAGAACCTCTGTCAGCCATAGGAAAAATACAGTCAATTTTATCCCCCTGTGTCAACCTTCCCAGGTAGACTAGACCTGAAACTCGAACAGAATGGCTAATTCTACTTTACTGTAAAGTTTTATCAGCAGAATCTGGCACGTCTGAAAGTACAAATCTCCCTGTCAACTCTGAAGCTGACCTGACTGAGGCCATTTTGAGGCTTCAGTGTTGCCACACTGGAGCTGAGGGATAGGGAGGGGGGAATAGAGATAGAGGGGTTGCGTAGCCAAAACAAAAATACTTTCTCCTGGGAACCAAGGACATTCCCACAGGTGGCCAGGGAGAGGAGGAGGGACATCGCCTAGCAACCGGACAAGACTTTGATTGGACCATGTGACTGACTGTTTGGGAAAAGGGGAAAAACTTTTTACTTTTAATTAGGTGAAAACCGCGGGAATGTTCAGAGTCGGTTTTCACCAGTTTATGCCAATCTGATATGTCCAATAAACCAATTCTTTGAGGAACCTAGTTGCCTCGGAGTTCTGTTTGTTATGGATGTATTACTTGGAACCCTGACATTCCCACTGTCTCTTTTTCAGCTTGAGATGTTGGAGAGGATCCTTTCTGAGTTTCTTTCTCTACCCAGCTGCGGGCTCCCCTGCCCCCTTATTGGATCGTTCCCTAGGCAACATCCCTACCCCCTCCTCTGATCCCAAGGCCATTCCTACACACCATTACATCTTGACCCTTCCTGGTCCTCCCTTCCTGCCTTCCCCAGATGACGTAAAACTGTCACAGCAACTACAGAATCTTCCTTAACCAGCAATTTAAAATGCTTTTCTGCATGCAAAAAAGAGAAGCTGTGCAAGGCTTCCTATCTGATTCAGAAGAAGAGCTCCGAAATGCACAGGAAGAGGATGGCAGCAGGATTTATCTGCAACTGAAGCGTGAAATGTGCAATGTTCATGAACCGCTGATGCCCAAACCAAAAACCCCCATGTTTAAGAGGTTGTGTTGATTCACACGTGGAATGAAACGGGATCAGTTTGTTCCAAATATGGAATGAAGTCAGTGGTGGGTCGCTCCCGGTTCGCACTGGTTCACAAGAACCAGTAGTAAAAATTTCTAGTAGTTCGGAGAACTGGTAATAACATTGGCTGGCCACGCCCCCGAACCAGTCCCTGGCCCGGTCGCGGCTTGCTTACCCCACCCACCTCATCAGAGGCTTTTTTTAATTATTATTTTTAAAAGCATTTTTTCTACAACCTCTTCGGCCGAAAAAATGCTTTTAAAAGTAAAAAAAAGAAGCCTCTGATGATCGCGTGGCTCAGCTGGGATCGTCAGAGGCTTTTAAAAGCATTTTTTTCTGCAACCCCTTTGGTCGAAGAGGTGGTAGGGGGAAAAATGCCTCTAAAAGCCTCTGGCGATCCCAGCTGAGTTGCCTGATTGTCAGAGGCTTCTGAAAACATTTTTTTCCTGCAACCTCTTAAGGTTGTAGAAAAAAATGCTTTTAAAAGTAAAAAAAAAAAAAAAGTTGGCCATACCCACCCAGTCACATTACCACCACCAAGCCACGCCCACAAAATAAGCCATGCCCACAGAATCGGTAGTAAAAAAATTTAGAACCCACCCCTGAATGAAGTGTGCGATTTAAATGAGTGGCAAAGTGGGAACAGTGCTTCCATCCAAAAGCACAAGGGGAGAAAGAGGCTGGTAGGGGAATGAAAAAGGAGAATGTGCTGGGAAGATTGAGGTGGGTGGAAGAGCAATTTCTTTGCAATGAAGTAGCATGGAATCAGGAAGAAAGATAATAGACAAATGGCTTTTCCAATTCTTAAATACTTCGATAGATTATGAGGACTACAAGCTTTTCTTGTTTTTAAAACAAATACTGTTTTTAAATTAACAGCAGCAAGCCCACCGCGTATTCTTTCATTTCTGACATACAATTCAATAATATTTTGGCCTTACACTCAACATTCAGTGTCATTGAGCTATTCAAAAGAAGAGAAGAGATCTATAAATGGAGTTACCTTTCTACTGCCATCGTTCTCCAGTTTTCCAAGAATCATGTCAAACTATCCATGCAAAAGAAAACAAAAACTGAGTTAGGAAAGGTATACTGGTACTCCTATTATGAGCCACGGTGGCACAGTGGTTAGAGTGCAGTCCCGCAGGCTGCTTCTGCTGACTGCCAGCTGACTGCAATTTGGCAGTTTGAATCTCACCGGGCTCAAGGTTGATTCAGCCTTCCATCCTTCCAAAGTGGATAAAATGAGGACCCAGATTGTTTGGGGCAATATATGCTGACTCTGTAAACCGCTTAGAGGGCTGGAAAGCACTATGAAGTGGTATAGAAGTCTAAGTGTTACTGCTATTATGAATGATCCAGATTTTAATGGATACAGGTAGTCCTCAACTTGCAGACCAGTTGCTGAGCAATCATTTGAAGTTTCGACCGATCCCCCTAAAGTTACTTATGACATGGTTCCCAAATTACAGCTTCTCAAGCACCTTTGTTGTCATTCGCCCTTATGAGTGACCACAGGGTCCCTGAAGCAGCCACACCCCACCAGGTATGATCCATCTCTCAACATGCATTCTAAATAGAGAATGGGAAAAAAATGCACAATAGGCATGTCCCAAAGGTGCTTTTTTCAAGAGGCTTTCTTGTTTTTTTTTCCTTTTGAAGACGTTTCACTTTTCATCCAAGAAGCTTCTTCAGCTCTGACTGGATGGAGGGGAATGGAAGGATTTGTATTCTCTGCAGACAGCTGGACATTTGCATCCTTTTTGAGGGTCGTTGAGGCCACTTGGAGGTTTGTCTGTGTCCTCAGGGTCACCTGAATGGTGCTCCTGGTTCCTGTAGTCTGCAATTTTTTTCTCTCTGGAAATCCATTCCTTATTCCCACACCATTCCAAGGGTGTTCATCTCAAATTGTATGGCTAAAAATGTGTAGAGATGTTCAGCCATCCAGGTCATGGACCTCCGTGTATTTCGCTATGCCCTCAAGACCCTGCTGTTCCGCCAGGCCGGGCTATCAATGTAATGATTTTAAATTGGGTGTTTTAAATTTTTGGGGTTTTAAATCTAAGACGAAATTATTTAATAATTTTAATTATTTTTAATTGGTGTCTGTCTTTGTGCTTTTAATAGGCTGTACACCGCCCTGAGTCCTTCGGGAGAAGGGCGGTATAGAAATTTATTTATTTATTTATTTATTTATTTGTTTGTTTGTTTGTTTGTGGTTGTCCCAAAAGGTGCTTTTTCAAGGAGGCAACTGGACTTTCTTGGTTTTTTTTCCGTTGAAGACGTTTCGCTTCTCATCCAAGAAGCTTCTTCAGCTCAGACTGGATGGTGGGGAATGGAAGAATTTATATTCCTGGCAGACAGCTGGTCATTTGCATCCTTTTAGAGGGTCGTTGAGGCCCCTTGGAGGTTTATCTGTGTCCTCAGGGTCAGCTGAGTGGTGCAAATCATTCCTGTAGTCCGCAATTTTGGGGGGAAATCCATTCATGGCATGGGAGTATGAACAGATTTCAAAAAGAAAAAAAAAATGCAAACTATAGGAAGCAGGAGCACCGCTCAGGTGGTCACCTGAGGACACAGATAAACCTCCAAGGGCTTCAACGACCCTCCAAAAGGATGCAAACGACCATCTGTCCAGTTGCCTCCTGAAAAAAAGCCCCTTTGGGACAACCATGACCTGGAGGACTGAGAATCTCTACAGACCTTTATTTTTGTTTTTTAGTACTATTGTTGTTTTTAATTGCCTTTATTTGAGGTACTGTGACCGTAATAAAGATTGTGGTTGTAAAATATGAAAAGAAAAAAAAAAACGGGGATTTCTGAACCCACCCAGAAATTCTCAACTTGCAGAGTGGGTCTCTCTTATGGAAAGCAGGAATTCCAACCTAACAGGAGGATAGGAACCAAATGATCCTTGCGTACCTCTCGGCTCTCGATCACCAACTCGCTCACGCAACGCAGAAACATGTTTTCGCCTTGGCTGTCCTTCTCGTTCCTTAAAACAAGGATCACACAGCGGTCAGTACCACAGATCCCGCTTCGCCGTGGCAGTCATTTGAATCGGGCACCCTCCCCCACCACCTTTCGCTTAAGTTAGGGCAGGAACCGACCTGAGAAAATAGAAGTACTGCAAAGCTTCGCGGGGGTCTGTCGATTCAAACTTGCGGGTGTACAGCATCAGAAGTCGGACAAAATTCAGACGCCGGGTGGCCGGAGGGTCGCCGGCTTCATGGCTCACTGAAATGGGAATGAGACAAATTTCATGCAACCGCACCATTTTGTTCAAGAAAGAACGGTGGGTACCCAGAAGGACAAAACCTACATTTAGAAGCAATCCTCTGCCAGTTCCCAGAGATTTCAGAACGCTAAGGTTGATATAAAGCTGCTTGAAAACCTTTCCAAAGGTTTTCTTAACCCAACAACTAACGATGAGAAAAGCTAATGGGAAGAGAGTAAGATAAGAAATTATCTTATCTTCATTCCCCCGTTGGAGCCTGAATCTGCGGTGGAGGATAACCCAGAGCTGGAGCTGATGGAGATCGAGGGGGCAGCTTCGTTGGCTTCGGAAGAATGTAGGGAGGAGCAGGCTGAGGCAGCCCAGGGCCCTTCCGGACTGGGATGGCTTGTTAGCAGGGAGGAACGGGGGTCAGGATGACCGAGAGAGGGCAAGCAGTGGAAATGAGGAGCGATGGAGCTCAGGCGATGAGCAAGGATCACCCCCTCCTGATCCCCGAGCACAGAGAGTGGAGAGAAGGCAGGAACAGCGCAGGCTGACCTGACAACTCGGGAAGAGAGCGCCCCGCCCCACTTTGCAAGGCACACCTAAGGACTGAGAGTTGGAGTGTATATTGGAGGTGGTGAGCCTTTAAGTTGTATGCAAAGTTGCATACAACTTTGAGAGTTGTATGCAACGAAATTTCTCCTGGGGGAAGGATATTGCAAAATCCCCATTCCCTCCCCACTCCTGGGGGAAGGATATTGCAAAATCTCCATTCCCACCCCACTCCAGGGGAAGGATACTGCAAAATCTCCATTCCCTCCCCACTCCTGGGGGAAGGATATTGCAAAATCTCCATTCCCACCCCACTCCTCGGGGAAGGATATTGCAAAATCCCCATTCCCTCCCCACTCTGGGGCCAGCCAGAGGTGGTCTTTGCCGGTTCTCCGAACTACTCAAAATTTCCGCTACCGGTTCTCCAGAATCTGTCAGAACCTGCTGAATTTCACCCCTGATTAGGGGTGGCATGATAGCAATCGTCCAGTACTTGGTGGGCTGTCATAGAAGAGGGGGCCTCTCTAGGGCACCCGAGGGCAGGAATATGAAATACCAGGTGGAAGCTTATCAGAGGGAGATCCAAACTGCAGGTAAGGAGACATTTTTGGACAGTGAGAAATTAATCAATGGAGTAGCTTGCTTCCTAGAATTTTGGGTGCTCTTATCACTGGAGGTTTTCAAAAATAAACTGAATAACCATTTGACAGGGATGGTATAACTCCTGCTTTGAAGTTGGGACTGGACTAGAAGACTGCCTTCTGTTTAACCATTGTTTGCCACCCGGAATCACTGGTTTGAGATGGAAGGCTGTACAGATTGTATGAATGAACGAATGAATGAATGAATGAATGAATGAATGAATGCCCAGAATCGGAAGAGTAACAATAACATCTAATTGCATTGGTTGTGACATGTCAATCAAACTTCCAGCTACTGATAAAATGGGGGAAACCGTGAGTTCTGCCACTTTCAACATTTTAAGACTTTTTTTTTAAAGGCTTTGAATACCAGACAGGACTTAATTCCTTGAAGGGAGGGAGGGAGGGAGGAAAAGATTCTTAGATTTGTACGATAGCTGCGTTGAAGGTTCATATCTTCTCTCCCGCCTATGAAAGCAGGACAATAAAGCTCATTCTCCTGATGTTCATTTATTTTTCTCAGCTGTTGGTCTGGCTGCCTGCCACCATGTGGTGACAGTCACCAGAACTGGTGACTTTTATAACTGCAACAGCTGTTAGCGGGATTAGCCAAGGAAACGGAAAACAAAACTTTCATTGAGAGACAATACACTGTGGTTACCAAGAGGCCACTGTATCCGTAATTCTTAGGGCTGCTTTCAGCAAGCCAAAGAAAAGAACAAAACGCTGATCTATGAATTGTTCCCACGAGTTACCGTATTTTTCGGACTATAAGACTATAAGACTAAATTTACAGGAGGAAAACAAGAAAAAAATAATTGTTAGTCTCCGCGTGTCGGTTTTTCGCTCTTCCCGGCCCCCAGAAGCACTCTGCAGTACTCGGAATGGCCAATTTTTGCGAAAAACGGGCCATGCGGAGCACTGCAGGGTGCTTCTGGGGGCCTGGGAGGGAGAAAATGTGACACGCGGAGAGTTCGGGGGAGCCAAAAATGCCCATATTCGGTCTATAAGATGCACCTAAATTTTCACCCACTTTTAGGGTGAAGAAAGGTGCGTCTTATACTCTGAAAAATACGGTACTTTGTGGACAGCTACTTTGAATGCCCGGGATCAGGCTTCTAAAATAAAAGAAATGCTGATAAGAGACGGGTATCATTGGAAGTGATATATCATCCCAAATTGTCCGACTGTCAGCTTTGGAAGCCATATTAGGCCGGAAGCTTCCATGATGCCGCCTTCTCCTGTGTGGGAAAGTAGGAGGGGGGGATTTAGTAGAGGGGTTGTCTGTAGACATAATAGCATTCTTCCGGTCGGTCAAGATCAAGGCGATCCTGCATCTGGAGAAGGAGCGGTCAGAGTGAGGTCTCGAGATGGAACGGATGGTGATTGGATGTGATCGACGGAGGAGTGAGGGGATGGTTTTGGGGGTTTTGATTTACTGAGGGAAAACCCGGACCTCTCAGATTCGGGTTTTCCCAGATGTGCCAGTTTATCTATTCTAGTAAATAGAACTTTGAAAAATGTTTGCTTCAGAGTCTTTACTTGGAGTTGGGGGGTTTTCTGGAACGCTGACACCGACATTATTTTTCTCTCTCAAAAAGGTATGGTTAACCTAATCCTATTCACTTATCAAATTAGGTACATCGAGCTTTGTTTTATTTAGAAAAAATGGAGGGGAAAAAAAAAAGGTGAAAACTCAACATGGTGCCAAATGTTGACAGTGCAATCCTGCGGAATTCTGACAGGTATATCACCTGTCAATTACTCCCCAGTGCAACATGAGATTATGAATTAGCCATTCCACATCCCTTCGTGCAACTGTTGTGAGGTCAGAACAACTCCCTTTCAGCCTCTGGAATGCCAGTGGTCCACTTAAAACAAAGTTATTCATCAGTCTAATTCAGCATTTCTGAACCTGGGCAACTTGAAGATGCGTGGACTACGATTCCCAGAATTCCCCAGCCAGAATTCCTCCCAGTCGTTCCCCTTGCTGAATCCTGGGGAATTCTAGGAATTGAAGCCCATGTGTCTTTCAAGTTGCCAACATTGCAAAATGCTGGTCTAGTTATTTTAAAGAGTATCTCTCTTATCGTGCGTCTCGCATGTCAGTCTACCGTTCAGACGGTTTGGCCATCTTTATTCCCTTGAAGGAGTCAAAACAGCGCCATGACCACAGACCAACAAAACTTACAGAGTTGTGCGCTCTGCCCAGACGATTTCAGCAACAGCTTCAGCTCAAAGAGAACCAAAGCCACATGCACGGCGTGGCAACGCAAACGTTCGGTACGGAAAAGGAAAGCAATGGCAGCTTCGAACTGGGCGGTGAGGAACAAGACTTGGAAGTAGAGGAAGGGCTGCTGGTTCACGGTAAAATGCGATTCTCCTGGAGAAAAACAAGCACAAGGGAAGGATGTTTTTACAGCTGATCCTCAACAATGCAGACGTCACTTATCAAAAGCAGGTTGGAAAAAGCCGATAACGTTGGTAAATTGTTTATTTTATTGGTACTGGTAGTCCTTGACTTATTACCACAATTAATTAATTTAATTTTTAATTTTTTGATTTATATGCCGCCCTTCTCCGGAGACTCAGGGTGGCTTACAATGCGCTAAGCAATAGCCTTCATCCTTTTTGTATATTTTTATACAAAGTCAGCTTATTGCCCCCACAATCTGGGTCCTCAATTTACCTACCTTAGAAAGGATGGAAGGCTGAGTCAACCTTGAGCCTGGCGAGATTCGAACCTGCAGTAATTGCAGGCAGCTGGTCTTAATAACAGGGTGCTTTAAACCACTGTACTACCAAGGCTCCTATTGAGCCCAACATTTCCGTTCCTAAGCAAGACAACTCTCAAGGGACGGCTCTCACCCTGGTCATCACTTCTTTACCCTCCTGCCATCGGGAAGGAGATATAGAAGCAAAGCCAGCTGCACAAACAGGCTGAAGAACAGTTTTTATCAGTGGGCTGTCAGACTCCTGCAGGCGAAATAACATCATAACTACGTAGTACGATGGGCTTGCAGGGCCGACGCAACGTGTAACATGTTCACACTGGGGCAATAGGACTGGGGTTTTTGTTAATATGATTTATTTATTTATTTAAGAGCCTTGGTGGCGCAGCAGACTAAAGCACTGTTAAGTAACACCAGCTGCCTGCAATTACTGCAAGTTCAAATCTCACCAGGCTCAAGGTTGACTCAGCCTTCCATCCTTCCGAGGTAGGTAAAATGAGGACCCGGATTGTGGGGGCAATAAGCTGACTTTGTATAAAAAAAAGAACACCGCTTGGGGGGGGAGCCGAAAGCCCTACTAAGCAGGTATATGCAAAAGTATGAAGACTATTGCTTAACGCATTATAAGCCGCCCTGAGTCTCCGGAAAAGGGCGGCATATAAATCGAACCAATAAATAAATAAATAAATAAATAAATAAATAAATAAATAAATAAATATTGGGTTAGGGATTTTTCTGTCTTCACTGTGAGTTGTATTGTGTTGAGGGGGGGGTGCACTGAGGGAGCTCAACCAATCTCATTGCACAAATGTTGTGCGCTGATAATAAAGGTTTGAATTGGATTGAAGACAATTGCGAAGTGAGTTTTTGCCCCATTTTACAACTTTTTCTTGCCACACGTTCTTGAGTGAATCACTGCATTTTGTTAAGTCGGCAACTATGATTGTTAAGTGAATCTGACTTCCCCATTGAATTTGTCAGAAGGTCGTAAAAGGGGATCACATGACCCCCGGGACACTGCAACCGTCATAAATATGAATCAGTCGCCAAGCGTCTAAACTTTAATCACGTGACCATAGGGATCCTGCAATTTTATCAGTTGTGAAAACTGGGGCAAAAGTTGCTTTTTCCCGTATTGTTGTAAACTTCGAATGGTCCCTAAATGAATGGTTGTAACTCAAGGACTACCCTGGGCATCACTTGAGCCAACTAACAGGTGTTGAAAGAACAACGGCAGAATTTCAGAAAATTCAGGATAAAAATTAACAGTGACCCAAGCGTCAACAAAAATCAACAATTTACATTTGAATGGAAGAGGCGGATTGATTTCCCTACAGCATAACCTCAAAGCAATGTGAGAGAAGGTTCTTTCCTAGGAATACTAGGAAGTTGTTGTTGTTGTTGTTATTTTAATTTGATTTAAAATTCTTGTCACTTCCCAGAAGCCTGACAAGGCATCTTAATACCTGGACAGATTTAACAGGAAAACTACAGAACAGGTGGCAAGGCAGATGGAATCAGAAATGTTTCTTAAATAGGACTGCTAAGATAATAGTACCAGTCTGGCTTTTGAAGAAAAATCATAAATTGCCAATTTCTGAGTCTTTACTATCTACTAGAGCCATAAGGCTCATACAAGAACGCTTACTTTGATACGTCGTGTCAAGTTTATTGAACAAATTCATTTTTTAAAAGTCCCAGCACTAGATCTACTCAAGATCTGGGATCACCTTTCTGCATAATTGAGTTTATTTTCAGAAACCTCCAGGTGATGTCCCTAGCTGAACTTACCGTAATCTTCAAGCAGTTGTTTCTGGAACTGGGACAAAGTCAGCCTGTCTTGCGGTGCGCTAGAACTGTTCTCGTCAAAGCACACTTGATTCAGCTAGAAAAAAGACAGAAAAAGTAACTCGTGCATCCCTCTTTCCTTTCCCGAGGGATGCATGCAATACATTTTCCAAACACGGAAGGGGTCGATGGAAAGCTACAAAGTGCCAACGCTGGATGGAACCAACGGAGGAGCTGGCACCAGGGTCTGGTGAAAACTGGAAAGTATGCAGGGGTGGGCTTCAAAAATGTTAGCAACGGGTTCTGTGCCGTTGCTGGGTGGGCATGGCCTAGTCAACCTCCTGCACCACGGCGGCGGGGGGGAGGGGTGTTTTTGCCCTCCCCAGGCTCCGGAGGCTTTCCTTGAGCCTCGAGGAGGGTGAAAACAGCCTCCCCAGGCTCCAGAGGCCCTCCAGAAGTCAGAAATGGGCCCGTTTCCGGCCTTCCAGAGCCTCCAGGAGGCCTGTTTTTTGCCCTTCCCGAGCCACCACACGGGGCCTGCACTTACCTGGCGTCCAAAACGGTTCACATGGAGACTCCTGGGAGGGGAGGGGAGGGGTGGGGCGGGATGGGAGGGGCCAGCCAGGAGTGGAATTTGGGAGTTCATCAAACCCCACAGAATCTTCACTAGAGGATTGCCCGAACCCGGGTGAACCCGGAGTAGTCCACCCCTGGAAGTATGGAATTCATTGAATAGACTGCACACGGGTACAACAAGATCCAGAGGCACTCTGAACCAATGGGGCTATCCGGTGGCTTCTGCGATTATGGTGACATGCAGAAAACAACACGTATGTGTATCTGCCTTTGTGTCCTGATCAGTGTACACCTCAGGACTTCTTGGAAGCAGGACAGAACGCAATTAAGGTGGCTAATTTCTGGGCAAGATCTGTTTTAACTTGTACGTTTTTTGATCTTGTATCTTACATTTTCGTGAAGAGAGGTTTCTTAAATCAAACCAATAATAATAACCTGATGATTTAGAATGATAAAATTCTAGTTACTGATGGAAGTAACTAGAATGATTCCAGTGTATCTAATATATTAAATGCTTTCCAGAATGACAACAAACAGAAAGGGAAAACTCAAGAAGTTTTGATTTTATATTTATATAGACAGTAGTGGCCAAAATTGTGGAAATCTTTTGGGAAAAGTGTATTTTTGAGATTTGATGGCTAATAACACCACTTTTTTTTTTTTTTTTTTTTTTGGAGTTTCAAGATAATCCTATTCCACTGCTGGAATGGCCTGGGAATAGCCCAGACCTTCACCCAATTGAAAATCTATGGAGCCAACTAAAGAACCTTGTTAGTCAGAAACAATCCAGCAATAAAATCCAGTTAATAGAAGCAAACATTCAATCTTGGTTTCACATTAGAACAGCTGCAAAACTAAAAGACTTGTTCACTCCATGGGAAGACATTGTAAGGCCATAATTCATGCTAAAGGTTACCCAACTAAGGATTAACTGAAATGGTGATAATTTTTGTACATCTCGTTTTTTCTACGCGTTTCACTTTTCTTCTTTATACTGTCACTGCTATTCTAATAGCAAATCCTTCATAAAAGTTATTGCATTTCATTCTTGATTAAATTCTCTTTCCATTGATATATCATTTTATGGTACTACTACTCCAAAAAAAAGTGGTGTTATTAGCTAGTTTTAGAAAATACACTTTTCCCAAAAGGTTTCCATAATTTTGGCCACTACTGTAAATCTATGTCATCTATTGGAAGAGTGACTTCTATTACATAGCAGGGGTGAAATGCAGCAGGTTCTGACAGGTTCTGGAGAACCGTTAGCGGAAATTTTGAGAAGTTTGGAGAACCAGCAAATACCACCTCTGGCTGGCCCCAAAGTGGGGTGGGAATGAAGATCTTACAATATCCTTATCCCAGGAGTAGGGAGGGAATGGGGATTTTGCAGTATCCTTTCCCTGGAGTGGGGTGAGAATGGAGATTTTGCAGTATCCTTCCCCTGCCACGCCCACCAAGCCATGCCCACCAAATCACACTCACAGAACCGGTAGTAAAAATATTTGGATTTCACCACTGTTACATAGGTGCTGCACTGGAGTAGGATAATAATAGCTGGGCCATCTTCGATCGTGTTTATGTTTATATGAGGAGGAAGAAAAATGAATACCATCCAAAAAAAAAAAAAAAAAGGCAGCGCAATCATTTTGACGGGAAGCAGATTACCTTCAGCCAAAGATAATCTTCCGTTTTATCTGCAACTTCACTGTGGTTATCGGCAATATCACACCGGCCTATGATACAATACACAGCTCTTTTGTAAGGGTCCGTGTTATTTCTCAGAGCCCGTCTGTAATGGAGGCGAACTTTGTTCTCGGTGGCAGGAGAAAGCCTACAATTTAAAAAAATGAGAAGCTGAAACTTGAGATGTCTTTAAAACAGTGAAATCTGCCATTTTCTTCTCAAAGTAGCTACCCGTGCTTCAAAAGTGATCTTTTCCAAATGTATGTTGGAAGTGTAAAAACACAGAAGGAACCTTTTATCATCTATGGTGGACATGTGATAAAGCAAAAAAAAAAATTGGACTATGATTTATATTTTAAATACAGAAAATCCTGAAAATGGAGATAAGGTATGAAACCAGAAACTTTTCCTCTTGGGCTTAATGGAAAAAGAACTGGAGAAAAAGTTTGGAACTTCGTTACTATATATATATATATATATATTATATATATGTTGTAGCTAATATATATATTTTATATATATACATATATATTATATATATATATATATATATATATATATATATATATATATATAGTATATATGTTATTACAACAGCAAGAATATTGTATGTGCAAAAATGGAAGGGCGCTTCGATTCCTACTATAGAAGAATGGCTCCAGAAGCTGATGGAGTTGGCTGAAATGGCAAAATTGACTACTTTGCTTAACGAAAAGAACACAAAGTACTTCTGTTTCCACATGGAAACCGCTTCTGAACTTCATGCTTGGTGTGGAAATGAATGAAACGTTGATTCTGGGTTTTACAAATTAGACCCGTGATGGCAAACCTATGGCACACGTGCCAGAGGTGGCACGCAGCGCCCTCTCCGTGGGCACGCGAGCTGTCGCCCCAGTCAGCTCAGCTCCGCATGCATCTCCCGCCAGCCAGCTGGTCTTTGGGTCTCTGCTGCGCATGCAATGGGGGGCGGGGCACATGCGGGGGACTGCGTACGCATGCACGGGGCGGGGTGGATGCACGGGGGCTGCGTACTTTGGGCACTCAGTCCAGAAAAGGTTAGCCATCACTGGATTAGATTGATCGATTTTTGTAGAAATGACTGGTTTATACTATTATGGTAAAACAAAAAGTTGTGATTATTGTTAATGCTCTATTCTACTGTAACAGATAAGAGTCTTTTTCTTTTTCTTTCCTTACCCTTCCTCACTTTTCTCTGCCCTCTCCCCCTCCCTATCCCTGCCCTTTCAGTCGCTCTCATATTTTGTATTTTATAACACTTTATAACCTAATTTTAAAAAGTGACTTATTAAAAAAAAAGTCGTCTTTTGAGCCAAGCAGCTTTCCTGTGACAGAAATACTGTTTTCTTGACGCCTTTTGGCTGACTGAACACTGCTGCTCATGTATTTTATATCGCAGAAACCAACCTAATAATATAACTTCGGTAATCCAAATTCAGAGTTGTCACGTGGATCGAAAGAACAGATCCGAAGGAACCTCCCACCATAATGTAGCTTCACACTCAGAAAGAGTGCCTTAATTTTAAAAAGAGATTATGTTCCACTTGAAGGAGAAAAATAAAAGTGGATTTTTCAAATGGCTGCACTGTCTGTGAGTCCCAACTGCTTCAGAACCATTCATTTAAGGCAGTGTTTCCTCAACCATGGACACTTGGAAGATGTCTGGACTTCGACTTCCAGAATTCCCCAGCTAGAGAATTCTGGGAGCTGAAAGTCCACACATATCTTCAAGCGGCGAAGGTTGATGTGCAGGAATTTTTTGACGTGCGCTTTAAAGCTGATAAGCAAGAGAGTGAGGAAGAGATAGAAAGCAAAAGCCAAGAAGAGTTGCTGGAAACAGAAGCGATAAAGGAGCAGAAGGCCTTAGAAGAGAACAAGGAGAAGACGAAATCATTGGGGGCTTGGGATCCCAGATGGTGACGAGACAAAAAAAGAAATGGATTGAAAGAACTAAATAAACAAAATGGCAGGAGACGGACTTCGGTTAATATCAATCTGTATTAATGGATTAAATCAACTGAACAGAAGGAAGAAAATACAAATGAAGCTGCAGCGGGGGAGATACCAGAGATTTAAAGTATCAAACGTCTTCTGCACAACTCGAAAACTTGAAGCTTGTCTTATCTTCAGGTTGATTTTGAAGGTGAGCAGAAATGGCCCCAGCATTTAAAAGTTCCAACCAGAATCAGGACTTTCGGCGAAATTAGTTCTTCTGCTTCCCGTCGCCCCATGACACTCATACTTTCTCCTGGACTCTTCTGGCATTACCCAAGTACCAGGGGTGGGGCTGCTGGGGGGTTCGCAGGGGTTCGGGAGAACCTCTAGCTAAGATTCTGTGCAATTCGGAGAACCCACAAATCCCACTCCTGGCTGGCCCCACCCACCCTGCCCCACCCTTCCCAGGAGCCCCCACACGGCCCATTTTGGATGCAGGTAAGTGCAGGGCACGCGCGGAGGCGCGGGGAGAGCGAACAACGGGCCTACCAGAACTTTGAGAAGGCTGGAAACGGGCCCGTTTCAGGCCTCCAGAGGGCCTCCGGAGCCTGGGGAGGCCATCTTCGCCCTCCTGGAGGCAGGAGGAATGCTTCCAGAGCCCAGGGAGGGCAAAAAGAGCCTGGATAGCTCTGCAGACTAAGCACTGTAATTTAACTCCAGCTGTCTGCAATTAGTAAGTTCGAATCTCACCAGGCTCAAGGTTGATTCAGCCTTCCATCCTTTCTAAGGTAGGTAAATTGAGGACCCAGTTTGTGGGGGCAATAAGCTGACTTTGTATAAAATATACAAAAGTATGAAGGCTATTGCTTAACGCACTGTAAGCTACCCTGAGTCTCCGGAGAAGGGCGGCATATAAATCAAATTAAACCACCACCCCTGCCCGGCCGTGGTGCAGGAGGCTGACTAGGGCACGCCCACCATGGCCACGCCCACCCAGCAACCAGGCAGAGAACCCCTTGCTAAATTTTTTGAAGCCCACCCCTGCCAAGTACCTTGTGTCTTTGCTGTGCATGTACTCCTGGAACCAAGTTTTGAAATCTCCCAGCTGGTGCTGAGCTAGGTTGACCACTTGCATGGCTGCCATTAAGTCCCCGCATCGCATGCAATAGTAAATGATGGCCCAGACAGGATGACCTTCCACTTCCCCGTCCTAAAACAATAGAGGCAGAAAAAAAAATGTCCAGAGATTTGACTTGTTAACGGACAGTTCCTCGACTTACGCCTGCAATTGGGCTCAAAATTTCGGTCGCTAAGCGAGGCAGCTTTTAAATGAGCTGTGCTCCATTTTACAACCGGTCTTGCCACAGTCCCTGAGTCCGGCTGTAGATAGGGCGGCATATAAATCTCATTAATAAATAATAAATAATAGTTGTTAAGGCAATCACCGCCATTGTTAAAAGTTAGTAACTCGGTTGTTAAGTGAATCTGGCTTTCCCCCCCATTGACTTTGCTCGTCAGAAGGTCGCAAAAAGGGATCGCGTGAGCATGGAACACTGCAACCGTCATAAATATGAGTCACTTGCCAAGTGCCTGAATTTTGATCATGTGCCCATGGGGGTGTGGCAATGGTTGCCAGTATGAAAACAGTCATAAGTCACTTTTTTTTCAGTGTCGTTGGTCACTAAATGAATTGCCGTAAGTCAAGGACTGCTATACTGTAACAAAGACCTTGAATTTAGATGATAGGAAACACATGTTTAAACTGTAAGTGGTACCTACAATTGTCCGAAGATTCCACTGTATAAAAATAACTCATGCGTACCTTTTAAAAAAAAGCAAACCGCTCTTACTGATATTCAAATCCTGTCTGCCTTTTGGAAAAAGGTGCTTATTCTAATGTGTACTATATTTTTTTTTAGAAATTATATTTGCATATTCATGAATGCAAATTTCACCTATCAGGAGCTTCCATAGATGCAGGGAGCCATTTTAGCAAAAATTTCCCTTTACATGGGAGGTCTTTGTGCTCCAGACAGATGGGGGAATTCTTCAAACTGGTATAGAAGAGGATACGGTCAGAGGGGAATTGGTGAACGCTGTTTCTCTCTTCTCTCATTTGTGGAAAGCTTAGCTACGGAATATGCCTTTCTGTGAATGAAAAGACGCCACCGGAGTCCGTCCATTATGTTTCCTTGATGCAGTTTTTCATCACTGACTCCTCACGCTGAGAAGCATCTGAGAGGTTTGTATCGCAGAAATCTCTATTCAGTGCAGCATCTTCCTTAAATGTGTTTACATCCTGCCAACGAAGAAAATCCCACTACCTTGCCAAGCAATTTACAGAATGCCACTGTTAAACGGATCTCATTTTTAGAAATGTGCTCCTGATGCTCACTCAACATCTGGTTCCTTGCAGTTTCTGTTCATTTATTCTGGGATTTTCTCTGAATGTACTGAGCGGGGAAACAAATCTCGGTATCTTTTCAGGATAACATTCGTTATGTATGGGACCTATCAAATGCTCATTTCCCCCCCACTCCCCTTGTCGGGTTAAATATACCAGGCTGTTTTCTCATCGATGTTCTTTTTAAAATGTGGCACCCAGATGTGGAAATGTTATTCTACAAGCAACTTGTAGTAATCAAGACTTAGGCATTTCTATAATTGTTTATATATATTTAACATTTAACATTATTATTATCTCTTTTATTCATTAAACATGAAACTCAAGTCACCTGAACATTTAAAAATGTGACATGAATATGATTGATTGGTACTAATGGTTGATACGGGTTGCTGCCAGCGTCCTAGGTATCAACCAAGTACCTTCTTAAAATATATGATGTTCCGAGTAGCACAGGTTTTTGCAGTTCTGCTGGTGTTATTGCAGGAAGCTGCAATTTCTTGAAGTGTTTTGTGAAATTCTTGGGCATGGTACCAAGTGCCCCGATGACAATGGGTATCACTGTGACATGTTTCATCCATAGCCGTGTAGTTTCTATGGCCAGGTCGCAATATTTCATGATTTTTTCCAGTTCTTTTTCTTCAACTCTGGCGTCTCCTGGTACCACAATGTCAACAAATTGTACGTTTCGGTTTTCGACAACTGTGATATCTGGCGTCTTGTGTTCCAAGTGACGATCCGTCTGTATTCAAAAGTCCCACATGATCTACACCTTCTCATTTGCTGTAACTTTTTCCACTTTATGTTCCCATGACTTTTTGGATACAGGAAAGTTGTATTTTTTACATAATGACCAGTGGATTATATTATTATTATTGGTTAATCTTTAGTGAGATTCACAGCCTTTGAGGCTGGTTAATAGCTCAGCAGCTCGAGTCCTAACCAAGGACCTAGGAACTGTTAAGGTATTGTCGGAGGATGTAAGCTGTTCCGAGTAAGGTGGTTTTTTGTAGAGTCAAAATGTTCAAATCCGGTAAATTTAGAATTTCTAAATAGCGGGGTAGCCCTTTGGGTATTGCTCCAAGGGCTCCAATTACAATCGGGACAGTACACGATTTCTTTTTCCACAGTCGCTCAACTTCAATTTTCAAATCCTGGTACTTTGTGATTTTTTCTTGCTGCTTATCTTCAATCCGTGCATCACCAGGTATTGCAATGTCAGTGAACCATACTTTTTTCTTTTCAACTATTGTTATGTCAGGTGTGTTGTGGACCAAGTGCCTGTCAGTCTGAATCCTGAAGTCCCACAAGATCTTGAGTTTCTCATTCTCTAAAACTTTCTCAACCTGATGTTCCCAGTGGTTTTTGCTGTACTCAGATCCATATTATTATTATTATTATTATTATTATTATTATTATTATTATTATTTTCATTATTTTCATTATTTTCATTATTACTATTATAATCTGAACATTTGTTATTTCTCTGTAAAACAAAACGCACCCAGACAATACACTGTTTTCAAAGTATCTATGCATAATTAAAATATAAAATAATAATAATAATAAAAAGTCTTAAGTACTTCTTTGGGACCTTTTGCTCATAAATAAAATTGATTGACTGATACTCATTCCTTTAATTAAACAATCTGGAAAGCGGCCCATTTTGCAATGCTCTAAGCAGCGAACAAGGATTAAAACCCAAACTAAACACAATATATAGATAAGGACCAAAAGCAACACATTGATGCATAAAAACACACATAAGGTCTAAAAACAATCCACCGTTAGTTTTTTCGAATGATCTTAGGCTACGCAAGGGGTTTGCTTTTGGAGAAAGAGCTTAAGACTGCAAGTAATATTTGTCAGCAGGCTTTTTAAAAGAACACAGCGCCTTCGGCAATCTTGGGAAAGCTAATACAAAGTGCACCATTTCCAAATATTATCAACTCTCCACCTGACAAGTGCATTCCTGACTAGGGAAATGAATAAACCAAATTTTGCTAGGACCGTGGGATCCTGGATGTTCCTACCTGCAGCCCCGGAACAGACACTGGGAGTTTGATGTTCAAGAAACTGCGGACTAACTGGTAGGTCCCAGGTACTCCGCCCAGTTGGGCTTGGTGCAAATTTCCAAAGACCGTCATCAAGGTATAGTTCTTGTAGCTGCAAGGAATCAGGCATGGCTGATCAGTCAGGATAGCTGAACATCCTTTTAACGATTTCACACAAAGTATCAGAATCGGAATAGAGCTGGGAGGGGCCTTGGAGGTCTTCTAGTCCAGCCCCCTGCTCAAGCAGGAGACCCTATACCCATGATGGCGAACCTATGGCACACGTGCCACAGGTGGCACATGTAGCCATATCGGTGGGCACGCAAGCTCAGCTCCAGCGCACATGGGCGTGCCTGACAGCTGATTTTTGGGCCTTCTGGGCCCACCAGAAGTAGGGAAACAGGTTGTTTCCTGCCTCCAGAGGGCCCATTTTTCTCTCTCCCCAGGCTTCAGAGCCTTTCTAGGAGTCTGGGGAGGGTGAAAACAACCTTCCCCACCCCCCCGGAGGCCCGTTTGCCAACTTCCGGTGGGACAGGAAGTCCCTTTTTTTTGCTGTGAGAGAGAAAAACAGGCCTACTGGACCATCGCGTGCCAGCAGCGGGTAGAGTGGGGGGGGGAGGTTGCGTGCATGCGCTGGGGCGGACCGCATAGAATTATGGGTGTGGGCACGCACCCTCCGCGCTCCCCCCTCTCCTGGCACGCGATGGCAAAAAGGTTACCCATCACTGCCCTATACCATTTCAGACAAGTGGCTGTCCAGTCTCTTCTTGAAAGCCCCCAGTGATGGAGCACTTACAAATCTTTTGGAGGCAACTTCTGTTCCACTGGTTAATTGTTCTCACTGTTAGGAATTTTCTCCTTAATTCCAGATTGCTTCTCTCCTTGATGAGTTTCCCTCCATTGTTTCTTGTTCTGCCCTCTTATTATTGGAAAATAAATTGACACCCCATCCCCCCTTCTTTGTGTCAGCCTTTCAAATGCTGGAATACTGCTATCATGTCCCCCTAGTCCCATGATGGCAAACCTGTGGCATGCGTGCCAGATGTGGCACGCAGATCCCTCTCTGTGGGCACGCATGCCGTCGCCGGCTGCTCTTTTGGTTTCTAGCGCGCACATGGGCGCCAGCCAGTTTATCTTTGCACACATCAGCCACCTGGTCGTCAGGTTTCCAGCACTCCAGCACACGCGAAGAGCAGCTGGCTGGCGCGCACTGCCAGGTGGTCGGCACGTACATTCACGCCAGCCAGCTGGTCTTCAGGTTTCCAGGGCTCTGGCATGCGCACGCGTGTTCCGGTTTGGGCACTCAGTGCCGAAAAGGTTCTCCATCACTGCCTTAGTCCTTCCTTTCTCTAGACTAGCCAAACCCAAATCCTGCAACCGTTCTTCATGTTTTAATCTCCAGGACTTTAATCATCTGAATTGCTCTCCTTTGCACTTGTTCCAAAGTCTTCACATCTTTTTTTGTAATGTGATAGCCAAAACTGGATGCACTATTCTAGGTGCGGCCTTCCTAAGGCTTTATAAAGCGGTACTAACACTTCACGTGATTTTGATTCTATGCCTCTGTCTATACAACCGAGGATCGTATTCCCTTTTTTTGGTTGCTTCCTCACAACTGCTGGCTCATGTTTAAGTGATCGTCCACCAAGACTCCAAGGTCCATCTCGCAGTTACTGTTTTTGAGCCAGGTTTCACCTAATCTGTATGCATTGCAGGGGTGAAATCCAGCAGGTTCTAACAGGTTCTGGAGAACCGGTAGCGGAAATTTTGAGCAGTTGGGAGAACTGGCAAATACCACCTCTGGCTGGCTCCAGAGTGGGGTGGGAATGGGGATTTTGCAGTATCCTTTCGCTGGAGTGGGGTGGGAAAGGGGATTTTGCAGTATCCTTCCCCTGGAGTGGAGTGGGAAAGGAGATTTCGCAGTATCCTTCCCCTGGAGTGGGGTGGGAAAGGAGATTTCGCAGTATCCTTCCCCTGGAGTGGGGTGGGAATGGAGATTTTGCAGTATCCTTTCCCCTGCCACGCCCACCAAGCCAGACCCACCAAGCCATGCCTACCGAACCGGTAGTAAAATAAATTGGATTTCACCACTGATGTATTGGTGTTTGTATGTATGTATAAATATGTATGTATGTAAAAAGTTAAAATCTTGGGTGTTTTCCCATGTCATTATAAGTTTGTTAGTTAAAATGTAATTAGTTAATATGTATGTATGCATGTATTAGTATTACATATAAGTATGTTCAAAGGGAGCTCAGACCTTCTTAAAATAATAATTCTACCAGGGTTATTTCCTTTTCTTTCCACAGTGCAAGTAGACTTCAACTTACAAGTGCAATTGGAACCAGCCCTATGATTCTATGTCATGGCAGACAAATGGCAGCTTCCTGGGAGTTTCCCCCCCTCCCCTCTATTTAAGGACTTTTACCTTTGCTCAAGATATTGTAAGGCCTGCCTTACGAACTCCATCTGCACCTCCATGCTCGTCCGTATTTTCAATGTGTCACTTGCGGGAACCAGCAGAACATCTGTCATTTGCTTCACCATGGCCCACAAGTCAGCAATGTTCTGCAACAGGTGTGAAAGAGACACAAGGACCTTGAGAGACAGCTTGGTCAAAGATGGCATTTAAAAAGTATGAGTTAATGATGGATAGGCTACAATACACACAGAGATAATAGCCCTGGTTATTTATAGATGGATGGATGGATGGATGGATGGATAAATATAGAGATAGAGATAGAGATAGAGATAGATAGATAGATAGATAGAGATAGATAGATAGATAGATAGAGAGAGAGAGAGAGAGAGAGAGAGAGAGAGAGAGAGGGAGGGAGGGAGAGGGAGAGAGGGAGATAGCAATAGCACATAGACTTATATACCGCTTCATAGTGCTTTTTACATCCCTCTCTAAACCAGGGGTGGGTTCTAGTTACCTTTACTACCAGTTGGCAACGGGGCCGCATGCACACGCTCGCTTCGCTCATGCGCTCTTCTGCGCATGCGCAGAAGCATTTTGATGACGTCAGGGTCGATGGGCGGAGCCTCCCGCCAGTTTTATAGAACCGGTGCGAAGCGGGGGCGACCGACCACTGCTCTAAATGGTTTAGAGAGTCAGCATATTGCCCCCAACAAACAAATGGGTCCAATAAATGAGACACCCCCCCCCCCCAATAAAATGGGTCCTCATTTTACCCATCTCGGAAGGATGGAAGGCTGACTCAACCTTGAACCGGTGAGATTCGAACTGCCGAACTGGAGCTAGCAGTCAGCTGAAGTAGCCTGCAGTGCTGCACTCTAACCACTGCGCCACTTCAGCTCTTGATAGATAGATAGATAGATAGATAGATAGATAGATAGATAGAGGATAGATAGATAGATAGATAGATAGATAGATAGATAGATGATAGATAGATAGATAGATAGATAGATAGATAGATAGATAGATAGATAGATGATAGATAGATGATAGATAGATAGATAGATAGATAGATGATAAATAGATAGATAGATAGATAGATAGATAGATAGATAGATAGATGATAGATAGATAGATAGATATAGATAGATGATAGATAGATAGATAGATAGATAGATAGATAGATAGATAGATAGATAGATGATAGATAGATAGATGATAGATAGATAGATAGATAGATAGATAGATAGATAGATAGATAGATAGATAGATAGATAGACAGACAGACAGACAGACAGACTGACTGACTGTTCATAACTAGGGCTGTGCATGGGATTCCCTTGAGTTATAGTCACTTAATAAGCTGATTCATTAAAGGAGATACCCCTTTTTTCAGGCTAACTTGCAAAATAGCAAAATAGCTTTAATGAGCAGCAGAAAGGCATGGGGCCTGTGCGACATGCAAAACACCTTTTTCAAAGTATTTTCAGAGCAGGCACAACTCTGAAACGAGTTGTGCCTGCTCTGGGTGGGAGGGAAAACCAAGCGGTTTTACTCTTAAGTGACAAGACTGCTAATCCCAACTGAAAATAGTCAAGAATAATTTCTGAAGACGCTAAATTATAAATAATACCTTATCATCCAATTCTGCCACAGTAGCACAAAGGTCTACCAAGTTAGGCTGAAGATGTCCGTTCACAATCTTCTCGTTATACATATAAATCTGAAAAAGAGCAACACAGACAGATGTCCCCCCGCCGTAGTGCAGCTCAATCCCTCCCTTTGCATCCGACCCTCCTCCCCCACACACCCGTTGCTTAAATGCAAGATGCTCTGACATCCTGCACTGACATCCCCCTTTGAATTGCACGATATAACAGCAACAGAGAAGGAGGAGCTGCTGCCCAGCATCGAACCCAATTCCAAGTGTCATCTGAAGCCCAACATTTTGGCATCCGTGCGAGTGTTTTAACTAAAGGCAGGATAGAAAGCGACAGTGGGGTAAAATACAAAGAATTTACAACGTGTCGTTCAGGGCGTTTCTTGCCAGAAATAACACAAGATAAAGCGTTCCTTAGTTTTCTTGAAATCTGTAAAGTTTGGCGAATCTACTGCAGTTATCCCAACAAGCGTTGGTATTCAAAATGCATTTTATTTAATTTTTTTTTTTTAAAAAACCATAGGTTTTATTTATTTATTTATTGGTTCGATTTATATGCCGCCCTTTTCCAGAGACTCAGGGCGGCTTACAATGCGTTAAGCAATAGCCTTCATACTTTTGTATAGCAGGTATATACTTTTGTATATACCTGCTTAGTAGGGCTTTCAGGGGCCCCCCTAAGCGGTGTTCTTTTTTATACAAAGTCAGCTTATTGCCCCCACAATCCGGGTCCTCATTTTACCTACCTCGGAAGGATGGAAGGCTGAGTCAACCTTGAGCCTGGTGAGATTTGAACTTGCAGTAATTGCAGGCAGCTGGTGTTACTTAACAGTGCTTTAGTCTGCTGCGCCACCAAAGCTCTTTATGTCCTTCGCGTGGGGTTTCCCAATCGTGGCAACTTTAAGATGCGTGGACTTCAACTCCCAGAGTCCCAAAGGTGCTTTTTCAGGAGGCAACTGGACTTTCTGGTTTTTCCTTTTGAAGACGTTTCGCTTCTCATCCAAGAAGCTTCTTCAGCTCTGACTGGATGGTGGGGAACGGAAGGATTGATATTCCTTGCAGACAGAGATGGTCATTTGCATCCTTTTAGAGGGTCGTTGAGGCCACTTGGAGGTTTATCTGTGTCCTCAGGGTCACCTGAGTAGCGCAAATGGGTTTGGAGCCTTGTTGGCAGCAGGATGTTGAGCTGAAGAAGCTTCTTGGATGAGAAGTGAAACATTTTCAAAGAAAAAACAAGAAAGTCCAGTTGCCTCCTGAAATAAGCACCTTTGGGACAACCATAACCTGGATGACTTAGAATCTCCATAGACGTTCAAATCCCAGAATTTTGGCTGGGGAATTCTGGGAGTTGTAGTCCACGCGTCTTAAAGCTGCCAAGGCTGGAAAATGTTGCCTTAAGGTGACTGGAATTCAACTTCAATGGATGAATATGGATCTGAATCCAACAATCCAAATACTCTTTAAGTACACAAGTCTATCATTTTACAATGCCAGTTCCTAGCTGATGATAGTCCCCAATAACCATAATTTCAAATATAATGGAGATCTAGAATGCTGTAGATCATGTGCACAAGCTCAGCCTGTCTAGCTGGAATTAGATTTTTGGACAAGTTATCTTAAGATCTTTAAAACGACTGGACCAGGGGTGAAATCCAGCAGGTTCTGGAGAACTGGTAGTAGGCATTTTGAGTAGTTCGGACAATGGGCAAATACCACCTCTGGCTGGCCCCAGAGTGGGGTGGGAATAGAGATTTTGCAATATCCTTCCCCCAGGAGTGGGGAGAGAATGGAGATTTTGCAGTATCCTTCCCCTGGAGTGGGGCGGGAATGGGGATTTTGCAGTATCCTTCCCCTGGAGTGGGGCGGGAATGGGGATTTTGCAGTACCCTTCCCCCTGGAGTGGGGTGGGATCCTGCAGGCAAAGCTTTTCCCTTTACTTCCATATCCTACAATTGATACGGCACAAATTGTAAAGATCTTTGTTGGAGGAAAAAGCCCAGAGTTTCCTAAAACAGCTCTTGGTTAAAGTGGCATCCTCACCTGTCGGGCGTATGCCATCTCTGTGTTATCCAAGGAACTGCGACCTGGTGGAGGCAACTCACCGCTGTAACTCGGCTGTTGAGAGAAGAGAAAAAGGCTGCTCAACCTTTGGTTTCAATAGAAGAGAACACTTGGAGCTCACGGTTGAACGGTGGGGTCCTAGGTGCTCTCTGAGCTTGGTGATTTCCTTGTAGACATTTCATGACCAAACTAGATTATGTCATCAGTGCAATAGGTAACATCCACTGATGCCGTAACCTATTTTGGACACTGATTACCTCGTTTATTATTTTCCCTAAGCACCTCCCAATTTTTTATTTTTTTACAAAAAGCAGAATTCTGCAACCAGTAAAATTATGTGTTGTTTTTTTTTACTTTTTTACATAATTTGGTGTTCAGTATTTACACAGTGGCCAGCCAGAAACCCTGTTTTCCTGCCTTCTGAAATGCTGATTCTTTATAACCTCTAAGATTTTACTTCTCTGCTCAAACAAACCCCACATATGTCATCACATTTAGAAACTTGTTCCTTTTTTTAAAAAGAAAATCTAGATAATCAGATACTAAAAAAAAGTATGTGAGTTTTAAAGAAAATAGGAGAGGGAAGGTTTGTTGGCTGTATTTGCTGCCATGAGTTATTTGTAAAAATAATAAAAGAGGGAGGGAGGAAGGAAAATGGGGGAGGGCAGGAGGGAGGGAGGGAGAAAGGGAGAGGGAGAAAGGAAGGAAGGAAAATGGGGAGGGAGGGAAGGAGGGAGGGAGGGAGGGAGGGAGGGAGGGAAGGAAGGAAGGAAGGAAGGAAGGAAGGAAGGAAGGAAGGAAGGAAGGAAGGAAGGAAGGAAAATAGGGGAGGGAGGGAAGGAGGGAGGGTGGGAGGGAGAGAGGAAGGAAGGAAGAAAGGAAAATGGGGGAGGGCAGGAGGGAGGGAGAAAGGGAGAGGGAGAAAGGAAGGAAGGAAAATGGGGAGGGAGGGAGGGAGGGAAGGAAGGAAGGAAGGAAGGAAGGAAGGAAGGAAAATGGGGGAGGGCAGGAGGGAGGGAGGGAGGGAGAAAGGGAGAGGGAGAGAGGGAAAGCCGTAGGAAGGAAGGAAAATGGGGAGGGAGGGAGGGAGGGCGGGAGAGAGGGAAGGAAGGAAGGAAGAAAGGAAGGAAGGAAGGAAGGAAGGAAGGAAGGAAGGAAGGAAAATGGGGAGGGAGGGAGGGAGGAAGGAAGGAAGGAAGGAAGGAAGGAAGGAAGGAAGGAAGGAAGGAAGGAAGGAAGGGAAAGGAAGGGAAGGGAAGGGAGGCGAGGCGAGGCGAGGCGAAGCGAAGCGAAGCGAAGCGAAGCGAAGCGAAGCGAAGCAAAGCAAAGCAAAGCAAAGCAAAGCAAAGCAAAGCAAAGCAAAGCAAAAGCAAAGACTTTCCATTCTATTGAAAAAGCGCTGGGAAGCTGCCTCCCAAAAGTAACCCAGGTGTCACCGCTCAGGTGCTCCTGTGTGTTTCGGCAATGCGCCATGATTTGAGCACGACAAACCGGCTGAAACTCGGTACCGGCGTCTCAATGCGAAAAAAACCCTCAACGCATTCCCCAGCCTCCTATCAATCTCTTGGAGGCACAAATGGTTTAAAAAAAAGAAGCTTGTAGCACAGTAAAAATAGCCTTGCCGTTCGGTTTTTACAAGAGCTGCGGCATTCAATAAATCATTACAGCCGAAAGTCCAATGGATTTAGAAACGAGATTTATTTTTATTTTTTTTCTGTGACAAGCTACGTTGCCCTGATTGGCTTTTCTACTGCAAATTGAGGGAGAATTCAGCAGCGGAAAACGTCGCCAGCCTGAATGCAGCTGCCTTTCCCTCATTAAGCTTCACTTGTTGCAAACTGCAAGCGCTAACGTGTGCATTACTCATACAAGCATTCCACGGCTACAGTCGTGCCCGGGGGAAAGGTGATCCACCCACTGCAAGTTTTAGGACGTGAGTGGTCTGTAGAGATTCTCAGTGATCTAGGCCATGGTTGTCCCAAAGGTGCTTTTTCAGGAGGCAACTGGACTTTCTGGTTTTTTCTTTTGAAGACGTTTCGCTTCTCATCCAAGAAGCTTCTTCAGCTCTGACTGGATGGAGGGGAATGGAAGGATTTGTATTCCTTGCAGACAGCTGGTCATTTGCATCCTTTTAGAGGGTCGTTGAGGCCACTTGAAGGTTTTTCTGTGTCCTCAGGGTCACCTGAGTAGTGCAAATGATTCCTGTAGTCTGCAATTTTTTTCCTCTGGAAATCCATTCCTACTCCCACACCATTCCAAGGGTCTTCATCCCAAATTGTATGGCTAAAAGTCTGTAGAGATTCTCAGTCATCCAGGTCATGGTTGTCCCAAAGGTGCTTTTTTCAGGAGGCAACTGGACTTGTTTTTTTTTTTCTTTTGAAGACGTTTCCCTTCTCATCCAAGAAGCTTCTTCAGCTCTGGCTGGCTGGTGGGGAATGAAAGGATTTATATTCTTTGCAGACAGCTATTCATTTGCATTCTTTTAGAGTCGTTGAGGCCACTTGGAGGTTTGTCTGTGTCCTCAGGGTCACCTGAGTTGTGGCCTTCCAGCAGATCTGGCAGCAGATTCGGACAGTGAGGAGGTTGGGGAGGAACATGGGCCAGTCCTGGAGTCTGGGGAAGGCTCTGATGAGGGCTCTGCGTCGGAGGCAGAGAGGGGGCCAGGGCCAGTTATCAGCTGCCTTTGGAGTCACACATCAGTGAGGCAGACGAACAGCTGGAGCCTGTTCCCAGTGTGCGCATGCACAGAATTGCCAGACGAAGGGACCAGCTAAAGAACAAGGGTCGACTTGGGAGTAAGGCCACAGGAGGACGATGAAGGGCCCCTCCCAGAGGGAATAAAAAAGGAGCAAAAGGGGAGTGGAGTTTGCAGGAGACAATTAGTTCATTCCTGCATTCTTGCCAAGTATTGGCGGTGTCTGAAACATATCAGCCTGGCCACTCTCCAAGCCTGATAAAGGTCGGTAATCGTGAACTATCTTGCAAGACTGTGGGAGAGGAAAGACTTTGCTGGAGAGGAATTCACTGTAAATTAAATCAAAGGGGTTTATCGGGACGAGGACTCGGCTTCGTGCTGCTGGGGAAGCCTAGGTCAGAACAGTAGTGCAAATGAGTGTGGATTGCAGCCTTCTTGGGACTGCTGAACGGACTGAATTGTGGAGCGGTGCTTTCTGCAGGACGTTTTCTGCCCTGGGTCCCTTCAGCGTTGAGCACAGTCGCCGGCTGTTGGGGAAGAGCCTGCGTTGTCTGCATCTCAAACTGAAGCGCAGACGATTTCTGCAGTCTGCAAGTTTTTCTGAAACTCCGTTCATACTCCCGCACCATTCGAAGGGGATTCATCCCAAAGCGCATCGCTAAATGTCTGTGGAGATTCTCAGTCATCCAGGTCATGGTTGTCCAAAAGGTGCTTTTTTCAAGAGGCAAAAAAAAAAAGTCTAGTTGCTTCCTGAAAAAAAGCACCTTTAGGTAAGACACGAGTGGAAATAACACCGCCTGTTGTGGCCCGTCAGCGGCCTGTGCCACTGTAGCCAATTCCGACAACAAGGAGGCTGGTGTGGTGCTGCGCCAGCAGCCTGTGCAGCTAGCACTAAAGTCGGACAGTGAGGAGGCTGGAGAAGATGTGGTGCCAGAGGCGGGGATTCAGCCAGGGCCTTCAGAACCTCCAGAAGCTCCTTTAAGTGAAGAGGAAGAAGAGGAGGAGCCTCTTCTCGATGCATGGGCACGCAGAGCTGCCAAAAGGCAGGAGTGGCTCCTCAGGAGGAGGTCTCCTCGAGAGTAAGGCTTGGGGCTAATTGGCCACTCCCTTAGCCTATTTAAGAAGGAACCTATCTTGCAGCAAGCTGTAGGGAACAACTTTAGTTCAATCTCCTTCGCGTCTGGATTCTCTGCAAAATTGGTTCTGGGCTTTCTGCCAACTCTAGTAAGACTGTGATTACCTTATCTTAGAATTCTTGTAGGCTCTTAAGACAGTTTATAACAGCCTTTGGTTGATAAAGACTGAGTTATTTGAGTAAAATAAGCTTGGTATAGAGTTTCTGTGTGTTGCATTCTTTGGGGTCCGTAGCTGGGGCAGAACACTGCCAAGCAGCCTCTTTCGTTCGATCTCTTTCCTTGAGCGCGCTCCAAAGGGGCAGGAAGACCAGAGACATTGTCTTCTGGGAAGATCAGAGGAACACCGATGTTCCCCAGCTGCTATTGAAACAGGATAAATTGCAGCTGTGCTTTGCAGGAAGTCCTTGATTCACAACAGTTCATTTAGTGACCATTGGAAGTTACAACAGCACTGGGGAAAAAAATGGACTTGTTACCGTTTTTCATACTTACAACCATCGCAGCTTCCCCACAGTCCCGTGATCAAAATTCAAATGCGTGGCAACTGACTTGTATTAATGACGGTTCCAGTGTCGCCATTTTGTGACCTTCTGACCAGCGAAGTCGATGGGGAAGCCACATTCACTTAACAACCGTGTTACTAACCGAACGGCGGCAAGGATTCAGTCAACAACGGCGGCAAGAAAGGTCGTAAAAACGGGGCAAAAAGTTTACTTAACAGCTGTCTCGCTTAGCGACCATAAACGTCGGGCTCCCATTGTGCTCGTAAGCCGAGGACTGTCGATATTACCAAAAAAAAAAAAAAAGGTAAGAAGAGGACAAACGAGGAAGACGATTGGAGGAAAGTGAAAAACCAGCAGATCCAAGAAAGGGATTCTTGATCTGTGCATTATTAGATTGTACAGTTTAAGTTAAAATAAGTCACGGGTATTTTTTCCCTTTTAACCAGCTAGTACGCCCTTCCGTTTAGGAAGCTGTGCAAACTTCAAAAGGAGGCAGGATCTGTAGGTTGCTTTCTTTGAACTACAAAGACCATCTTGGTAATTGACTTTATTTAAGTGTAATGTGTGGGGTATTTTTTTTTTAAAAAAAAAAACCATCCAAAGCTTGGAAATTGGCTCCCTTGCTGACCTACCTCCTGCAGGGTTTGGATCCGTGCTTTTCAGCTGATTTTTTTTCCGAATCCGAGGTATCAATTAAAGCCTTATTATATCTGAAGGATAAGAACCTTTCTCTCTCTCTCTCTCTTTTTTTTTCTGCAAAAGGGTTAGAAGTGCAAAATTTGCAATGGAAAAATTAAAACAACCGGCTTTTAACGCAGCAGATTCACTTCAAACCTCCTGGGACTTTTGACTCTGAAGCCGAGAACAAAACATCCCTATCAAGGGTTTCTAAATGCTCTCACAGCGACACACCAAATATCATAGCGGGCACGGCATGAAGAGAATGAAAGAGGAGAGAATGACGGATCGCCGTTTCAATCTCTTTAACCATTTGGGGAGTCGAAACAGAGCGGGCTTCCTCGATGCTATTCACCCCCCCCCCCAATCCCTTTTTCTCTGAGATTCTGAAAACGGCCTTCCAACGTGGCAGGGACCTTTGAATATTTGGTCTTCGAGGACAAGCAACAAGTTTGACCGGCTCGGAAGGAAGCTCAGAATCGTAGGATTTTGAAAGGAAGGTTAAACCTCCGTTCACAAAACCCCAGAAGCAGATGAAAGCTTGCCAAAATAGCTTGCCAAATCCATTAAGCTCAGCCACTGCAGAGCAGTAAGGAGAGAGCCTACCTACTTTTCCAGGACCATTACTTGCGGCTGTACACAGTGAGTCGTCAGCACAACAATTTCCAAGCGAGGAACACTTCCAGGAACCATAAAGAAAATGTTTCCATGATTTAAAAAAAAAAAAAAAAGACTCGAAGGGAGAGGACAAAAATCCGGCAACTCGCTGAGACATTCGATTGTTACTATTTTGAAGACTCTTAGCCAATTCCCACAAGCAAGCAAGCAGAAAAAGGAACTCAAACGTTTCTAATGAAGAGCATTTTAAATAGACAATAGAGATGGGGAAAGATATATATATATATATATATATTGAAAAACTATGGCTTAATCTCTCCAATTGTGTATTTTAATTTGGATTTTAATGGGGGATTTTAACTGTCGAGCCAAATTGTTTAATTCATTTTAAATTGTTTTTATATTTTGTATTTGATGTTTTTTACTTCTGGCTGTTCACCGCCCTGAGTCCTTCGGGAGAAGGGCGGTATATAAATTTAAATATTAAATTAAATTAAATTATAACTAGGGATATGTACGCTGTGAGTCTGGGCAAGCCAAAGGAGGAGTATTTATTTTTTTAACAACAACAACAACAATAATAATAATAATAAAAACAGTGATACCCATTGTCATTGGGGCACTTGGTACCATGTCCAAGAATTTTATAAGATACATGAACAAATTTCAGCTTCCTGCAATAACACCAGCAGAACTGCAAAAAACTGAGCTTCTTGGAACATCGTACATCTTAAGAAGGTACTTGGTTGATACCTAGGATGCTGGCAGCAACCCATATCAACCATTAGCACCAGTCAATGGTATTTGTGATGCATTTTTGAATGTTCAGTTGACTGAGTTTCATATTTAATGAATAAAGTAAATTATCATCATCATCATCATCATTATTATTATTATTATTATTATTATTATTACTACATCTTACATCCTCCGACGATACCTTAACAGTTCCTAGGTCCTTGGTTAGGACTCGAGCTGCTGAGCTATTAATCAGCCTCAAAGGCTGTGAATCTCACTAAAGATTAAATAATAATAATAATAATAATAATAATAATAATAATAATAATAATGAAATATCACAACCTGGCCATCGAAACTACACGGCTATGGATGAAACATGTAACAGTGATACCCATTGTCATCGGGGCGCTTGGTACCATGTCCAAGAATTTTATAAGATACATCAACAAATTTCAGCTTCCTGCAATAACACCAGCGGAACTGCAAAAAACTGCGCTACTTGGAACATCGTACATCTTAAGAAGGTACTTGGTTAATACCTAGGACGCTGGCAGCAACCTGTATCAACCATTAACACCAGTCAATAGTATTTGTGATGCATTTTTGAACGTTCAGTTGACTTGAGTTTCATATTTAATGAATAAAGTTAATAATAATAATAAAAAGTGTCTAGGGGCAATGGATATAAAGATTTTTTTGTAGGAGCAGAGAAGTAATACAGAATAAGGGATTCAAAAGGTGGAAAGTAGTTACTGGCTTCTCTCAAGCCAAGTCCTAGGCCACACAAAAATAAAGAAAACTGCAGAATAAACCACGAAAAAAATAGACTCCATGCTAGCAGTAGCAGAATTCAGCTTTTCTCGATGTAAAGTTCTGAGTTGCTCAGAGAATAAGTGGTTTCATTATTTTATTGCAGGAAGGATAAACAAAGCTTGCCCATTTTAAAATACCTCATTTTCCTGGGTGAAATCCAGAGTGTCTTCTCCAGAAGCCAGCAACGTATGAAGGATTCGTTGCTTCACCTGTTCCCACTCCACCAGCATTGATTCTCGGTGATATTCTTCAGCCATGGCAAAGGTCTGGGAAGAAACGGATAAGAGGAAAGAACAAAAGCATCATCCCAACTTCAATGAAAGCCTAATAATTACAAAGAAGCTATAAAATGCTTCAGTTTATCTAACCATACATAAAATCGTCCCCATGTCTTGAAATATACCGATTCCTACTTTATCTTTTATTCTTAATGTTAACCTATTCATTTCTGCACATTCTAAAATCTTCCTTTATTACCTCTCCTTCTGATGGGATTTTTTTCTGCCTTCCACTTTTGTGCAAATGCAATTCTCGCCGCTGTTAATATAGGAATAATCAAATATGTATCTTCTTTGCTATATTTTTCCGGTAATATACCCAATAAAAATGCCTCTGGTTTTAACTCTATACGCTGGTGCAACATTTCCTCTAACCATGCCTGTATTCTAACCCAATAATTTTTTGCTTCCGCACATGTCCACCACATATGATAATATGATCCCGGCAATTGAAAACATTTCCAACATTTAGCTGATTTATCTTATTTTTGCTAATCTTTCTGGTGACATATGCCATCTATAAAACATTAAGAGGTGGGATTCACTTACCTTCCCTACCGGTTCGCAAATGTGAGCGCAGGCACATGCACGCATGTGCTTCGCTCACACGCACCTACTCTGTGCATGCGCAGTGCTCACACATTACATCCGGGCGGGTGGGCGAAGAATCCCACAATCGTTACTACCATTTCGCCTGAACCGGATAGAACCGGCTGAATCCCACCTCTGCCCTGCAGTCAAACTACAGCTCATGTCCTCTTAAACTGTACCTTCTATATGGATTCACGGATCCATCTCATAACCCTTCACCTGATAAAATACCTGGGAAAAACTACCAATCTTTTTAATGTACAATTGCTGTTATCAGATCAGTCCAATGTAGTCTCTTCCAATGTAGCCAAACATGTCTGTTATACTTGTCTGAAAAATTAGGCAGGTTTTGACCGACCACTGCCAACCCACCAACTAATTATTAAATATTATCTTGTCTTTTTTTTTTTTTTTTAAATGCTTCTTAGTTGCAATGCTGGGTCTGTGGCTGTAATAAAATTGCTACTACTCTGATTTTATTTAAAAGGCAACTGGGACTTTCTGGTTTTTCTTTAGGACATTTCGCTTCTTATCCAAGAAGCTTCTTCAGTTCTAACTAATTGGTGAGGGATGAAATGAAATTCCCCACCTGTTCGTTGGAACTGAAGAAGTCTCTTGGATGAGAAATATATTTTTTAAAAAAGATCAGAAAGCCCGGTTGCCTTTAGAATAAAAGCGGCTTTGAGACCAGGTACTGGAGACTAAGTTTCCAGTTTCCCAAATGTGCTTATAATAATAATTATAATTTAATGAAGTTGGAAGGGACCTTGGAGGTCTTCTAGTCCAACCCCCTGCTTAGGCAGGAAACCCTACCACCACTTCAAACAAATGGTTATCCAACATCTTCTTAAAAACATCCAGTATTGGAGCATTCACAACCTCTGGAGGCAAGTTATTCCACTTATTAATTGTTCTAACTGTCAGGAAATTTCTCCTTAGTTCTAAGTTGCTTCTCTCCTTTATTAGTTTCCATCCATCGCTTCTTGTCCTGCCCTCAGGTGCTTTGGAGAATAGCTTGACTCCCTCTTCTTTGGGGCAGCCCCTGAGATATTAGAAGACTGCTATCATGTCTCCCCTAGTCCTTCTTTCCATTAAACTAGACATACCCAGTTCCTGCAACCGTTCTTCATATGTTTTAGCCTCCAATCCCCGAATCATCTTTGTTGCTCTTCTCTGCACTCTTTCTAGACTCTCCACATATATTTTACATCGTGGCCACCAAAATTGGATGCAGTATTCCAAGCGTTGCTTTACCAAGGCCTTATAAAGTGGTATTAACACTTATCTTCTCCCTAATTCCAAACCTCACTGCCCATCAATTCCAACACAGCATAAAATATGTTCCCTGCTCCCTACATGCTTACAAAATTATTACCTTGGATTTCACCCTCCGTCTCATTCTCAATTTTTCTATAAATAAGAACTGCAGAAGATTCTTAATGCATTTTCCCCAAGCTTTCATGGATTAAAACTATTTTCAGTAACCAAGGTTCTTGGACTCTGATGCTTTCAAACCGCAGAAAGTAGAATTACGCTAAATGTGATATATATATAATTTTTTTTTACTCATAATTTATTCATTTTCTTTAAAATCATGTTTGGTTCAACGTATCTTTGGAAATCCAAAGTGGGAGGACAGTTTTGGGGGAGTTAATGGGGGTGGAAAGACAAAAGAGAGGAGATTCAAGAGATTCTGCAGGGTGAAAAAAAAATATACCACCCTCAAGTATGGAGAATTGAGCCCCATTTTAAACTTCTGCCAGATGTCTATACTCATTTCTTTCACATCAGTCATCTCTCTGAGAGACAGCAGCTCCTGGGGGGCTCGGTGGTCTCTCTCATCACTGGCTGCCTAATCTTTTATGCTGAAGAAGGCAGGATGAATGCTTGCTCATTTCATACAAAGAAAGCAAGCTAAATGAAACCAATATTGCAGAATAACAGAGATGGGACATTGGAGGTCTTCTAGTCCAACCCCCTGCTCAAGCAGGAGATCCTATACTATTTGAGACAATTGATTGTCCAGTCCCTTCTTAAATGCCTCCAGTGTTGGAAGCACCTACAACTTCTGGAGGCAAGTTGTTTCACAGATTGATGGTTGTAACTGTCGGGAAATTTCTCCTTAGTTCTAAGTTGCTTCTCTCCTTGATTAGTTTCCACCCATTGCTTCTTGTCCTGCCCTCAGGTGCTTTGGAGAATTGGTTGATTCCCTCTTCTTTGTGGCAGCCCCTGAGATATTGGAAGACTGCTATCATGTCACCCCTTGTCTTTCTTTTCACTAGACTAGACATACCCAATTCCAGCAATCGTTCTTCATATGTTTTAGCCTCCAGTCCCCTAATCACCTTCTAGTCCAACTCTCTGCTCAGGCAGGAAAGGGTCTAGAACTTTTTGGCTCGGTCTCTTCGCCTTGTTTTGCGGGTAGAAATCAGTCCCTCCCTTCTCCCTTCCATTTCACTAAGGCTGTTCCTTCTTTCCTTCCCCTTCTAGCTGATTTGTTGGGCCCTCTGTCCCAGGTGTCGAAAAACCTAGGATGAAAACAGGGGTGAAATGCTCCTGGTTCAGACCGGATCGCCTGATCTGGTAGCGATGGTGGCGGGTGGTTCGGAGAACCGGTAGCAAAAATCCCTGCCCCATCCCCTCCCCCATGCCCAGCTGAGCCACACAATCATCAGAGGCTGTTTTTTTTTTAACTTTTAAAAGCATTTTTTCTACAACCACTTCGGCTGAAAAAATGCTTTTAAAGGTAAAAAAAAAAGCCTCTGATGATCGCGTGGCTCAGCTGGGATCATCAGAGGCTTTTAAAAGCATTTTTACTACAACCTCTTCAGCCGAAGAGGTTGTAGAAAAAGAAATGCCTTTAAAAGCCTCTGGCAATTCCAGCTGAGTTGCCTGATCATCAGAGGCTTTTTAAAGCATTTTTTTTTCTGCAACCTCTTAAGTTTGTAGAAAAAATGCTTTTAAAAGTAAAAAAAAAAAAAAAAAGTTGGCCATGCCCACCCAGTCACATTAACCCCCCCACACACACACACACACACACCAATTTTAGATTTCACCCCTGGACGAAACCTCCTTCTGTTTATGGGTTGCGGCGAAGTGCCTGGGAGTAGCTGTGGCCATTGTGCCAGGGCGAAAGACTGGCGGAGGGCCAGCCGAGGAGAAAAGTTTGTGGCTAATAACCCAGAGGCAAAAACCTCAAGGCAAAACAGGCAAGGCGAAGAGACCGAGCCGAAAAGTCCCATTCCGGGCAGGGAATCCTATCCCATTTCAGACAAATGGCTGTCCAATCTCTTCTTAAAAACCTCCAGTGGTGGAAGATTCACAACATCTGGAGGCAAGTTGTTCCACTGATTAATTGTTCTCACAGTCAGGAAATTTCTCCTTAGTTCTAGGTTGCTTCTCTCCTTGATTAGTTTCCATCCGTAGCTTCTTCTCCTGCCCTCAGGTGCTTTGGAGAATAAGTTGACCCCCTCTTCTTTGGGGCAGCCCAAGTAGTTTGCCAATGAATCCGTTTTCTCTTTCCTGCTCATCATAAAACCGCTGCCTGGGATCAAGCCAGGATTCATCATCCTCGCCCCCTATCTGTTGTTGTTCCGGTATGCTTTCCTCCTGGCATATCCCAGGCTGTTCCTCTTGGCCTTCGGATGGAACCTGAGGCATTGCCAGAGAGGAGGGTCCTGGAGAGGGAGGCCTTATCAGTTCCTCCTCATCATCTTCTGAGTCCTCTTCCTCTGTTAGGACAGGCTCGGGAGTCGGGGTCACAACAGGAGGTACTAATACCACTCTATAAAGCCTTAGTAAGACCACACCTAGAGTACTACATCCAGTTTTGGTCACCACACTATAAAAAGATGTTGAGACTCTAGAAAGAGTGCAGAGAAGAGCAACCATACGATGAATGGTTGCAGGAACTGAGCATGGATAGTCTAGGGAAGAGAAGGACCAGGGGAGACAGGATAGCAGTCTTACAATATATGAGGTGATGCCACAGAGAGGAGGGGGCCAAGCTATTTTCCAAAGTACCCAAAGACCTGATAAGGATTAATGGATGGAAACCCAACAAGGAGAGATTCAACCTGGAAATAAGGAGGAACTTTCTGACAGTGAGAATAATCAGCTGATGGAACAGAAGTTGCCTTCAGAAGTTGTGGAAGCTCCATCACTGGAGACTTTCAAGAAGAGACTGGACTCGGGGGTTGGACTAGATGACCTACAAGGTCCCTTCCAACTCTGTTAATCTGTTAAATGATCAAAATTCCGACGCTTCGCAATTGATTCATGTTTATGACGGCTGCAGGATCCTGAAGTCCCGCAGTCACCTTTTGCGAAGCAAGGTCAATGGGGAAGCCAAATTCACTTAACCACCATGTCACTAAGCTAACGATTGCAGTGACTCACTTAACAAATGTGCCAAGAAAAGTCATAAAACGGGGAGGCCAAACTCACTTAACAACCGTCGTGCTTAGCAACGGGAACTGTGGCCTCAATTGTGGTCGTAAGTCAAGGACTAGCTGCAGGTCCTCGGAAGCTAAATCCATCACTGTCATATTAAGTGTTTTAATGGGGAAGGCACAGATTTCCTGCCAGAGATAAGAGTCTTGATGTTCTCAGCATGGATCCAAGGAAACACATGTTCTCAAAGCCAGCTCCAGATGTGCCGAGGCTAAAAATCTGAGAATTGCAATTTTGACAGTTGCAGTCCTAACAAATCCTGGGGAATGCCAGCTTGGAGACGGCTGTACTTAAAAGAGGTTTGCCAACGGAACTACAGTAGAATGCTATGCAGGAATTCAGACAACCACATGACAAATTTGGAGATTTCGTTCACAGGGGCATCATCAACGAAAATAGGCATTTAAATGTCGTTTCTCTCGATTTTATTACGGCTACACTTTCACCAAGGAGAGTATCCGTTCCCTCCCACCCTTCCACATGACTGCTCTTATCATTACAAATTTAACAGTTTGAAGGGCCATTTGACTTATGGGGCACAGTGCCATCAGTTTGTTTGGAAAGCAGACAAAGTTGCTAGAGACTGCTTTGCTTGTTAAATCTTGCAACTTTCCTCCAGTAGTTGGGCAGGTCTTGTCTCGGGATTTCTGTTCATTTTACCCAGTGGTGAAATTCAAAATTTTTTACTACCAGTTCTGTGGGCGTGGCTTGGTGGGCGTGGCAGGGGAAGGATGTTGAGATCCTGGAAAGTGTGCAGAGAAGAGCAACACAAATGATAAGGAGTCTGGAGGCTAAACTGTATAATGAATGGGAACAAGGTATGTCTAGTCTAGTGAAGAGAAGGATTAGGGGCAGTGGTGGAATTCAATTTTTTTTACTACCGTTTCTGTGGGCGTGGCTTGGTGGGCGTGGCTTGGTGGGCATGGCAGGGGAAGGATACTGCAAAATCTCCATTCCCTCCCCAGTCCTAGGGGAAGGACACTGCAAAATCCCCATTCCCTCCCCACTCCTGGGGGAAGGATATTGCAAAATCTCCATTCCCTCCCCACTCCTAGGGGAAGGATACTGCAAAATTCCCATTCCCTCCCCACTCCTGGGGGAAGGATATTGCAAAATCTCCATTCCCTCCCCACTCCTGGGGGAAGGATATTGCAAAATCTCCATTCCCTCCCCACTCCTAGGGGAAAGATACTGCAAAATTCCCATTCCCTCCCCACTCCTGGGGGAAGGATATTGCAAAATCTCCATTCCCACACCCACTCCTGGGGGAAGGATACTGCAAAATCCCCATTCCCACCCTACTCTGGGACCAGCCAGAGGTGGTATTTGCCAGTTCTCTGAACTGCTCAAAATTTCCGCTACCGGTTCTCCAGAACCTGTCAGAACCGGCTGGATTTCATCCCTGATTTTACCCCACAATAACTCTGTGACTAGACAGGGCAGAGAAAAAAAAATGACGAATCCAAAGCACGTAGAAAGTTTCCATGACTGCGGAGGAACTTGAATCGGAGTCTCTCAAATCCTAATTCCTACCACCTCTGCCTAACTTCCTGCTAACTGTGACTTTCTTTGCATAAACCGAGTGAAGTCTAGTGAAGAGAAGGACCAGGGGAGACGTGATAGCAGTGTTCCAATAATGGAGGGGCTGCCACAGAGAGGAAGGGGGTCAAGCTGTTTTCCAAAGCACCCGAAGGCCAGGCAAGGAATAATGGATGGAAACTGAACAAGGAGAGATTCAACCTAGAAATGAGTAGGAACTTTCTGACAGTGAGAACAATCAACCCATGGAACAGAAGTTGCCTTTGGAAGTTATGGGAGCTTCATCACTTGAGACTTTCAAGAAGAGACTGGACTGCCATCTGTCAGACATGGTGTAGAGTCTCTTACTTGGGTGGGGGGTTGGACTAGATGACCTCCAAGGTCCCTTCCAACTCTGTTAATCTGATCTGAACCTGCTTTATAGATAAAGAGGGTATTGGAAGAGTACATTTCTGATCACTATAAAACTCAAAGATAAGCTTGAAGTACTGGTATGCGGGCAAAACTTGCAGAAACGGTGAAGTAAAACAGGGCTGGAAGAAAAGTTTAGGGAAGAAAAATTAATTTAACAGAAAGGTCAGTGGATTTCCATTTTTCCCCTCCGGGAAGGAAGAAACGCTCCCTCTGCCTTAACTCCTTTCCAAAATTTTTCATTCTGGTGAAGACCTCTTACAGATCTCCAGCAGATTGGGGAGCTCAGTTGTGGCCCAAACCCTCTTAGGAGATGCTGGTCCCTCCTGTAGAGGAAGGGCAGAAAGACTTCCAGCTTGTGAGATGAAGGTTTATTAGAACCTGCAATGTGCAGGCATTCCTTGACGTATATACAACCATTCATTTAGTGACCATTCAAAGTTACAAGGCAATAGTAATAGCACTTAAGACTTATATATCACTTCACAGTGTTTTACAGCCCTCTCTAAGTGGCTTACGGAATCAGCCTCTTGCCCCCAACAATCTGGATCCTCATTTTACCCACCTCGGAAGGGACGGAGGGATGGATAGACAGATGGATGGATGGATGGGTGGGTGGGTGGATGGGTGGATGGATGGACGGACGGACGGACGGACGGACGGACAGACAGACAGACAGACAGATAAATGGATGGATGGGTGGGTGGGTGGATGGATAGATAGATAGGCAGATAAATGGATGGGTTGATGGGTAGGTGGGTGGACAAACAGATAAATAAATGGATGGATGGATGGATGGATGGATGGACAGATGGATGGATAGGCAGATGGATGGATGGACGGATGGATGGATGGACAGACATTCTTTTACAGTACTTTCAATACTTACCCGTTTCCTGGACTCTTCAATGGCAGACAGCAAAGCATTATCCTTTTCATTTTTCAGGAATCCCTGTAAGGAAAAGTACAATTTCCATTAAAAATCAGCTTAGCTCGGAAAGGACATTTGGCACTTCCTACGGAGTTGGTGTAAGCTCTGCTTGTAAGGTCAAACAACTTTCAGCTCCCGTTTGCTTCAAAGAGAACGTTCTTGAACTTGAGGGGGGAAAAAAAGAGGAAAATGCCAATAAGCTGAATGTGGGCACTGAAGTTCATTAGTCTCCTTTCAATAAAGTACACAACTGAACGGTATGAACTCTTGGCAGTTGAGTCCTGATTTCATTTTCTCTTATTCCTGGACTTGGATTCTGCTTCCTCCCTCCAACTACTTACAAGAGCCCTGATGAAAAGCAGGAGGGCGGCCGATGAACAAAGAGAATAAGTCTGCCTAACCATGTTAAATAAATTTAAAAACTGGAAGAGAATGGTTCAGCCAAGGATGTACAAATATCTGCAAAATATCTGCAAAATATTGCAGCATTTCAGGGGTGAAATGCTCCCGGTTCGGACCGGATCGCCTGATCCGGTAGCGATGGAGGCAGGTGGTTCAGAGAACCGATAGCAAAAATCCCTGCCCCCTCCCCACATGCCCAGCTGAGCCACACAATCATCAGAGGCTTTTTTTTTTTTTACTTTTAAAAGCATTTTTTCTACAACCTCTTCGGCGGAAAAAATGCTTTTAAAAGTAAAAAAAAAAGCCTCTGATGATCGCGTGGCTCAGCTGGGATCGTCAAAGGCTTTTAAAAGACAAAACCTTTTTTTTCTTTTAAATGTCTCTGACGATCCAAGCTGAGTTGCCTGATCGTCAGAGGCATTTAAAAGATAAATAGCCACTGCTGATCAGGCAACTCAGCTGGGATCGACAGAGCCTTTTGAAAGCATTTTTTTACAACCTCTTCGCCGAAGAGGTTGTAGAAAAAATGGTTTTAAAAGTTTTTTTAAAAAATTGGCCATGCCCACCCAGTCACATTACCCACCCATCCACCAAGCCACGCGCACAGAACTGGTAGTAACAAATTTTAGATTTCTCCACTGGCAAAAACATATAACTTATAAAATATAACATATAAAAATGCACCAGAGACAAATTCCTTGTGTGTTCAATCATACTTGGCCAATAAAGTATTCTATTCTATTCTATAACTGTCAGAGAGCAAATGGATGGACTATATTGCTGAAGCTAGAAACAGTCATAACTAACATTTTACCGAGTAGAGTAGAGTCGGGTAGGGTAGGGTAGCGTAGGGTAGCGTAGGGTAGGGTAGGGTAGGGTAGGGTAGGGTAGGGTAGGGTAGGGTAGGGTAGAACAGAACGGAACGGAACGGAAGAGAACAGAACAGAACAGAACAGAACAGAACAGAATAAAATGAACAGAACAGAACAGAACAGAACAGAACTCTTTATTGGCCATGTGTGATTGGACACAGAAATGAAATTTATCTCACAGTGTACATACAAACAGATTTATAACAAAATCAGTTATAAATCCTGATCAGAATTATAATTCCAAATTCCAAACGATCCTTAATTTTCTTCGCTCTGGATTGTTAATACGTCACACCTGGGGAAAGAATTTTATAAAAACTGAGCCCTCAAACCAATTCTACAGGGGCTCCTGGTTGAGCCAAAGGTTGGACTAGAAGACCTCCAGAGTCCCTTCCAATTCTGTTATTCTGTATTCTGAGACGGCTGGATGAGCTTATTGTTCCCCTTTCCCGTTTTACAAGGGACGGTATCAGCAAGCTCTGTGATTCTAAATTCTAGCGCTGATGATGTTACCTAGTTGGGTCATGAAACATCTGCAAGAAAACCGGTCCCCACCTTGGAGAATAACAAAATTGATTTAAAAAAAAAAATCTTGTTGGAAAAAAAAGCCCCGTTACCAGACTAAGGAAGAAATGCTTAAAAAGAAGAGTCAGACTGAACGCAGTTGCCGATGAGCTGGATTCAGGTGCAACAAATCCAAAATGCAAACTCATTGTGGCTGAAGGCAAAGAATTGTGAGGCTTGTTATGATCAATTCTGAGCTCCAGCTTTTTTTTTTTTCCAGTTGCTGCTGTTGTTCCATTTCCCATGTGTGAATCTCATTAAAGCAGAACAACAAAGATGCCAATAGCAATAGCCCTTAGACTTATATACCGCTACACAGCTCTTTTACAGCCCTCTCTAAGCGGTTTACAGAGTCAGCCTATCGCCCCCAACAATCTGGGTCCTCATTTTACCCACCTCGGAAGGATGGGAAGGCTGAGTCAACCTTGAGTTGGTCAAGATTGAACTGCTGACAATCGGCAGAGTCAGGAAGGAAGGGAGGGAGGGAGGGAGGGAGGGAGGGAGGGAGGGAGGGAGGGAGGAAGGAAGGAAGGAAGGAAGGAAGGAAGGAAGGAAGGAAGGAAGGAAGGAAGGAAAATAGCAATAGCACTTAGACTTATATACCGCTTCACAGCTCTTTTACAGCCCTCTCTAAGCGGTTTACAGAGTCAGCCTCTTGCCCCCAACAATCTGGGTCCTCATTTTACCCAGCTTGGAAGGATGGAAGGCTGAGTCAACCTTGAACCTGGTGAGATTCGATCTGCCAAACTGCTGGCAGCCGGCAGTCAGCAGAAGTAGCCTGCAGTACTGCACTCTGACCACTGCGCCACCGCGGCTCCAATACAGGCAGTCCTCAACATATGAACCACAACTGAGCCCAGAATCTCCACTGCTACTCAAAACACTTGTTTAAGTAGGCTTTTGTCCCATTTTACAACTTTTAAGTGTAAAAGTTGTTAAGCGAACCACTTGCAATTGTTAAGCTAGTTAACACCGTCGCTAAATAATTTGCCTTCCCTGTTGATTTGCTTGTCTTGAATGTCACAAAAGGTGATCGCGTGACCCTGGGACATTGCAACTGTCATAAGTCCATGCCAGTTGCCAAGCATCCGAATTTTGATCACGTGACTATGGAGATGTGGAAAGCTGTCACGAATTACTTTTTTCAGCGTCGCTGTTACTTCGGACGGTCACTAAAGGAATGGTTGTAAGTCGAGGACTATCTGTATTCCTTCCAGAAGCAGATTTAGGAACGACGTTGACTGAAGGATTTTTATCTTAAAAGCACAAATTTCTGCTAGGAAACATGACTCTCTCTCTTTTTTTTTTTTTTGTATTCCAAACATTTTTTTATTAAGTTGTTAAGTATTATAAAATACGAAAGTAAATCAAAGAGCAATGAGGAGGGATGGGAAAGGGGAAAGAGAAGTGAGGAAAGGTAGGGAAAAGAAAAAAAAGAAGAAGCAACATTGGACTGTTGCAGTAGAATAAGGCATTAGCATCAAATCACAGCTTTTTTGTTTTTCCATAATAATATGAACAAAGGGCCAGGAAATACGACTCTTTGTGGTCACTGACAATTGTTAACTCTCTCCTGGGCCTCTGGGGCTCCCATCGAGAGGCATGCAGATGTGATAATACGCCTATCAATAGGTTTCCTTGGCACACACGGCAAGCTTCCTGCCATACCAAGTTCCATTCTTAATTATTATTATTTTTTTAATGAATGGAAATTTGTCTCAACATAACTTGCATGGCTAACAATGCGCCTCTGAGGCCCATGTCCCGCAGGAGAAGGGCGGTATCGAAATAAAATAAATAAATGTAGATGCCACGGGCATTTTTTTAATAAATCAAAAGATGGACGGCTGCAGCCCAGTCGTAGAGAGACAGAGGTGGGTTTCAGCAGGTTCTGACCAGTTCTGGAGAACTGGTAGCGGGAATTTTGACTGGTTTGGAGAACCAGTAAATACCACCTCTGACTGGCCCTGCCCCCATCTATTCTCTGCCTCCTGAGTCCCAGCTGATCGGGAGGAAATGGGGATTTTGCAGTAACCTTCCCCTGGATTGGGGAGGGAATGGAGATTTTACAGAATCCTTCCCCTGCCACACCCACCAAGCCATGCCCACAGAACTGGTAGTAAACTTGAATCCCACCACTGTCCAGAGAGGGTTGTAGCGGGATACATCCAGGGATATACATAATGGGATACACCACAAAGCAAAGCTGGCTGAGGAATTCTGGGAGTTGAAGTCCACAAGTCTTTAAAGTTGCCAAGGTTGGAGACCCCCTGGTCCACAACACTCTTTTTACCTTGGCTAGATCACAACCCCCACCCTTGGTTAGAAAACACACTGAGATTTTGAGAGCATATTAGGGACACTCAAAACTGTTCCCGTTTTGGTAGATGTTTCCAGTGGTGGGTTGCTCTCGGTTCGCACCGGTTCGCAAGAACCGGTAGTAAAAATTTGTAATAGTTCGGAGAACCGGTAATAACATTGGCTGGCCACGCCCCCGAACTGGTCCCCGGCCCACTCACTTACATTTCTGGGAAAGGTTACTGCAAAATCCCCATATCCTCCCGATCAATTGGGACTCGGGAAGCAGAGAAGAGAGAATAGCGGAAATTTTGAGTAGTTTGGAGAACCGGCAAATGCCACCTCTGGCTGGCCCCAGAGTGGGCTGGGAATAGAGATTTTGCAGTATCCTTACCCTAGGAGTGGGAAGGGAATGGGGATTTTGCAGTATCCTTTCCCTGGAGTGGGGTGGGAATGGAGATTTTGGAGAATCCTTCCCCTGCCATGCCCAAGCCACACCCACCAAGCCACACCCACAGAACCGGTAGTAAAAAAATTGGATTTCACCACTGCTTTGTATCCATTTTTGTAAATGCTTGTTACCCACCAGTCTCCTAGAGAGCAGGCAGTCATAGGGAGGGAGGGAGGGAGGGAGGGAGGGAGGGAGGGAAGAAAAGAAGGAAGGAAGGAAGGAAGGAAGGAAGGAAGGAAGGAAGGAAGGAAGGATTAACCAGCATAACCAGAGATCATGGGGGATATTGTAAAATTTAGCTGACATTGTAAGCCATTAAGCTTACAGTAAAAATATCCGAAAAGCAGAAAAGTGAATGATGCTCTTCACCTATTATAGAACCAAAAGTAACACAGCTGCAACATTCAACTTTTAAAATATTTAAAGGTTGGAGC